CTGCCTGCCTACCTGCCAGACGCACGTGGCATAAAAAACAACATAAAAAGAAAAGAAAAAGCAAGGCAAAGTAATATGGAAAATATGCTATGTATGTCGGAGATGTTTGTGGTTTGTGGTTTGTGGTTTGTGGTTTGTGGTTTGTGGTTTGTGGTTTGTGGTTTGTGGTTTGTGGTTTGTGTGTCGGCGACATCGACGGACGGGCGAACGGGCCAGCCAGCGAGCGAACGAGTGAACCAGCGAGCGAACGAGTGAACCAGCGAGCGAACGAGTGAACCAGCGAGCGAACGAGTGAACCAGCGAGCGAACGAGTGAACCAGCGAGCGAACGAGTGAACCAGCGAGCGAACGAGTGAACCAGCGAGCGAACGAGTGAACCAGCGAGCGAACGAGTGAACCAGCGAGCGAACGAGTGAACCAGCGAGCGAACGAGTGAACCAGCGAACGAACCCAGATGCCAGATACGACACGGCCGCCGACGGGGACGGCGGCGGGGACGGCGGCGGGGACGACAACATCCCACCTCCCAGTGAAACCCCCAGTGAAGCCCTCCGCTTTCCTCCGAACTTGATGATGATGGTGCTGACTGATTGACGGATGCTTTGCTTTTGCTTTTTGGCCGTGCTTTTTGGCCCTGTTGTGCTTTTTGGCCGTGCTGTGCATACGGTACATACGAGCGAAAGCATGCTGCCACGTGGGAAGTTATGAATTATGACATACCACCCCCTCCCCCCTCCCTCCCCCCTCTCCCCTCCCCCTTCCCCCCTCCTCCCGTCCTTTCCCGGCGCGCGGAAGGGAGTGGGAGTGGGAGGGAGTGGGAGGGAGTGGGAGGGAGGGAGGGAAAGACATCTCTACGTGTACCTGCCTCCTGCTAGTAGCCTCCTAGCCTAGGTAGGTGGCTACTCTATCTCTAACACGTTCTAGAAACAAAGCAAAGAAACTAGAAACCCCTGGCTTGGATCGGGGATAGTTACGGCGATACGGAGGAGTGGTGTGCTGGCTGGCTGGCTGCTGGCTGGCGAGCTGGAGATCGAAGCGTATCGTTGATGTAGGTAGGTGTGTAGGGTGGGAGGGTGGGAGGGTGGGAGATGTTCGGTATCTATTGGGTGCGGAAAGGGATCTGCTCTACCTATGGAGCAGTGGGGCAGTGGGGCAGTGGGGCAGTGGGGCAGTCGACGGGGTGACTCATTGATGGAGATATGTGTGCGAGAGAGAGAGATAGAGAGACAACATCACAGCAGACCGTGGCCGACCCCCTACGGACCTACAGTACCCGTCCGCCCGGCCTTTACTGCACAGCATGGATGGAGGAAGATGTCCGCCCGCACGTCCGCACGGCACCGGAGCAAAACTCGAGACTCGATACTCGAGGCGAGTGCGAGCGTGTGTTTGCTGGCGCGGATGACGCGGATGACGATGACGAAACCGGAACCGACACCGAAGGCAGAAAACTGACCAACCCAAGGCGGCGGGAGCTTGGAGGCGAGCTGGCAAATGTGCGTGATGTACTAACCAACTACAAACCTGGACAGACAGATGAACGGGAAGTATAACTGAAGCTAGAACTGTGCGCACTCACTGTCTTATGTGGGGGTGGGGGCCAAACGCCCACGAGCACAGCACCTAGGGCTGCGCCGGGCCCGGTGGAGTGGTTGGCATTTTCCTCTGCTGAGGTGAGGTGAGGTGCGGTGCGGTGAGGTGAACGAAGAGGGAATACACCTGCTGGAACCCTAACCATCAGCCCTACCAGGCATGTATGTATGTATGTATGTGGACCAGGTATGTAGAGTACGGTATGTACGGTAAGTATGGTATGTACGGTATGTGCTCTACATACATGAGAGATAATAGCACCGACACCCACCATGGCACCCACCATGGCACCCACCATAGCACCCCCCCCCCCCCCCCCCCCCCCCCCCCCGCGCCCGCGCCCGCGTACCGCACCAGTGGTAATCGACCGTGCACCGTGCGAAAAGTTATTAACCGGCGGCAGATCCGTTTAGATCGGTAACTCCTCTACTATGACTAGCACCCACCTTACTGCTCACCTCCGAACCTCGCCAGGCTCACCTAACCTCACAGCTCACGGCGGAGCTTCCTAACCCGGTCTCTGTGTGGGGTTCTGTTCTGGTTCTGGTTCTTCCTCGACCGGGCACCGGCGACGGGCTACGGGGCGACCGGAGAGACCACTGCCCACTGCCCACTGCCCACTGTCCAGCCACTGTCCTGTCTCTTACGTACATTATGTACTCAGAATGTACTCCCGCAAGTTGCAACCCCTCTCGTTCGCCACCCATGCTTCCAGATTCTTCATCCACCTATGGCCGCAACCTGTGGCCGCAACCGCAGCAGCAGGAGCACAGAATGCTCCGCTGCAACTGCAACGTATTCCCACCGCAGCGCACTCAGCCCAGCTCGGAATTCTTTTGCTCGGTGATGAATCAATGGATGAATGGATGAATGATAAACGGGTATCCTCCCACCTATCCACCTAGCCTCCCACGAGATGGCATGGGGCTATTAAACAGAGTTAACCGCCGCGACCGGGCCGAGTCGAGTGCTGGCCAATGAAATACCCATGTCACCATGTATGCGATGTATGGTATGTATGCCATGTATGTATGAGGTATGTATGTATGAGGTATGTATGTACAACACAGAAAACGTGGGGTGTACATAGACTGTAGTTAGTTCGTTAACTACATGCATACGTGTGGGGGGCAACGGGCAACGACGGACGGATATCTGGCAGTGCCCAATACCAGTGCCAGTGCCAGTGCTAGTGCCAGGAGGTGGAGGGAAGGAATGCAAAACTGATGCAGCCTGAGCTGTTGACGTGAACGTTAAATGTTGGGATTTTTTTATTTTCCCTTTGGTGGGTGGGGTGGCAAACCGGGGAGAAGGACTCAAGTGGGGGGGGGGACTGGGAAGGTGGTGTGGATCATGGTGGAGCACTCGTGTGCGCTCTCGCTGGTGCGAACTGGAGGGGACTGGTGGGGGACTACGGTACGGTACTCGTGCGTTATTACTGGTACCAACAAAACTGCCAATCGGACATCGGCAAAGAGATGGCTTCACTAGGAGGGGTGGAGCGGTCCAGCCCGTCATACATATCGCCGCCGTCGCCGTCGCCGTCGCGCGTCTGGTGGGGCACCGCACAGGAAGAGACGTATGTATGCAAGTATGCAAGTATGTACATACATTAGGTACATACATTCAGCTCTTTCGCCGCGCTGGATGCTTCCGGAGGCAGTGTCTCACCCCGGCAGTCCGAAGGGCCGTAGTTGTCGAATTCCTGACGTTTCCTGACGTTTCCGGTCAATCCTTCCTTTGTCGCTCGCCGGAGGACTCGGTCCAACGATCCTTTATCGCCGGCCGCACCACCGCAATATTTTGCTGTCGCAAGGTCGGGTGCATCGCCGCTTATTGTTACTAGTAATTAGCCTATGCTGATAGAGAGAGAGCGTGACAAAATACTGTACCATATCCTGTGCAGTGGACTCTGGAGATCTGTTTTTTTTCCTTGCGGGAGATCAGAGATTAGATCTGATGCAACGAGGAAAGAGAGAGGAAGAGAGGGGGAAATGTAAGAGGTTGTTCTGGCTATAGACGATGCATGCATACTACGGCCAGGTAGACATACGACGAACGCTTCACACAGTACAGTACAGTACAGTACAGTACTGTGCATGTGTACATATGGCAAGTCACCGAGTACCGCCGCCTCGCAGTTTGATCTCCGGCGGCATTCAACTCTCGCGATCCCGATCCCGATCCCTTCCCTTCCCTTCTTCTCCCTTCTTCTCCTTGCTAGAGTACCGAGACTATGTCCATACCGACGGCGCAAGCATTAAGCATCGCCTTGATCTGTTCAAGGAATGCTTGCTTATCCTCTCCGCCACCGGTGCTCAAATAAAACATGCTGCTTGCTGAGTGCTCGACGTTTCCGGTGGGCACAGCACCTTTCTTGAGTCGTGACTCGTCGTTCGTCATCAGTCGTCGTTCGTCGTCAGTCGTGGTGTCACTTTTTCTCGTTCGAATCGGGGACCAAAAGCATTCAAAGATTCAAAGAGTTACACGTATGCATAGACGGTCCCAACGTTCCTTACTATATCGTAAGTTATAACGGGATCCGATCTATGTAGTTAACTCCTTGATGGGGTTCTTACCAGCTAAGTTAGCAAAGGCCTTTTCGGTTGTCAGCTGCATTTTGAATCTACCAGACAAAATTGAGATACAGTTCAAAACCCTCAGTTTCCGGGCAATGGGTTGCTGTTCGCACACCACCCCAAGTTAACAATTTGAGAAACTGCATATTGTCAACTGAGCCACAATACATACAAGAAGTGTGGCGTGCTGTTGAATATCTGGGTTGCCGGACGGGTCGTCAGGGGAGTTGAGAGCTTGCAGCTGCAGCTTTGACCGGCTGGTATGCTCAGCAGCAGTCGCAAAAAGGAACGCATCCTGCTGGCCACAGTCGAGTGAGATATCATCGCTGTAGCTGGCCGCTTCTGCACGCTAGGCCTGAAACGTAACGTAATGTCACCCCCCGGAGGGGGGGACCGGGTGATCGTCAATGATGACGATGATGACGATGCTCTTCCTCTATGGGCGCGATAATCACCCACACGTCCAAACCTCACGAATACTAAGCCCTGGGAGGAGTCATTCATGTGTATGTGGTAGTTATATCGCGATAGTCACCTTGGTACACGTTCAGGCTCCAACCCTCACGGATAATAGGCTCTGGGAGAAGTCATTCATGTGTATGTGGTAGTTATTTCACGATAATCATCCACACGCCAAAACCTCACGAATACTAAGGTCTAGGAGGATTCATTCATGTATGTGGTGTTTCGCGATATTCATCCACCCTTCCGACTCTCGCGAATCCTAAGCGCTGGGAGAAGTCATTCATGTGTATGTGGTTGGTATGTACGTTGAACTGCATAAGTAGCTATGAGTTTCCACGGCAGTGGAGCAGGATTGGCAATGTTCAAACAGCTACAGCACGGCGCCCGATACAACGGTTTACAAGCTACAGCGAGGTTTTTTCTTTCTCGAAATCGTCGATAGCTAATTCCACCTCGTGTTGAATATTCAAGTAAACGTGCGGCTTTATTGAGCCAGGATATCATATTCGCTACTTTAGGCAGAGACGCCACCCGCCAGCACCGACTGGACATACTCCTTCCTGAACTGGTTCTCCTCCAGCTCCGGAACGCGGTTGAGCGGCGTCCACTTCGGCTCATCCTTAAACAGACGCATGGCCTTGACGTACTATTCGTACGGATCAGCAGCCATCGTGCGGGAGCGGGAGCAGGAGGAGGAGGACTTACGTTCCCCTCATCGGTGGTGAACCTATGCCAGATCCCGGCGGGCAGGATGATGAGATCGCCCTTCTCGAGCGCGCAGCGGACCCACCTCTCGTCGGCACCGTCAACTCCGCCGCGCACGTCGAAGTATCCGCGACCATCGAGGATGTACCGGATCTCCTCGTCCTCGTGCAGGTGCTCGTGGAAGAACATCTTCACCTTGTCCTCGTAGGCGGCGCCCATCGCCGCCGGCGCAACGGTGATCTCGTCGCGGTTCTTGTAGTTGCGCGAGGACGCGAGAACGTCCACCTCGCTGACTGTGGGTAGGTGGTGGTAGATCACCCCGAGACGTGAGAGCTCCGTGACCGTGAGTGACTCCCCGCTGTCGTGCGCTGCCCGTTGGTCTTCCTGGAATCGCGGTCAGCGTCACCCCGCGGAGGTGCTGGTGGTCGTGGCGGGACGAACCGAGGATTCTTCGTAGTAGTAGATCTGCATGGTGGCGGTTGAGGCTGGCTTTCGCTTTTGCAGTTGTAGCTGTATTTAATGATGTTGAATGGGTTGCTGCGGGTGCAGGTGCGGGTGCCGGTTCGCGAACAGAGATGTGGGGCAGGAATTGCGCACGTCATTTTCCCGGCATGTGCCGTGCGTGAACCCATGACATGGCGGGGTCCAAACTTCCCGGGAGGCTGCATACTGACGAGCAACCCTCACGAATAATAAGCTCTGGGAGAAGTCATTCGTGTGTATGTGGCATTTCGCGATAGTCATCCTCGCGCATTCTAAGCTCTGGAAGAAGCCATTCATGTTTATGTGGTATTTCGCGGTAGTCATCCACACGTCTAACCCTCGCGAATACTGAGCTCTGGGAGAACTCATTATGTGTACACGTAGTATTTCGCGATAGTCATATGCACGTCCAAACCGCGGGAATCTAAAGCACTGCGAGAAGTCATTCATGTCTATGTGGTGTTGCGTGAGAGTTATCTACACATCCAACCCTCGAGAGTCACGCATACCAAGCTCTAGGAGAAATCATTCATGTATATGGTATTTCAACTCCGACCCGCCACCCGCAACCCGTCACCCTGATTACAAGCCCATCGCCGCCAGCTTACCGGCCAACCACTTAGCCTCCTCCTTCATCACCTCCTCAGTCCTGGGAGGACGCTCGGTATCCGGCTGGACCGACGGGAACCGTCCGCGGCCCTTCAGCGCGTCCATACTCAGTTCACCGGCGCCATCCAAATCCTTCCCTATGTCCCTCGCCAGCTGGCGCGTACTCGGCGTGTCGACACCGCTCGCCTGCCCGTGCGCGCGGCCGATATCGGCCTCATCGCTCTCGAGCATCTTGTAGATCGCATCTTCCGGCAGGTCGTCTCTATGGCGTGGGATGATGTGCGCATGTACGTGCGGCACTCTGCAGAAGACAATTTCTCAGCCAAATCCCCCCCCCTCCCCTCCCCTGAAACTTTTCACAAGCAGAGGGGAGACAAACGACTGCCCGGCCACCGGCCCGTCCTGTATCGCGATATTGAGGCCCTCGGCCTTGTAGATCTTTTCGAGCGCGGCCCCGATCTTCTGCACGGTCAGGAACAGGTCCGCGACCTCGTCGGAGCGGAGGTCGTGCATGCGCGGGACCACGCGCAGTGGACACACAAGGATGTGCCCCGGAAGCAGCGGCTTGAGGTTCACGATCGCGAAGGAGGACGCCGTGCGGTAGAACACTTGTTGCGTTACCATGAACTGAGAGAAGTAGACGGCCGCGGTGGCGGCCGCGGCTGTTACTGGTGGTGGCGGCATCGTGGCGTGTGGGGAAACAAAGGCTGGCGGGGTTTGGCGGGGTTTGGCGGGGAAGCTTGGGGGAGCTTGTTATGTACCTTATGTACATACTTCCAATCCGCCGATCAGTAGGCCTCCAACCAACTAGGCAGACGCTTCCAACCAACTGGGCAGACGCCATGGAATTGTGTATGTATTGTAATCTACATACCTACTCTAGTTTCAACAACGGATCTTAACGACGACGGTCCCGCCACCACTTTCGAAGCCCAGCCAGACCCTGAAACAGTGTATTTTTAACCATCGGCCCAATGTTTTGTGAAACTTCGTTAATCTGTTGTGACTTTCAGGAACAATATCGGCAGGAAGACAGAATAACTGTCCAAGAGACTGGATTTATTGTTCCCCATGAAGTACCTATCATACTACGATACAAGCAAAGTACCCTCTGACACCAACATATACATATCTCCGCACGGATCCACAATGTCGCGCGCCGCCCGTACTTGGCTCTCACGAACGAGATCTCATGCATACTGACTTACTTATAGCGGTATCATACAACGTGCACAGTACTCCACCAGGTCGTTCGGCAGGTCAGCTCGTTCGGCCAGCCTAAAACCTGACTCACTTTGGAGAAGACCAGCTGATTAAACAATGAACTGCCTGAAGATTCACCACACCAAGGGTAAGCAGTTTAGTAATACTCTCTGATCACCATGCTGACCCGCCAATGGTTGTATTATTACAGTCAAACTGGGTGCATAGGGCGAATGAACTAATTCTAGGTAGGTAATCCAGCTTGCAGGCAGTTCAGTTGGTACCGTTTTCTCGTGGATTTACATAACCCAGCTAAACGGTCAAACTACCTGCACTCACAGTCCAAGGATGCTTTATCAGTACTAATCAAGTACATAGCAACTCACTCCTCGACTCCGCGCTTCCCACTCCGGACCCAAACGGTTTTCACAGTTTACAAAAACTCACAACACCACCGCATGCTCGTACATACCCCACGGTATGACAGCCCGTCGCTGTTCCGCAGCGTCTGACAGGAAGGGCAGGCGGGCTCCGGAGTCCGAACCGGCCGGCTGCGGACCGTTCGCGGTTACGGTTGGACAGTGGACGGGAACTGGTGGGGGTAAATACTGCATTGCCAATGGCCATGATCTACTATTTATACAGGTAGGTAGGTGGCATGCTTTCAACCATCAAACAAAAACAAAAACGCGTAGATATGGCGCCAAGGAATCCTCATTGGCTGCTATTCGGTGCCAAGGGCCGTATGTAGCCCCCAGCTATCAAAATTTACTTTTTCTATGCGCAGCCTTACCACACTGAAGCCGCCTCGATACATGATTGGCTCCAAGACTGTGCAGGAAGATGGCATCGCACCATCAAGGGGAGAGACGTTTTTGTATTTGTACATACATTTTTGTTTTTGTTTTTGTTCGATTATGAATGCATTCGACCTATCATGTTGGTAGATCATGGCATGCGCGCTCCCAGTTCCCCCACTGTCCCCCCCCCCTCACCACGAGAGGCTCGATGTGGGGTTCCAGGCTGGTCCTCCGTCCTCCGCTCTGACCTTCAAAGCGTGAGAGGGACGTCAGTGTATCGTGCTGAGCCCAATCCATTCGCTTCGAGTTCGTGGTCTCCAAACGACTGCCGTCCGCGCTCACTCTCCGCCACCTCAATCGTTCGGCGATATCCATCCCAAGAAAACGAACCATGACTACCACTACCAACCCGAATACTTGGACCGTCCCGACAGTCTACTCGTCGACCAACCTCGGGCCTATGATCACGCCCATCACGTTTCCCGACGACTGTCTCTCGGAGCTGTGGAACATGCAGACGCCGGGGCTGATCGAAAACGCTATGTACACGTACCACACCCAGGGTTGCGCTATCTCTTCGTGCTGTCCATCGTCAACCCCGTACTCCTATTCTTACGAGTGGCTGAGCACCTACTATTCGCCGGCCGTATGCCCGCTGTCGTGGCGCCCGTGTCCGGGGCCGCCATCGGGTCATGTACCTTCAGCAACCGGCGAGACGGTGGCGTTCTGTTGCCCCAGGTGGGTACGCTTACCCCCCGCCCACCCGCGCGGTGCATGTAAACAAATCACGAGCATTTAGCTGACCCAGGTCTCCTATTCTTTTTCTTTCGAACGCCAAAGTAAACACAACTGTCCCGACGACCTATCACTGACATCAGCCGCCTCATGGTGGGCGTGCCAGAGCAGCCGGGGACCAACCACGCACGTCTGGCTCGTCTCTGGCATCCACAACCAGGTCACCATAAGCCAGCCGCTGTCCACCCTCAGTAGCAAGCACACACCGTTCAACAGTGTAGCATACACACAAGTTTCAGAGTAATCGTTCACGTAATAACCACAGGCCGATCCAGTTCAACGACCCAATGACCGAGCAACTCTTTGAGTACCCACAGGGTGTATGTAAAAGCTGCTACGTCTTCGGCATTACTATGCTTGCCATCTGTCTGTCACCGGCAGTACAGACAGAACTACCGCCGTCACTGTAGCCGCTACCACTGTGTTTCTTATGTCTCCAGGTCGAAAGCTTCCGTACCCGTGGGTAATGAGTGGCATCATAAGCAGTCACTCGTCATATTTAACCGTGCAGTCAAGTGCTTCAGCTTCCTCCAAGAGCACCGTCTCCCTTGTCTATCCCGAGGTTTCCAAGAAAGCGACTAGCCTTAATTCAAGCGCACTAGTCGCTCCTGCCAATTCTCGGCTCCACAGCCGGCGGCGGATGGCGTGTCACGTGATACAACTACCTAGTACCGAGTGATATCTAACTACAGCCACCTAGTGCTCCCTCCGTCACGCCAAAAACAAAACAAAAACAAAAACAAAAACCACCCCCGGTAGGTGGCTTGGAAACCCCAATAGCTGAATCCCCGCACCGATGGTAGGCATACTGCCATACCATCTCCTCGGATTCTTCTCTTCTCTTCTCCATGGCTGACATTGCTCATTCACGACTCAGAATCGATTTCTGTTTTCGCACAGCGGCTGGTGTTAGGTATTTGGCCATGATGGATCCAATGAGCTTTGCCGTGAGTACATATTGAAGCAGAGATGAGAAGAAGGCTAGAGTGAGGAAGGCTTTATGTGGGGTGGGGGGCTTGGAACAATTGCTGCGGCGATTGTTCGCCAAAAGTCACACATATCACTCGGAAGTTCTTCAAATCACTTGTAATATTGACCATTTTGAACATCCCAAGACATACATAAGAAATGAAAGCAACCATATTACACACTCGCATATGAAAAGGAAAAGAAAAAAACAGCCTAACCCCACCGTAAACGTACAACCAAATCAATCCATTTCACACCCACAAACAACACACGCGCCTATAACTTCGCGCCCTCAGACAGCAACTCCACCGCGGCCGCCGCGATGGCCAGCTTGCCGGTCTCAACGACTTTAGTCTGGAAGATCACCTTATTTCCCTCCTTCCACATCTCTGTGCGCAACGTCTGGCCGGGAACGACGGTTCCGGCGAAGCGAACCTTGATGTTCTTGAACTTTCCAAAGTTCTGGTAAACGTGCTTACCGGCAATACCCATGAAGCACAGGCCGTGGAGGATGGGGTCCTTGAAGCCTCCAACGCTGGAGAAGGCCGGGTCAATGTGCAGGGGATTGCGGTCGCCGGAGAGACGGTACAGCGCGGCTTGGTCCTCGGTGGTCTTCTCCTCGATGACCTTGTCGGGGTTGCGCGAGGGGAGCTTGTTGGCGGCGGTGGCAGCGCCGCGTTCCGAAACCTTGGGGGAACCACCGAAGCCTCCAGAACCACGGATGAAGGTTGTGGTCTCGTTGACGAAGAGGACGGCGCCGGAAGCGTCTTTGGTCTCAGTGCGGGTTACGACGATGGCGGCGGCACCCTTGTCGACAACCTCGACAAGGGAGGGATAAGAGGTGAGGGTGCCAGAGGTGGGGATGGGGAACTTCTTAATCTCGAGGTACTGTTCGCCGTGAAGGAGCATCATGGGGTTGAACTTGGGGAGAATTTCATCGAAGGTGAAAGGAACCTCGGCGTTGAAGTACGGAACCACACCGAAGGTGGGTAGGACCTCGAAGTCATCGGCACCCTCAAACACCCACTTGAGGTCTGTCCGCTTGGCACCAATACCGAGGTTGTAGAGGATGACCTCCTTGTCGTCATAGGTGAACGGGGTCCCTGCAGCGGTGGCCTTCTTCGCCTTCTCAATGGCGTCGATAACCTTCTTGTTGGGAGCGGCAGCAGGCTTAGCCGCAGGCTTTCCACCCTTGCGGTTTTTCATGTTCGCCATCATCTTGGCGATAGCGTCCTGAGGGTCCTCGGGGTTGTCAGAACGTCCGTCGTTGAAAGTCACGATGTCATTCCATTCGGCCCGAACAGCCTCGGGTGTGAGGGGGACATCAACAGGGAAGCCGTGTCCACCGCTGCGTTGCCAGCGGGTGCGGCCAACCCAGCCGGAGCCAACCTCGTAGAGGGCACCGGTTCCAGGTGCGGGGACCTTGTCGGAAGCGAGGGCACCGACGAGGGGAGCGACATACTCAGGCTTGAAAGCGCGAACCATCTCCTCGGGCATGATGGTGGCGGTCATAGCGGTACCGGCGTTGGGAGCGATGGTGTTGACGAGAATGTTGTACTTCTGTCCCTCCCGGGCAAGAGTGCGAGAGAATCCGAGGATAGCCAACTTCGCGCATGCATAGTTGGCCTGACCGAAGTTACCGTAGATGCCGCTGGTGGAGGCGGTGTTGATAATACGTCCGTACTTCTGCTTCAACATGATGGGCCAGGCCGCCTTGGTGACCTTGTAGGTTCCCGTGAGATGGACAGCCATCACCTGGTTCCACTGCTCGTCGGTCATGGCGGCGAAGGACTTGTCACGGAGAATACCGGCATTGTTGACAATGACGTGGACGGTGCCGAAAGCCTTAACACAGGACTGAATGACGGCTTCACCCTCCTCGACCGAGTGCTTGTCACCCGCAGCCTTTCCGCCCATCTTCCTGATTTCGTTGACGGTGGGGTCGGGATTGACGACATCGTTGACGACAACGGAAGCTCCGAGCTTGGCGAACATGAGGGCGTAGGCACGTCCCAGTCCTCCGCCGGCGCCGGTAACGAGGACAACCTTCCCAGTGAAGTCGGTGGGCTCGCCCTGCTCATTAGGCTTCATGTTCTTCGCACCTTCGAGCAAGCCCATGAAGTCATTGGGTCCCTCAGGGTAGTCGGGATCGGTGAAGTCGTTGATCTTGGCCCATCCCTTGATGATGGCGCTGGGGGTCAAGGTATCGTCGGCCTTGAAGATGGCACCCTTGCTCCGCTCCCACCGGAACTTGGCGATGTGACCACCACCGACCTCGTAGATGCCGCCGGAATCGGTGCGGTTCGACTCGTGGGTAAGACAAGCAACCAAGGGGACAACCCAGTCGGGCTTCAGGTTCTCGAGGACCTCCGGGGGCATAACAGTCTCGGTCATCCGGGACGCAGCGATGGGAGCGATGACATTGCAAATGATGTTGTACTTGGCACCCTCGCGGGCAAGGGTCTCCGTGAATCCGACCATACCGAGCTTCGCAGCAGAGTAGTTCGCCTGTCCAAAGCTTCCGAACAATCCAGCCGCGGAGGCAGTGTTGATTATCCGTCCATACTTCTGCTTCCTCATTATGGGCCAGGCCGCTTTCGCGCACTGTGCATTTCCCGTTAGCCCCCGTTGCAGCGCCCAACACCCCCCATCCACTCAGTCGAACTTACTCTGTAACTCCCCTCCACATGCACCTTCATGACCAGATCCCAGTCGGCGTCCTTCATATTCTTGAAGGAGATGTCACGCAGGATACCCGCATTGTTGAGGAGGATGTGTACAGTGCCGAACGCCTGCACGGCGGTCTCGATGATTTTCTCACCGAACTCGACAGAATCGTAGTTGGCCACGGCCTTTCCGCCGGCCTTCTTGATTTCTTCCACGACCACATCCGCTGCCTAACCGTTACACACACGTTAGTCAACGTCGCCCTCCCCCTTCCCGTGCATGTACGCGTGAGAAAAGAAAGAATGCGGTCCGGTATGCCCGTACCTTTGTGTCGTTGCCCTCGCCCTTGAATGATCCTCCCAAGTCGTTGACGACGACGCTGGCTCCTCGCGAACCAAAGAAGAGTGCGTATGCTCTACCCAGCCCACCGCCGGCACCGGTCACGACAACGACCTTTCCGTCGAAGCGCAGGGTATCTTGTGATGAGCTCATGATTTCCGTATGTATGTGTGTGTGCGATGCGAGTGTAGAAGAAATAGAGAGCGAGTCGGACTACGAGGTAATAATACTACGCGTGGGGTGTAGGTATGTGTATGTGATGGAGTAGGAGGAGGAAGAATAGAAGGAGGTGGAGGAGAAAAGTGTTGGAGGGAAAAGAAGATGTTGGTTCAGCTCAAGTTATGGGAATCACAGCTGCACATTAATAGCATGTGAAGCTGTCGCTGGACCGGTAATAGCTTATGACGAAAGCTCGGATGCGGCCGCTGTAAGCCGAGGCCGAGGTTGAGGGCACGTGTTAGCTTTAGGTTTAGCGTCTCCGGCAACCACTGCCACGGCTTCGGTGTTTGAGGGTATCGGTAGTAACAAGTGCGTGCTATGGGGAGAGGACAAGAATTGATCCGTGAATTGAATGAATGGCACTTTCAGTATTGAAGCACTGGGGACGTGGACCCAAACTGGGTAAAGATGACAGACTTATTGTATTTTTGGAAGAGAAGCAACCACAATGCAAGAAATGACACCTGTGTTAAATTCAGGTGTCCTCCGAGATCCTCGTAAGTTGAATGGTAAGATCAAATGGCGAGATCGAACAACGAAAACGACAAGAAAGCGACAATGGGAACGGTATCGACAATGACGAGAAGACAGACAGACCGGCCGACAAGATATACACCCGGTCAGCCAAAATTCGCCACTCGTGCATTGATTTGGCCGTTCTCAGATGGAATCAAAACAACACCCTTCGCTCATGGTAGAACCGATAAACGCAGCTGGTCTCAACCGAGTCACAGCACATTCACAACTTCTAGCTGTCCGTCTCACCCAGGTCTGCACCTCTGGGTGGAAAAACGGCCTCGCCAAGGCGTCGTTTCAGCTGGGTTCCACAGTATGTACTCTACGTACCTCACAGGCCTTGGAACGTGAATGGCGTGTTGGAGGGTTTAGAGTACACAGTTACACTGCCGGTAAGTTACTCCGAGGTGCTTGTCAACTGCGGCTGACCCGCTCAGAACAGTTGGATGCTCGTTGGCACATGACAGACAGACCCAGGCCGCAGCCGCAGCCCCATTCATATCACACCGCCATTCCCCCTCACATATCACGGAGACGAGACATCACGATTCACGGCATGGAAACGGTTCTGAACCTTACTTAGGTGCCTATTCCCAGAATACCTGAAGCATTCTATGTACATACCGTTTCTAGATACATACCGCTCTCTCAATCTTTCTTTTACCAGTGGTTTCCTCGTGTAAAAAAAAAGTCCGAAAGTTTCTCCACATTCCACGGCTCCGCAGAACACACTTATTCTGATATGTACGCACTTTGGTTAGACCCGGAGCCGGAGTTTTCCCCGCCGTCTGTTTGTCTGCATGGAAAACGTGTGGGGTAGGGAACATGTGTACCGTAGGTATCTAAGCGGTACATAGGTGCATGTGGTCCCATATACCCCACGCATGGTACAGCTTCGGACTCTGCAGTGGACGCTGGATTACTTTATCAAGGCATCGGCTCGCATGTGCCAGTGCCGAGGTCTGGTCAGCAGACATGGCGGATACTCTAGTGCATCTCGGTCTCCGCGTTTCCTGTGAAGATTTTTGAGTGAAAGCACTTCAATGAATTATGAGCACAAGATCACCAATGAACGAGAACGATTATCGTAGATGGAATGAGACCATTTCCATATAATCGAAAGAAAAAATATATAACCCAGCGAGACAATGCTAAAAAAACAGGTATTGCACAGTGATCATCAAGTAAAGAGAAAATAAAAGTAAAAGTAAAAGCAAACACCATGGCCTAAAGCCCCAATTTTACAACTTCGCCAGCAGCGTTTGGCTCTTCTTCAGCTGCGCAACCGCCTCCTCAACCATCTGGTCGACAATGACCTTAGCGGGCAACTTATCGTTGACCACTGCAGCGACCTTGCCCATCAGGAACGGACGGGCGTTGTCCATGGTCTCATCGTCGAGGTTGTCGGCCTCATCCAGCTTCTCAATGTCGTACTCGACGGGAATGACACCCTTATTGGTGAGCTCCTTGATCTCGTCGCGACGGTTGACCTCCCAGTTCTCAATGTAGTCGTTCTTCCGTACTCGCAGGGGGCGACCAGTGAAGATGATGGTGCGGATGGTGTCGTCGAAGCCAGCGGTGCGGACCGCCTCCTGGTGCGCCTTGGGCGCTCCAGCCTCCTCAGCAAGGATGAACCTGGTGCCGACCCAGACGGCCTCAGCGCCCATCATGAGCGAGGCAGCAAGCGACTTTCCGTTGTAGATACCGCCGGCAGCAACAACCATGACGGGCTTTCCGGTGAGTGGCGAGGTAGCCTTCTTCGCGAGGTCGACGACGGTGGGGATGAGGATGGACGTGGGGACGTCTCCAGTGTGGCCACCACCCTCTCCTCCCTGCGCGCAGATGATGTCGACTCCGGCCTCGATGCACTTGGCGACGTGCTTGGGGTGGCCGATCATGTTCATGTATGCGATTCCGGCCTTGTGGAGACGGTCGACGACGGGCTTGGGAGGGATACCGACGGCCGAGACGAAGAGAACCGCGCCGGACTCAATGATGATGTCGACGAGAGCTCCGAGCTTGCCCTTGGTGTAGTCGTAGTTTGTGGCGCGGGCGCCGGCTCCGACCTTGGGCAGGAGGAGGTCAACGCCGAAGGGCGCCTTCTTGTCGTTCAGGTAGGACTTGAGCTCAGCGATCTGGAGAAGGACATTCGTTAGATTCCGAGTGCGGCTGAGGGGCTGAGGGAGGGAGGGAAGAGGGGACGCGAACCTGATCCTTCAGCATCTCAGGGGTGTACCCGACACCTCCAATGACACCGATACCACCGGCATTTGTGACCGCGGCGGCGAGTTTGGGACCAGCGGCAACATTCATACCAGCCAGCGCGATGGGGTGCTGGATCTTGAACAGCTTGGTGAATTCGGTGGTGATTGCTATTTCGCGTCATCAGTAACTGCACCCACAACCGACACGCAGCAGACGGGACTGTGGCACTCACTTCCAGACATGATGGGCGTTCGGTGATGATTATAGACTTGGGAATAATCGGTAGAGGAAGAGAGGCAGTATTGGTGGAGGTGTTAGGACCGTCTTCAAATGTGTGGGGAAGAGAGAGATCTTTAAACGAAGAGGAAATGGCTTCCCAGATGTGGAGCGGTAATGCGCGCTCGCCAGGTGCCGGGGGAAGCTGTTAGCCGAGGCATCTGGGCTGCAGCAACGTAATGGCTGATCTTCGCTAAAGCTCGTGTCTGGGGATTTCGGTGGTGGTCGGCAATGTCGAGGCCGTAACTCCATGACGGATGTCCGCAGTTCTAGAATTTTTAAGCCAGATCTACTCCATCATAGCCGAATTTGTATAGAGAAATCTATCAATATACTGGCCAAGTGCGGTAACAAAGTATGTAGGGAAAATATATGAAGTGAAGATGCTCGTGAAATCAACAACAAAAACGCCCGTTCATCCATCTTAACCATCCGTTCCAACCAGTTCCAGCAGCACATGTCTCAAGTCCGCGCATGGAGCCCTCGTCGTACAGCCCCGCATTCCATCTCTACTCTACAAGCATATCGGGCATATGCAGCCCTCGCAGCAAAACCAAAGTATTGCCGTTGATCGTAGTGTCTCCAATCTTCTCGCCGAAGGTCAATACCCTCCCACCCTCGACGTGGTATATGCGCAACCGCTTCTCTTCGCTATCGCCTTGGTTGTTCAGGTTGGTAACCTGCAGGCTCTTTGCCGCGACATCAAGGACCCTCCCTACGCTCCAATCCTGTCAAGCATCGTCAGCACCCATATCCCATCCCACACGACGTAACTAGTTCGAACACACACCTTCGAGTACCAAAACGTGCCCTTCGGAATCTTCGCCGACGTAGTCCTCGCCTCCGCCTCCACGAAAAGGTAGACCCTTTTCTCCTGGGGAACTTTCTCATCCCCCTTTGCCTCCTTCTTCATCTTCAAGACAGCGGCAACGCTCGTATTCGCCGGTTTCTTCCTAAGGCCCGCAAAAATTCCGCTTCCCGTCGTAGTCGTCTCCGCACCCTTCTGGGAGCCCCACGCCCTAAACTTCGACAGCGCCTCCTTCGCCTTCTCCTGGGCGACCGACGCGGCGGGTGCCGGCAGCGGCTTGCAGTCGTGTGAATCCTGGAGTCGGTGTGCTAAACAGTATTGTTTCCGGCAGATGACGCAGTTTACGCCGGGCTGCGTGGGTGTGTTGACGGTGGTCTTGCATTTTTCTGCGGCGCAAGGCGCAGCGAGGAGGCCTCGAGTCTTCGGGGCGGCGGGGATGGATTGCGCGGGCTTCAGACGCAGCGAGGAGAGCCAGGACCCGGCTTTCTTGCAGGAATGCGCGGTTTCGGTGCGGTGGTCGAGGCAGAACGTCCTATAGTAGTTCGCGATAGCTTCGTGTTAGAGTGTCGATGATTCACGCGCTTGGTGGGGCGCCGCGAAAGGAGGCGGATGATACCGTACCCTTTGCAGGATTCACAAACGAACGGTAGGAAGTCGAGCTGTTTGCAGGTGTCGATGTCGCAGTGCGAGCCGATCGAAGCTATGTCCGCGTTCTTGAGGATTTCCTCGCGATCCCGACTGGTCGCCATCGCGATGGAATTTGAATTCCTAGATAGGTATCACCACTGCGGGTGAAAAAGTCGGTGAAAGGAAGGTGCGCGAGCGAGCGGGCGAGCGAGTGTAGATAATGTATGTAGCTAACAGAGGAACGACCGTGGGCTCGTGGGGGATAGTTATGGCGGCCGGACCAGCCTTACCACGAGGCTGAGCTTCTGGGTAAGACGCGTTGATCGTCTCGGCATTTTCCATAAGCGTCTAGAAGGGTCCCGACATTAAAAATCATATGTAATTGTTTATTTGCTCATATGCCCGAGACTCATCCGCCACTGGTATCTCCTTTGGTTACCCGCCATCTCGTGCGCAACGTGATCATTTCTAAATTGGTATGTAATATTTTTCGGGCAGCTGACACTTGACAGTAGACAGTCCTCATTCGGTAATGCACGCATCATAATCTGTGATCGCGCAGGTACCAGCCACATAGAAGAATGTGTGGCGTCGTACGGAGGCTTGCACGTGAGGAGGCCTTGCGGTAGAATAGACTTCAAAAAGACACCTATCGGTACGTACAGTGTCAAAGAATTCTCCGTTTTCCTGGACGTAGCCCGCTATACAATCTAGATATCATAAATATAATACCACGTCCGTTGTTGGGCGGTGCGGAAGTTTGATCGTACGGACGGAAGAGAGGCGGAGAATCAGTGATTAAATCGACCGTCTAGGTACATACTTCTTAGTTGAGAAACAAAAGAGCGGACAACATGGGAGGTTTTTATACAACAAGCAAGAGATACAGAGTTATATAGAACGACACCTGTGTTCCAATCTCCGAGCTTTCTCTTCCCTCATTGTGTATGACCGTTGCGCATGCCATTGCGAATGTCCATTGCGTGTCATATTTTTCCCACACTACGCGTCCTGGCTTTTGAGTTTGCCAGGCTGTGGTGACGCACTTTTCTTCAACATCAGCCGGCGGAACAACTACAGGGCCGCCAGGGCGAGACAATATCAATCGACAAACAGTCGACGGCAATAATCCGACTCAGAGATCCTCAACTGAGTGCTCTGGTCAAACAGTTAATCGGGGACTGTTTGAAAACCGACAGCAATGCATGTAACGTTGGTCTTTAGGCTGCAGTCGTCGGCCGTGGACATTCGGTCTACCAGTGTGAGCCTTGAGTTTCCGCGGGGATTTCTAATGCCGAGTATATGTACTGACTGTTTGAGTCAACCTAAGAAGCTTACCGGAGGGAGACCGAGTGGAGCAGGTGGCGTTGCGGCAACGCACGAGTTTACCGAGTCCTCAGTCGGAGTCGGAGTCAGTCCTGGACTCCTGGGCCGAATACCTACTTGGTAGATACTATTTCTGGCCGGATTCTCAACACCGGAAGTGTAAGGATCCAATATCAACATTTATTTCAATATAAACCAGGTGGTGATATGGATCTTGCCGTTTCAGAAAATCTGTGAGAACATACCCACGCCTATCTGAAGTTTGTGCTCGGTACCTAATCTATAGTACCTTTGGCGTTGGAACAGCTCTTCTCGGAGTTGGGTCGGTATGTTTTTCGGTCTCTCTTGTGCATGTAGTTTCTACTGGCGCTACTAGGCTTTATTCAAAGTGCACCACCATGATGTAGCCCGGGAGGAAGCGAGGAAGTCCTACATATGTGAAGGAAACTGTCAGACTAAATACCTAAAGTATGAAAGTAATCGACATGATGGAAATCCTCTCGTTATCTCGTCCTAGCCAACAATGAGCTCCTCTCATTCCTTTCATTCCTTTCATTCCTCTCATTCCCCTCATTCCCTAGCGCCGCAAATAGCCTATCGAGCGCCATACGGAACTTCCTTACCATAACTTCCATCACCACACACAGAACCAACAGCCAGCTCTGCAGCGTACCCGGAACTAAATACATTATCCAACTACTCCACCTGGTACCCACCCTCGCAACCAGGGTGACCGCCCACCCACACTCAGGGGGGACTGAATACACATCATCGGAATACTGAAACCCTCGGGACAAGCCGACGTGACCGTGGTATACAGCTGCCAGATATATTGGATCGACACCAGGATGATGCCTTGCACACCCAAAACATCGGCTCACCACACGAGCGTATCCGCTGGCTGCGGGGGAAGTGTCGGGTCTGTCGTCATCGTCGTGGTGGCCGACGAGTGTCGGACCGAAAGCCGCCATGTCGTCACCGCCATCACGACAAAGTGCAGAGCCGACAAGACGGCGATACCTTTTGCCTTCCAGCCCGTTGGTGCGCTCTCCCGCTGGTTGTGCACAGCCTGAAACAACATGAGACTGCCGAGCACACACACACATCCTCATTAGGCGGCTGGAAAGACGGGGGGACTCGGTAGACATACAAAACAACGGAACAGACCCACTGCTGCGCAACCTGCGCAACACCCATCGACGCCGCAATGCAGTTGAACCCGCCGATGCCTTTGCCACAGCACCCGAGGACTCCCCATTATGTTACCCCCAGCAATACGAACAGCGAACTGATGCCCTCCGTCGTCTCGCGCTCGAGGATCCAGACGTGCTGTAGGACGAAGGATGCCTATATGCTCCCGCGCGATTAGCTGAGGGAAATCATTCACTACTAGTTATAGCCGACGTATACGTAGGACATATGACATACGAGGATTTCATAGAATATGACGAACGAGAAGGCTAGACCCGGCCCTGATGGTGAGAGTAGACTAGAGCATTCAAGTGGTACTTCGGTGGATGTGGTGAGCAACATTGTAGGCGTGCGTATGTTGGATTTGGGATGCGGAGCTCAGCGACTGACTGGTTGCTACCGTACATCCAGCCGCATTCATGCAGTGAGGTGTAGGAGGCTGACGTCAACTATCATAGAAGGTCACTCGATATGTCTCAGTTTATACTGCTGGAATGTGTGTACAAGTATTGTATGACCTCTGCCACCCCCATCGCTTGCCTATCTGAAGCGCGGGATCTCGGAAGCCAAATGAAAGGAAACCAAGGCATGGGCTGATAGCAGAGTCACTCACAAGAAGTATCGGTACGGCTGGAAATCCGGCCAGAGACCTGACCCAAATCCAGCGATGGCCCCCAAGCGCCTGGCCTCGATATTCTTCCAACTCAAGACAGGACACTGCCTAACAGGCCAGTATGTACCTCCAGTGGACGAAAAGCCGACCAGACGCCCGCTGCGGATGGTGTCGCTACAAGACCCAGACCCGGGAGCACCTCTTCAAAAATTGCCCTGAATGGGAAATTCAGCAAAAGACACTATGGGCAGAAGTCCGGAAGCAGACAGGGAGGGGCAAAGACCGCTTCAAAATCCGGGACCTCTTTGCAGATGAGCGATGCAGTAAGGCCATCCTAGAGTTCCTCTCTTCCACTGATGTGGGCAGATGGATGCCAGAGGCTACGGAGGAAGATGCAGCAAGTGAGGTATCCGAGTAGGAGCTCAGGAGCGGGAGAAAAGGGAGGCGGACCTGAGGCAAGAGGAGGAGGAGGAGGGTGCTGAGATTGAGGAACCGGGATCACTCCCGCTGTTTCCATCTACACCTTCCTGCATGTCATCTTCTGATGAAGAGGCAGGAGGCGGCGACGAGAACTAGTGACTTGTAGTGAGGCAGGGACGAGTCGAGGGAGTGGAAGTTGTCTTTTCATAGTGTCATTTCTTTGGTGCGCTCATACATCGTTGGGACAGGCCACGGCGGGGGCAGGGAAAGTCACATCGGGCGCCTGATGAAAGTTGGGTTGGACAGTGGCGGGGAAACGGGGAGCAATCAATGAATGAACAAAAAAACTCCAAGTATTGTATTGTTAAGAGTCTGAAAGCCTCGAGAGAAGACATAAAAGAGCGGTGGTAGGCGGCCAGTGCTTCCCGACGTCATGACCGCATAAACGACTAAGCAACGAGTGAGATATTACAACATCTACAGGCGGCGATGAGGGTAAACACTGTATAGATCTGCGGGAGAAGACGAAGCCAGTGAGGCGTCAGAGTGAGATTTGAGGGTGCAGGAACTTACATATCAACGATAGCAGTTCATCCTTCCAGCCCTGCCCTGCATAAGTCCCCCCCAAAAAGACGAGATTGATGAGTTGCTGTTACGACTCACGCCGAGCATAGTAATCCGCCGTTCGAAAAGGAAGACGGACATTTATGGTATCTTTCAATCATCTTAAGCATCCAGTAGTTTGGGAAGAAGGGTGACTGATGATTTCATGGTACGCTGTGACGCAAACAGCCTTTTTGTTTTGTTTAATCATCATTGCATTCGACCTTGGTAGATCATGGCAGATTACATATCCGTTTCCACCCATCTATCACCAACCGCTCGCCGCGAGCTCAATACAGGTTTCCTATTGCTCTTCGCCCAGCCCTACCCCCGAGACAAAACCTGCGCCCCACCCTCTGCGCCCCACCCCCTGCGCTCCACCCTCCCCGATCAACCCGCCCGCCCCCCCGGGTTGATGGTGATGGCCCAGACGACTGCATCCGCGTCCGTCTTGTCATCTTTCTCCTCGGGTCCTTTTCGCGTATTCAATGTTGAAGCTGCGAGCGAACTCGCTCCCATCTTGATACTGACAGAATTCGCATTGTCCTTCCACCATCTCGCGCACGTAACCGCCAGCCTATTGAAACTGCGAGCGAACTTGCTCCCATCTTCATACTGACAGAATTCATATTGTCCTTCCACCATCTCGCGTACGTAATCGCCAGCCTGTTGCACGAAAGGCGTGACATCGATCTCCGGAGAAAACTAAATGTCGGGAGTGAGCAGGGCCAACAGGCCGGGGGGCTGCGAGTAGTTAGTTAGCTAGTATACCGGGCCAGACATAGTGATCGTAGTGATTACCTACAGTATTGTGGGTTGCTGGTCCATATCCCCCCGGCTTTCGCCTCGTAATGCCGTCAAGCGGCCTTCATTCAGTAGTCGAAGAGCTCGTACTCGAAGAGTAAGTAGAGACGAGGGAGCAAGTTGCGTTGATTCTCGTGCCGAACCGATTCATCTGATTGAACTGCCCATTCGATTGAACCGCCAGTCGATTCACCTTGTTGACTGGAGGTCGAGTAGGTACTGGGTAGGCTGAGGATGGGGTGGTGATGGGAGATGAAAAGGATGAAAGGAAGATCAACCACCTTGTAGAGGTGGCTGAAGATGATACGAGAAGTAAGAGTGAGGAAGTGATGGTGAGATGAGGAAAGGAAGCGGAAGTGATGAGGTGGAGTCAGAAATAAGGACGAAGAAGTAATATGTAGGAGATGGTCGATCGAGGCATGAGAAGGACGAGGAAGTGGCGTGTAGAAATTTGTCTTCAACACGAGAGAGCGATGGGTAGATGAGGAAGTAGTCGATCGAGGAAAGAGAATGGCGCGGAAATGGTGTATAGAAGTTGGTTTTCAACACGAGAGAGCAATGAGTAGATGAGGAAGTAGTCGATCGAGGTAGGAGAAGGACGAGTAAGTGGGCGTGTAAAAGTTAGTTTTCAGAATGATTGAGCGATGAGTAGATGAGAAGGAGAGAAAGGATGATGAAGTGATGCTCCGAGGAGATAGAGAAGAAGAAGGATGATGATGAAGTGATGTGAAGAAGAGAAGAAGAGAAGAAGATGATGGCGAGTTCTCGCTGGTTTTATAGGTGGGCCATGGCATGATCCCCGCCAAAAGACGGCTCAGCACGCCTCGGCGCGCATATGCGCCGAGACTGTCCAAAAATGGTGATATGCGTGAGGGAAAAGACGGAGGAGACGTTACATGAGGTTTTGGGCATGTCTGAGTGGTGGAAATGGAGTTTCGTGAATAGGAACGAGTGGTTGTCTATATGTCACTCGATTCGAGTGACGGCGTGAAGACGCCGGAGCTAGGGCCCAGCTACCTGCAGGCTGCTACGCCATAGGTCGTACATACCAGAGTTCAGCTCACCCAGTCTGAAACATCGATCTAGCTCCGTTCTGTTGAATAGTAACGAACGAGTATTGTATTGGGAGAGTCTGAAGCCTCGAGAGAAGAGAGAAAGGTCAGGTAGTATGCCAGTGCCTATCGGCGTCATGACCGAGTAAGCGACTAAGAAACGACCGACTAAGGAACGACCGACTAAGGAACGAACGACTCGATACCTATTACAACAAGATCCGTTCAGTTGAAACGGGTGATATCTTGTGAGTATTATCGGCGCAATCGACTGACCTAGGGACTTATACATTGGGTTTCTGTTCGATCAGTTATATAGGGCGGGGGCAGCGTGGACTTCTTCTTCCACCACAATCATCAAGTATGTTCACCGAGTTCATTGCACCGTCTATACATAGAACAGGCACAACTCCCTGGGGCCCCCTGCCCTCTCGCCCCTTTCGCCCCTCTCGCCCCCCCTCGCCCCTCTCGCCCCTCTCGCTCCTCGTCAACTCCCCCTCCTCCCAGAGAGAGAGAGAGCATGTACTCGTCTCTCCTCGCCGCGTCCATCCCACAGGTGACAGGCCCATGGGAGCCTTTGGGAGGAGGGCCTCATCCGCCGCCTCTACCCTGCCTTCCGCCTTCCGCCTGCGGCCTGCCTCCTCACTGCACGCAAGAAAGTATCCTTCTCCGCCCAACTGGGAGGCCCCGTCGAGCGGTGATCCCATCGAGCGTTGATCCAGAACGCCCACCTGTGTTTAAAAGAGAGCTGCATGTATCTAGACCCTCTGCCATGATCTACCTACTAAGGTCATAAGATCGAATGCATTGATGAAAGAAAACAAAACGCACTGAACCCGGGGCCCTCGGCCAATACGGTACTTTGAGCTTCGTCACAATTCAGGTATTCATTGCCACTTTCTCGCTCACTCACTCACGTACCCGCTCCCAGTACGCACTGCTCACGCCTCACGCTTCACAGATCCGCACTCGCCCCCCCTCCCCCTTGCCACCCGCCTGCATGCGAAATAAATTGAAGATCTCTCTCCCTCTCTCTTTTATGGTAGTTACCCACCCCCCACCACCGACGGCAACTACGCCGCGCGGTCGTACCACGCTGCCGTCCCACGCACGGTCCCACCTCCCCACCGGCGTTGCCACGCTGCGTCGGCATCCGCAGGCCGCCCTGTCACTTGTGTAACCCTCACAACCCTCACACAGCACAGCACGGCACGGAGCCTCGGGGCCTCGGCGTCATATGCATTCCGGGCCCGGATCTTGAATTGTGCTGCACATAATGTATACATATAGGTAGTAGCGCTGTGCGTTCCGCCACTTGATGACGACGACGACGGCTGCACAGAGTCACGATGGGCGGTGGTCACGATGGTAGTGGAGGATACGAGGTAGACGAGTAGTGGAAATTGTTGAGGTGACAGATCTGACGGTTGAGCTCTCGTAGGCTTGGGATTGGGTGGGAAGCTCTCGACGCTCGTGGGGGGGGGGGGCGATGACTCCGTTCAATAGATTCCGCTGCAGTGCAGTTGGTGTGCTCGACGACAGCGTGCGTGGATCGATGAGGTCGTAGGCTTGGGTGGTGATACCTCTAGGGATGCGGGTGGTGAGATCTCGGCAGGCCAGTCTCCACGGTCGACTGTATCAAGAATCCAGAAGGCAACAGTTCAAAACACACAGAACACACAGAACACACAGAACACACAGTAAGATGTAGGTAGGTAAAGTAAAGTATCACGACACATCCGACACCGCAAGCAAGCAGCCCGCGGAGTTCACAAAGAGGTTCACAAGTTGAAATAATCAGAATCAGAATCAGAATGAGCATCAGCATCAAGTCCCCAAACATACAAACAACGGGACAAACATTGTTCCAAGGTAATAAACAGCACACATCACCCACAACACACAGCACACATCACACATCACATCACACACCACACATCACCCACCACATCCACACAAAAATAAGCGGTACTTGATACCCCCTCGCGCACTCGCGTCCCATCATAAAAAACCATTGGCTGAATACAAAAACCATAACAATCCAAATCTCCAAAATGAATAGGCAAAAAGAATAAACGTGGAGTGGATCCAAGACCAGAAGCAGCAGTAGCAGTAGAAAGGAATAAGCAAACCAAAGACGTAGCGCGTTGCTGAATTCGCACGCAATGACGACAAAACGACGACCCAAGCGTACAGAATAAAAAAAAAACGAATCAAAAAGAAAAGCAACCATTAACAGTCCATCCAAAATCATCAAGCTACCCCCTCTCACCCACCGGCATCAATCAACCAGATCATTGCGAGCTGTTGGCGTACGCACGCTTAATCTCCTCCTCGTGGGCCTTGACGATGCCCTTTCGGTTCAGCTTTTGTGCCGATGTGACGAGGCCGTTCTGTGGCGTCCACTCCTCGTCCGTCATCACGACTCCGTGAAGCATCTCCATCCCGCTGAGCCCCCCCTTCCGGCCTTGTGTCAGGAGATGGTTCAACACGATGGATGTCAGCTTCTGGTTGTGAACGAGCTCCTCGAGGTGGTCGCCCGCAATGCCGTTCTCCTTGGCAAGGGCCTTGAGAACCGGTTCGTTGGGGAAGACGACGGCGACGGGCTTGGCCTGCTGTTGGTCGGCGTAGACGAGCAGGTTCTGCACGACCGGAGTCGAACGGTAGACGGCCTCAAGCTGAGTTATGTCAGAAAGTGAATCATACGAGCCTAAATATCGACGGAACTAACCTTCTCCAGAGCAATGTACTCTCCGTTCAAAGTCTTGACCAAGTTCTTCTTGCGGTCAATCAGCTTGAGATGTCCGTTGGCATCCCACTCGCCGATATCGCCAGTCTTGAACCAGCCATCCTCGAATGCTGCCTTGGTCTCCTCCTCGTTGTCGTAGTAGCTGGGGGCCACCGAGTCACCGCGGATCCACACTTCTCCCTGTTCGGGGGTATTATCGGTGAGATATCCGGCTTCGGCAAAGTCGACCAGCTTGACTTCGACGCTAGAAGTAAGATTTCCGAGCGAGGTGTTATCCCACTCGGTGGGGTCCATGAGACAGCACATACTAGGAAATCGTCAGTTCGAGTGCAGGTTTGTGTAAGAGGAAAAGAAACTCACGCGGCTGTCTCGGTCAGACCGTAACCCATGATCATAGGGCAGATGGCCATCGAGATGAAATGGTGCGTCTCCTTCGCAACCGGTCCACCTCCGTTCATGCAGATCCTCATCCTCCCACCTGTCGCCTCCTTGACCTTCTTGAAGACCACGTTATCGATCACACCGACACCGGGGAGTCCCAGCTGCAGCAACGCGCCCTTGAGTGACATTGCACCCCAGAACATCTTCTGCTTGAAGCCGGGAAGCTTCGAAACTTGGTCCATGATACCCTTCTTGACGGTTTCCCAAACGGCTGGAACCGCCACGAGGACTGTTGGTCGCAACTCCCGAATGTCGCCCTTGCAGTTCTTCATGGCTTTGTCGGACAGAGTACGAGGGCTGCCGTAGCCCATCGCTGCACCCCACACGATGATGGCATTTTCAAAGACGAGTTCCAAGATGTGTGCCAGGGGGAGGAAGTTGAGGACGAAGTCGCCTGGAGTGATGTGAGGACCCACGATTGTGGTAACACCAGCAACTACGGAAGCGCGTTAGCAACTTGGGAAGAAGCGCATGCGAGAGGTAAGAGATCCTACCCGCGGCAATTACGTTTCTGTGCAAAAGAGGGACACCCTTCGGGGTACCGGTGGATCCGGAAGTGTACATGATGCAGCACAGATCTTCGCGATCGGGCAGAACCGGATCCACGGGGTTGGCCTTTCCCATTTCCATCAATTCATTGTAGGTGAGAATCGTCAAGTCCGGGTGCGCGGACTTCAACGTATCAAGATCTTCCTGCTTGGGCGGCGACTCGGTTGTGTAGATGACGTATTTGATGTTGGTACCAGCTTTCAAGGGGTTGATCAGGTTCTTGAGGAGATGAGGGTTCAGGAAGATGGCCTTGGCGCCGGTCTGGACGAGCGAGTGCTGCAATCCCTCCTGGCCAAGGGTATCGTAGGCGGTGACAATCGGCATGGACTGCGACGCGCATCCATGCGACATGGTGAGCCATTCCTGACTGGATACGTCATTGCGATCAGCTCCACCGTCTTTTCTTCGCCCGTAGCCCGCCCTTCGAATCACAAACGCGCATCGAAGAAGATCACATACCTTGTAGCAGCGAAGATGTGCACCCTATCGGCCGCGACCAATCCTAGGGCCCTCAAGCCGGCTCCGCATGTGTCCACCGCCACCTTGTACTGGACGAACGACTTCCAAGTGTAGCCGCTCATCTCGTAGAAGGTCCAGTTCTTGGAGACCTCGCGCTCCTCGCCGTCCACCATCTTCTTCACCTTCTTCTCCTCGGTGTGGGTCTTGATGAGCTGTCTGCTGCCCATGCACTCCGAGTCGCCGTACTTCTTCGCGCCGCGAACGACGATGTCGTAGAGCGTCTTGACCTCGGGATCGGGGGTGGTGGTCAGGGCATCGATGGAAAGAGGGTGACGGCGCGGGATTCCCTCACCAGGCTTCTTCTCGACGCCTGGCACCTGGAGGGAGTACGGTGGCTTCTTCGTCGCGATGGGGTAGAGGATCTGTTTCTTCGGATTCGACATGGCTGATGAGGAAGCTGCTGTGAATGACGTTCGCTAGGGTCGACCGGTAGGAATGGTGCAGCAACAGTGTGCCGTGAATTTATAATTTGGGGGGTTCGGTGGTGCGGGAAGGGATTGAATGGGGGATCCGTCTTTATAGGAAAGGTTCCGTGGTGAGGAGGAGGAGGAGGAGCAGAAGCAAGGGAAGGAAGGTGGATTGAGAGCGAAGGGACGGTGGCCGGAGGAGACCTATATGGGGGGGAGGTAGTGATGTGCGACACCAACCAGCCAGCCAATCCCGGGAACCTTGGCAACAGCATCAGAGACCGCCCTAAGTTGCGGCAGAAGATCGGTATTGGCTAGAGTTAGACAGAAATCCCAACAACTTCCCCAATCAGAGTGGCGAGGGCACGGGTGACTCGCAAATGGCAAGCTGTCTGCATTGCTCACTCCATTGCAGGAAACTCCGTCCGCGACGGTTCGAGATGTCAGCATCTGCCTCATTCCAACGGATATCAAGTATGCATGCTCGCCCCTTCTCCTTTCTCCGCGCGGCCGGAGTCGATACAAGTAGGTACATTCCCACGAACGGACAGACAGACGACGCCGGAGGGTCGGGGGCACGAGCAGACAGCCACGCTGGCCACTGGGAGTACTTGGTTGCTGCCCCACATGGAGTTCTCATAACACACGGTACTCGCTCCGAGGCTCACACTCCGCCCGGTGTCGGCGTTGTTATCCTCCGGTGGCCAGCCATCAAATCAACGATCGGACCAATGCTATGGAAGGCATCGCCATCGTACTCTACTCTGCTCCAGACTCCAGAGGTTGATTCCGAGTTATCAGAGGAGCACAGAAGCCCAAGCGTCTCACGGATGGGTGGGTTCTTGGCGAATGAAGCGAGCGAATGACACCTCCCGGACTGCCACTGGGCTGGCTGAGCACATCGCAGACCACCACGCAGAAGCGTCGAAAATACGGAGCGGTGCATGCAGATGTGATGCCTCTCTCCAGATGCTACCTAGTGCTCGCAGCTCGCTCAGCATCCCCTAGAGGAGGGGAGCTGGGTGCGGCAACCTCCGTTCGTGGGGAACAAAAGCCAACATCACAACAACTACGACGGCGCTGTGGACGCGTGAGCTGTGCCGCCCAGCCCAGCCCGCTTGGAAGTGTGTGCCCACCGTCACCACCACCACCAAGCCCCGCAAAACACCAGAATCCTCTAGACACAGCCGCACTGCTAGCAGAGGTTGACGTCTGGCTTGCCACTACTACTCTCATGTGGTACCTAATAGACGATAAACATCCCCCCCTCTCTCTCTCATTCCTGGATGTTGAGACGGAAAGAGGTTCACGGGATCAAAGTTCACCACTTGGCACTCGGCAGCCTTGGCCTTTTCGCGTCGAGGTTGACTGAATTTCCGAAACATCCGCAATTCCCTCAACGCCGACATCAATTTCGGGCGCGGCACACCCCTCGGCACAATTCCGAGCACCTCCGACTCCCGAGCGCGACCACCCAAAAGACAAGCGAACTTGCTGGCGAAAATACTGGACGACAGCCATGTCCGCAGAAACGGCGGTATCGACATTCCTCCATCTCCTCGGCCCTCCTGTTGAGGATGCATACGAAGGTTCGTGACACGCATCGCATAAATGCTATTTCCACTTTTTTTTTTCTCGTGCGCCCGATCCATTCTGGCCCGCCCCCACAACGGAGTGGTCCCCATTTCTTGGCCTTGTCCTCCAAGCCTCGCTTCCTTCCTTCTCCACAAAGCACCATCCATCCCCGTGCCCTCACTCGCTCGTTCGCTCGCGCTCTCGCTCCCGACTTCCGATCCCTCCAAGATTCGGGCGGGGGGGGAGTCAGCTACCTATTCCAGCCCATCGCCTCGGTGTCACCGGCGCACGAGATGGATGGCGTCGTGCCCTGGAAGCCGATGCGACATTGTCTCCTGATGGCCGATGGCAGGAGGAGCACGCACTCTACTTTACACTCACCGGTGCCGTCGTCGCTAATGGGTGATTGCTGCAGGCATCCAAGGATGACTTGCAGCTCCGGGCGATCGCAGCGGCACCGTAACGCCGCTCCGCTGTTTCCATGCCGTACCCTACATACCGCAAACACAAAACAAATGCCGGCCCCGATATTGCGCCGTTTCCCCTGTCAATCCCTTTACCCACAATGCCCTACATTACCCTTCACGCCGCAATGCCTCTCCCCCCGCCTACGCCGCCCGCTGACCCGCCACAGAAACCATGGACCTAGCCGCGCTCGCGCCGTCCGCGCGGCCGCTGGGGATGCACTCTGCCAACGCGGTGGGGATAACCCTCTCAATCCCGCCGTTCACGCTATCACTCACCCAATCCCCCTCTCTCCTACGCTCCAACGCCACACAAGGCACAACCGGCGCAGTGCTCTGGTCCATAACCCCGCACCTCGCGCGGTACCTACTCTCGCCGGGCAGCCCGTTCACCCTACTCCTCACGCCCAGCAGCACAGTCCTCGAGCTCGGCTGCGGCGTCGCCGCCGTGCTCGCCGCGACGGTCGGCACCCGCGTAGCAGCGTACTACCAGAGCGACCTGCCCAGCATGACAAAGCTCGCCGCGCAAAATCTTGCCGCAAACCTTCCCCCTCCCCCGAGACGAAAGCAGCAGGGCTATCGCCCGCCGAACGTGGTCACTATCGATGTGGATTGGGAGAACACGGAGCTGCCCTCACATCCTGCACTCCGCAAGATGGGTGGGCCGCTGGATCTGGTGATCGCGAGCGACTGCGTGTATAACGAGGGCCTCGTCCCCGCGTTTGTCGATACGCTTGTGGCGGCGTGTCGGCTGCATCGTGGCGAGGGCGAGGACGACGGCGAGGGGGAGGGGGAGGGGGAGGGGAACAGAGGGAGGACGCTGGTACTGGTCGCCCAGGAGACGAGGAGTCCGGATGTTATGGAGTGCTTTTTGATAGAGTTCATGCGCAGGTTTGTGGTCTATAGGGTCCCCGATGATAGGTTGAGTGAGGAGCTAGGGGGCGAGAGGGGGTATGTGCTGCATGTGGGCGTGCTGAGGAGGGGATGAGGGGGGTGGTGAGGGGGAGGATTAGAATGTGTTCCAATACAATGACGTACAGGAGTGATGTGCTTTTTCTATTGGAAGCGCCGACTTGGGCCTTGATGCCGGTTCCAATACATAGATCTTAGGATATCGCTATAGTAAGCCTTTAGAATCCAGAATCTGGATGAATAACTCATTATCCACCAAAACCGGCGGGAAGAATTGGAATCTCGAGTGATATACCATGACATAGCAGTAGCAAATCGGTTCGCCGATTTGTACGATACCTTCCTTCTTGCTCTTCCGCGATTTCTAAGTACTTCCTTCATCTCGCCTTTGGTGAGTTTGTCACCACTATGTAGTCAATGAGTTGGGTATGACTGGGTTTGTGATGTGTTGTATTGTGGTAAGGACTCTACTACATAGAACCCCGTCGTGTTTCCTAGTCCTGCTCACTCGATATCTGTGCATCGGCGTCGCTCACTTCCGCCCGTCTTAGTTGCCCATTCAAGTCTCAACCATTCGCTGAAAATAAAGTAAACATGAATGTACAACTTAAGGTACGATGCGCAGCGTAGCATCATAATTTATAGCATCGTGGGGTTTGGTAGATGCAATGGCACAACGGAGTTGCAGACGGCTCCGCTGCCAACACCCACCCCTCCAGCCCACCGATGGGGGAGAGAGGAGTCCACACACTTCCTCTCGCCGACAGCTCCTCCATCAATTCCTCCTCTCGCCAACAGCTTCTCTTCCACTCCGCCAAACAGGGGGCTGTCACTGGTCAGAGTCCAGACAACAAAGGCCATAAATGCTCGTGGGTTATCCGCGGCGAAGCCAGTACTAATGCTGCTCACAGCGGAGACAGTGTGTTATGTATCTGGGGCTCGGCCAGGCCAGCGCGGTATTCAGAGCAACGGCTCACGACTCACGAGCCCCATGGATGGATGGTGTGGGAACTTGGAAGGGCATCGGTGGTTGGCAGCCTGCGGGTGCTTGGATTGGAATGAAAGCATGACAACCATCCGGAATTCCCAAATACATACGTGAGGACTTTTACCACTGAAGAAATCTTGAAGGGCTCTTGGAGATATCCGGTAGAACTATGTATAGTACAGCAGCGTAAAACTTTACGTAGTGTAGGCACTGCCTGACAACTACTTTTCAATTCCGCAAGGACTCGACAGCTCTACTGTACCTATTCAGCTCAATCCGTATCGTTTCCTCTACAGTATTTGTTCCGTAGGCCTATGGCACTTCCTACACTACACGAATGTCGTAACTGCTTGCTTGCGTACACCACGTCTCATCATACTCACAGTAAGTATTTGTGAAACTAGAGGGTTTCTATCGTACTGTATGCATACCGGATTCAGTGACCGGAGCATTCTGCTCAGCACGGCATTTCTTCCGTAGGAATCTTGTCGTCATAGGTTTACCACAGTCTAGGAATTACTTGAGCACCTAGCATGACAAAGCTTTCTCTGCACTATGTACGTTATTGTGCGAATAAGGTAGTTCTCTGGTAGTTTTCTGGTATTCTGTACAGTGCGTAATATATTGCACGAGCGGTAGATAGTACTACTGGAGACCTTCCGCATCAATCGCACACCACTTTTTGCTACCGTATGTACTCTGTAGGTACGTGCATATATAAGCAGAGTGTTGTTTCTCCACCAGTTCCTCTCCATATCCAGGGCTAGGGTTCCCCGCCGGCCCAGAGAAACGGTCTGTCCTGTCTTGCAGGGTGCTGGCTGCAGCCAGGGTTCCTGGCAAACGGTCCAGGTGATTGGGCCCACCCTCCGAAACGGACAGGGGTTGGGTTGGTCTCCGTGGTGGTGGAGGCTCGCACGCACGCACGCCCAGGTACCGTGCTCTCGTTACCGTGTACGTCTATTTACCTGCTACCTGCTACCTCCAACGCAGCAACGGCAGAGCAACTACCTACGCATTGCACCACCACCACCACCACCACCACCACCACCACCACCACCACCGCAGCGATGAAGCCATCACCAGCCGTCTCGCTGCTTCTCACGAACCTCCGCCTGCTCGACTACGACTTCGCCGCCTTCCCCATCACCGCCGACGTCTTCACGTCCCTCACCAACAAAGGCAAGGCGTTCGAGCACATAATCTACCACCTATTCAGCATCTTCGATCCAGAGGAGTGTGCACTGGTATTCCCCCTCCCCCCCCCGTCCCCTTCCCCTCGCCCCCTTCCCCCCGCTCCCTCGCTCACCCTCTTATGCCTATAGAAACTGCACACCTGCTGGCCAATCTACGAGCCAGCGCAATCGCGCGAGCTGCGGAACGTAGTGTTCAAATGGCTCGACGACATCAAGAAGAGCGGACGCCTGGGCGGCGTGCTGATCCGCCGGACGACGCTTGACGACTGCTGCGGTCCGCGGTACGAAGAGCTGCTGCTCGCGCTGTCGACTATGGTGCTGAGGGATCGCATTGAGGGCGGTGGGTGGAAGGGGTATACGCCTAGTACTGGTATGTCCTCGAGGAAGGGGGGGAGGGGGATTGGGGACTTAGGCAGGGGATCTTGGGGGTGTGCTGATGGATCGAGGAAGCGTATCACCAGGCGACCAGTAATGCGCCGAATCCTGCGTACCTCACACCGCTGACCATTGCGCACCGGGTCGTGCTGGAGTCGATACTCGAGGCCCGCCGGAGTGCGAAGGCGCAGTGGGAGTCGTTCGCGCGGCTGCTGGAGGAGAAGGAGGCCATGCTCGCGGCCATGGCGGGGATGGTTCCCTCGGAGGAAGAGGAGGCGGCGGCGGCGGCGGCGGCGGAGAAACGGGCGAAACCCTCGCGACCACGGGGCTACGAAGAGAATATCCGGCGGAAGTGGGAAAACAATTGGCTGGGTGACCCGCGGTGGCTGGATATAATCTTGAATGGAGACCCGGAGTCGACGCGTGACCGGTTCCTGGAACTGCCGTTTGAGCAGGCGTGGGAGAATCGGCAGTATTTTGAGGGCAGTACGATGGCCGCTACGCCGGCGGTTAGTCTGAAGGGGCTCGAAAATCAGGTTGCCGAGCAGAGACGGAGGGTTGCGGAGATTCGGAAACTTAGAGAGCTCAGTTTGACTGGTGCTTCCTCTCCGGTCAAGTCGGGGGCGGCGAGTCCGATTAAGATGGCACCCGAGGAGCAGAAGGAGAAGAAGAAGGGCCTGGGGGTGGAGTTCAATAGGCATCAGGATCTGCATATGAAGAATATGGTTGGACAGCAGATCAGGGGCAGGGTCCATCAGAGTGAATGTGGGTTGAGCTGTGCGCGCAGGGTTGGTTCTTCGCTGATGGGGATTTAGATGCGGATCTGCTCAGTTCCTTGCGAGAGGAGATGATGTTGACCGGTGCCCCGACCCAGCGGGCACACGAAAAACCAGAGGTCCCAGTATATTATTCGTATGACGGACCGGAACAGGCAGAACAGTCGCAATCGCAATCGCCAGCTACACCAGCGGAAATGGATGACGGCCCTGAAGTCTACCATCTGCGTATCAATCTGCAGGAAGGAGGTGGCAGCAGCGATCCAGAAAGCTGCGACGGCGGAATACAGGATGACATGCCATCACCAGTCGACACCCAAGCTAATCAGGATGATGATGCAATGGATCTGGACGACGAGATGGACGTCGATCAAGAGGAGGGGTACGGCCAACAGCAAGAGAGCTCATACTACCAGCCGAGCAAGAGCCCATCGCTCATGCCTGGAACCGGAGAGACCTCAGCCATTGGTAGCGGAATGGCATCCTGCCTGAACAGCAGCGACGAGGATGAGCCAGAGTTGATGCCTCCACAAATACCCGAGATCCGCCGTCAGGAGAGCACTCCGACGCAGCCCATTAACTCGCGAGCCCGCAACGAGCTGTCCTTCGGTATGGACGACGAGCTTTTCGCAGAGCAGGTTCGTACCCAAATTCATCGGAATTCATCTACACAGCGAGCTTACACGTGCATTACAGATCGTCTCCTCCATCGCCGCAGCATCCTTTTCTCCGGAGAAGCCATCGCCCATGAAAGGTCGCGGCGTGGCCATCACTCGCCAAAAGGGCGGTATGATGCCCTGGGAGCGTGCCGCCACGTCTTCACCCCCAGCGCCTCTCGGCCCCAACTTCGAAGACGACTTTGGCGACGACACCACCATGACGCTACCACCGGACGAGGATGAGCCCGAGGTCCAGGAATCCCCAACTCGGACTCGGAACAACAACTTGATCGCCGCTCCCGGACAACCACCCGTCGTGTCCGCCACGCCAACAGAGGACCTCATCGCCGGCGGCGACTACAACTCCGTCTTCAAGTCGCGGCCCAAGATCGCGTTGAGTCCCACGTTCACGCCCAGCCCTCCACGCAACGGAGGCCCGGTCAAGGGGCTCAATATCAGCATGACCGGAGGGGATGACGATAGCGACGACGAGGATGAAGATGAGGTTATGGAATACATTTCGAGCCCGTTGACGAGTAAGATCAGGAGGTAATTGGGGTCTGGGTCGGGGGGGTCGGGGGTCGGAGGGGGATTGTTTTTCGTTATTCCGTCCAATGGATCTTTAGAGCGCGGGCGTTTTGTAGGTTTAGTTCTGTTTTCGGATTGTATGCAAACGACGACCCTTTTGCTACGTTTAACTTTTCATGTCGGTGGATCATGTCGATGGACCATGGCTGGCGCGGTAGATGTACTACCTATGTGTATACTACGTTCACCCACACACACGCATACCGCACTGTATTGATTTCGACAGCCGCGCTTTCGTGCTTTCTTGCCGCGCTTGATTTCCGGAGTCGCCCCCAGGACTCAAGTTTGCCAGGAAGTTTCCAGGAAGTCAAGTCGGGCGAAACGACGGATGGGTCATGGAAGATGAAAGATGAAACGGGCGCGGACGGGTGGATACATTTTTGCGTAATTTTTTAATTTTTTAATTGCGCACTCGCGTATGCATGCAGCTTTCGAAGTACCGGAATGTATTATACTATGATACTATGGTGTGTATATTGTGTATGGTATGTATGGTATATTGTAATTTGTTTCTCGCAGCCTACGCCGTAATCGACGCCGCAATCGACGCCGCAACCTACGCCGCAAAACGTACGATACCAACATATGTACTTTTACTTGCGCACGATGATCGATCTTGATGCGGGGAGGGGGAACGAAGATCTACATGGAGATTCATATGAAGATCTACCTATACAAACATCCAGGTACCAGTACCTATACGGCGTCGGCACTGGGCACTGGGTACTGGGTAGAGTACCTACACGGTGTGAATAGAGTGCCGGCCAGGGCCCAGGAGATACTATGTACCGTACCGGCGGGAGCACGGCGGAGGAAATGATCGCGATTTCTAGGTATTCCCATGGATGATGGTAGTTCGAAGTGAGGTTACAAGTATATACCGGTATACCATATCGGTATATATACACCCGTGCCGCGACGGTACCTATGATACCTCTAGCTGCCGTGGTGAGGCGGGCGTGGGTGGATGGGCGTGGTAAGGTGGCTGGGTGGCTGGGTGGCTGGGTGGCTGGGTGGGTACTCGGGCACTCGGCCGTGAGTCCATGCTCTACGGTATGGTCTAACTGTCATTCATGGCATGAAGTCTATGCCATGAAGTCGTCGACAACGCATCACAGCCAGCCAGCACGTATGTACAGCACAGCCAGCACACTGCGAGTCTACAAGGCTATGTACGAGTCGCAGAGGCCCCTGTGGCCCGAACTGCTGCTGCTGCATTGTTTTTTTTTTGAGCTTCGCCGCGCGCCTACATATTAGTACTGCAGCGCATCGCGGCGGGCGCATCATGTCTCCTGCAGGAGATCCACTGTGCAGTGTGGGTGTGGGCGAGTATCTACTCTACTCTACTTTATACATACTAGTAGTAGGTGGTATATACAAAGTCTATTCTCTCCACAAAATAACCATCTATCAAAGCGTAAGGGTATCTACAGCCCACAGGTCAACGATCAATCATCGACCTCGGGCTCCTCGCACGTAGTGCATCCACAGTCGAAGCCGTACTCTTCCGACAGCGCCGCTCGCCGATTGACGGTGCCCATCCGCCAGTCGGGCCGGTAGCAGTGCGTTAGTTCCTCCCCCACCTGTTCCAAGCACGGGGCGGTTATCAGTTCCTATGTCCTGCTGTCCACCACTTGCTGTATGCTCCAGTATGGGACGGTGGTAGAATAGCAGAGACTGCCTGCGTAGTCCTCAACGCACCGGAGCCTTCGTCGAGGGGGGGGAAACGTACCGCGATATCCCTATCCGTCCAGAACTGAATCTGCCCTCTCTCCGCCTCCCCTTCCCCCTCCCCGCCGTCCTCCCCCTTGCCTTCGCCCTCCCCATCCGCAACCCAAACCCACCTACAATTCTCGCCACCAACACAAGCATGATTCAGTCTCGCGGCGAGTGCAAAGACGCCATTAACGGTGCCCTCACTATCCAAGCAGAAATTATTCGCCTTCCAGACGGCGAGGGCGGTGGACTCGTCAGTGGGCACCGGTATCAGCGGCAGATTCGAGCACAGTGCCAGCAGCGCGGCGCGCGGCGCCGGCGGGAGCAGCGAGAACCCCGCCAGTACCCGCGTTGATTGCGGGAGCGCGTGCGAGGACGAGGAGGTTAACAGGAGTAACGGTGATTCTGAGAAGAGGTGTGTTCCGGTTGGGATGAACGAGGTGGCGAGAAGTGCCAGCCCTTTGCCGGGGAGCGCGGTCACGGTGAACGGGTGGAGAGGTGCCAGGGGGGGGAGGGAGGGAGTATGCGCTCCTGTGGAGGTGGTGGAGGGGGCGCAGGTGTCGAGTTCCATTGATTTGCGTTTGCGGGGCCGTGGTTGGTGCTGCGATTTTGATTTTGATTTTGCGACGGCGGAGGAGGGAGGGAAGACATCGTTGTCGTTTTATCTGCGGTGGAGTAGCGGTGAAGGATGATATCGGAGGGGGAATGCGGGTGAACATGGGGAAGTTGATAGTGCTGATGGCAAAAGGCGCTGCTGTTGATGGCAAAAGGCGCTGCTATGATGGCTAGTACAAAGGGCTCGAGTAATATCGTCCAGTCAAAGGAGCACGATTGGCGATTGTGTCGTGGTCTGGGCCGTGCTATGGCGGTCGGTACTCTATGTGCATTGTGCTATGATAGCGCCCGAGTAACTGTTGTTATCATACATACCGCATGCCATAATAAAGCAGGTGTTGCGTCCGGCCTGCGTGTGGAATAACGATGTTCCGCGCCGGTTGCGGCCAAGCTGAAGCAATGCCTAACAATGCGGCTGTTTGCAGGAAGTCTCTTGTCTCTTGTCTCTTGCAGTGGCGAGCGCAGCAAGCGCTCTGGGAGCCGAGAGCCAGGAGGTGGAATGTGCATTGTGCACCCCTCAGCCTCCGATACTTGGTTATCGCATAATCAGTGGCGTTATCGTGACATCGGGCAGAGAGCTTCAGCACATCGCAGCTAACCAGCCAGCCAACCAGCCAATCAGCGCTTTCCGCGCGCAGACTCCAGAGGCGGAGCGGCGCGGCGCGACTGGGTTTAATCCGAAACGCGGTCTGTTGCGGGGCCGCCCTGGCCTGTCCTGTCCTGCCCTGGCCTGGCCTGCACTGGCGTGCCCTGGCTGACGGCAAGAACTCTGCAGCCGCCAGCCGGTCAGCTACTAGGACGTAGTGGACACGGGCTGAAGAGGAACTTGGAATGGAAGGGGAGTGGTGTCTGCAGAGGAGAGTCCGGAGAGTCCGCGTCCGGGGAAATCTTCCGAGCCCGACCGACGGCGATCACGACGTCAGCCTTCCTTTAGCTGGTCCGTCCAAAAGAGTTGAAACGAAACGTAGGGCACTCTTAGAAATTCAGGGTTCTCCCTCGCCCATCCCGCCTCCCCCCCGCGCCGAAGAAGTCGGGATCAACACGACAGTCCGTCGGTCGGAGTATCGATATGCAGGTCATCCCCGCGATCTGCAGATGCAGTCTAAAGGGAAGGGAAGGGAAGGGAAGGGAAGGGAAGGGAAGGGGGCTTCAAGGAAGGGGATGGGGATGGGGAAGGGAAGGGAAGGGAGGGAGGAGGAATGGGAGGTGAAGAACCGGCGTCACGAGGGTGTGGCTTCGTTCTTGCTGAGTGGCCCAGCGACACGGCTGCGTCCCCCTGAGGGTGTTTCACGCTGGAACGGGGTAACCAAGCACTTTGCGTGGGTATGTACAGGGGGAAGGGGTGATGCGATACCTACTCTACATACATGGCATTGATATGTACCCGGCATAGATACTTAAGCACCCGCGACGTCCTGCGTTCTGCGGAGCGGCCCAGAACTGGAGGAGCCGTAGCGATAAAAATACTCGAGCAGCGCCCGACTTTCGTTTCATCACCATCACCACCATCTTCTACTTCTTCGGCGCAGGCGTCATTCATCCGTTCGTTCATTTGTTTACGGTACTTCACTTCACTTATCTTCACTTCCTCGCTTCACACGATATCACCAGCCCAGCCCAGCCCAGCCAACATGTCCACGAAATCAGTAACCACAATCTCCACGCGGGCGCGGTCGCCCAAGAAGTTCTACGCGACGCTTGTCCTACGGGCACTACAAGTGCTCCTCTCACTCACAATCGCGGGCGTCTTCGTGCGGCTGCTCGCGACCTCGTGGAGCGCCACGCCAAAGCCCGAGCTGATCCTCCTGCTGGCCTTCGTACGCCCCCTCCCTCCCTTTCCCCCCACCTTCGCTCCACACCCCCCGCTAACCTCCCGTTAGACTTCGGTATCCATAATCCAAGCCCTAGCAGGCGCAGTATTCACCTGGTTCGCGCACGAGCGCACATGGCTGGCGATCTGCGACCTGGCGTGCTGCTGCGGCTTTGTCGTGACGGCGATCATGACCCGCGGCGTCACCGCGAGCTATACGTGCGATCAGTGGTTGAGCGGCGAGGGGAGCACGCGGGGGGACGATGGGATGGCGATGATGGTGCGCAGGGACGAGGGCGAGCGAGGGGAGTGCACCGGCCTTAGGGGCGTGTTTGGGATGGCGGTGGTGCAGTGGTAGGTTCCTCCTCTTCCTTCTTCTTTGATAGCGGGGGATGTGGGTGGGGGTGTGCTGTGGATGGGGCTGATTGAAGCGGCAGTGTTCTATTACTCGTCACGTTCCAGATGATCTTTGTACTCATGCGCGCACGGAACTTTGAGATGCGCATGAGGAACATGACCGAGAAGCACTGGCGGGCGTGGGATGGTCAGGGACATGCCGGCGCCGGCGCAGGCGGGGATCCGTACACGAGGAGGCCGGCTATGGCTCAGGTCGCCTAGGTTTTGGGTTTGGGTTTGGGGTTTGGGGTTTGGGTTTTGGGGTTTGGGGTTTGGGGTTTGGGGGTTTTGCGCTTCGGAGGGAAGGGAAGGGAAAAGACCCAGAGACGGGTCGTTCTGTCATTACCGTATGCACTGAAGCATTGTCCGGTTCGGTTTGGTTTCGATGCGATGCGAGTACATAAAGTACCTACGCACACGCATAAGTATACGTATATCTACGCTGCTATCAACATCAACTTGAGCATGCCCTACCTCTAGATATCTGCCCACCAGGTGCACACATATGGCCTCATGAATCATGATTCATCCGTGCCGTGAATGTTTCACGGCCCGCCATCGTTCTGTCCGGTGGCAGTTACGGGTTTAGCACGGAGTCGTCGTCGTCATATGATATCGCAGTCGGTCTAGGATTGAGTGATTGCTCGGTTGCTCGTTTACTTTATCACCAGTGCCCGCAAGCGACGTAAAATTAGAAAGAAATATATTCCATCCATCCATAATCCTGCTACATAGTTTGCAAAACACAATTTATCACTCGGCCACACGCTCACAAGCACTGCGAGTACCAATCTTTGTGCGGAATCACAGTCAGCTTGAGTAGAGTATCGGGGAGTACCTATCAATGGACGGGGAAAGTGTGTAGAGTACGTACCGTTAGATTCCTTGCAAGTGAACGGAGACGCACACTCGGTCGCCCCCGTGTACGTCTTGCCGCCGCACTGCGAGTATTGTGGGAGGCCGCCGGTCGTGCCGCCGCTTGGCGCGGCTGTGGGGACGACGGCGGTTGTCCCTGGCTCGGTTGGCTGGGTGGGCTGCGAGGGGGCGGCGGTGGGGACGGCGGTTGGGTCGACGGGTGGGGCGGTCGTGTCAACGGGTGGTGCGACGGCTGTGGAGTCGACCGGAGGTGCTACACCTGTGGGAATAGGCGTGGCGGTTGAGCCTACCGGTAGAGCTGTGGTGTCGACTGGAACGGCCGGAGCTGCGGTTGTGTCCACTGGGGGTGCTACTCCGGTGGGAATAGCCGTGGCGGTTGAGTCCACTGGTGCAGCTGTGGTGTCGACTGGAACGGCCGGAGCTGCGGTTGTGTCCACTGGGGGTGCTACTCCTGTGGGAATAGGCGTGGCGGTTGAGTCTACCGGTACAGCTGTTGCTGTATCAACCGGAATTCCTCCGGTGGGTACAGCCGAGGGATCTGCCGCCGAAGCCGCGTTGGTCGGTACCGGTACGGGTACCGTCTCCGTCCCCACAGCCGGCACAGTATCAGTGGGCGCCGTCGACACGACGGCCGAAGTCACAGGCGTTTCAGTCCCCACGATCGGCACCTCCGTCACCACGGCACTCGACGCCACAGCACCACCGTCACCACCGTCACCTGCGTCTCCATCCGCAGCGCACTCCTTCCACGAGTCATAATCCGCACTCCTCGCGCTGGAAAGCAGCATTCCAAATTGCCCGAAAGAAGTGTGCTGCGTGATATCACTCTCGGGATCTGCGGGGTCCGTCGGTGCGTCGGCCCCATACGCCCACCCCATCACGGCGGTCTCGCCCGTGAGATCGAAGCCCCCCGTCGTGTTCGAAGATGTCGTCCACGTCTGGCAGTTCTTGCATGTGAATGTCAGGGTGAAGTGTGTTTCGTTCACCGAGGTGCCGCAGGTCAGTGCCGTGAGCTCCGGGGTGGTGGACGTGTAGGCGGTTGGGAGGGCGTATGACCTGCGAAATGTTAGTGGAACGGGAGGGGGGATTGGAATTTGGGGGACTCACTCGGCCATGCGGAAGGCCCGGACGATCTCGCCGTTGTTGGACCAGGCGGTTAGGAGGAGGTTGTCCAGCATTCCTCCGCCGAAGCTGACACCGGCCCAGCCCGTGATTGGCGCTGACTGTGGTAGGGAGGCGCATTAGCAGGCGCTGTGGCATATACCCATGGTGGACAGAACAAACCAGCTGGCCGATAAACTCATCGGTGGGAGACTCGGGAACCGCAATGCCGAAGGCAAAGCCGTCCCGAGCGGACTGGTAGGACTGGAAGGCAATCCCCGTGGCCCAGTCTGTGTAGGGTGTCGAGGATTGGGCGGTCACCGCGGCCACTGCTACGTATCAGAATGTGTAGTTTTAAAGATATAGGTATCCGAGAAACATACCGAGGCCGAGGAACGAAAGGGCTGATGGGGTCTTTGCAAACATTGTGCGTGTCAAGTTTCGGTCGTGCAGATAGAGAGGGTGTGTGTAAAGAACGTTGTGCCAGACGATGGTGGTGGTGGACCGAAACAGATATCTACGGAATCTACGTCGTATTTAAACACCTCCAATCCGCCGACTTTCTTCCTATCTATGGTCCAACATCTCTACATGATACCTGTTGACACTGTCCATCTTTGCAACACAATTCCCCCAGCCTTTTTGCGGTCCGACGAGGCGGCGTTCATGACAGGGGGACCAGCCGGCCCGCTCCTACCGCTCCTAACATCCAACGTATGGTGTATATGAACGAAGCCCATCCAAGATTCCCCACGGGAGTCCTGCCGATCAGTGCCAGATCTCCCAACTTCTCAAGGCCCGAGGACTCCGATCGGACGGCCACTCGGCAACCAGGATGGTGACCGGCTGTGACGCTGCGACAATCTGTGTGAAACCCGAGAGGCGTAATGGCCACGCACACGGGTGTGAGGTATATCCCCGGATCATCTGCCCCGGGGCTCCATCCCGGCATGGTTAAAAGCTGGATGCTATGAAGTATCTACTTCTTTGTTCCGGAAAGCAATCCGGGGAAGTGGACGGGACTTTTCTCGGAAGCGGGCCGAAGAGTGAGAGCTCTGACGTCGGGTTAGCCATGGGTTCGCATTGACCGGAAAATTAAAATCCATACATACTCGTTCTGACATCTGTCCCGACTTCTTCTTTGAGGATACAAATGGCTCTCTAATCTGTCATCCGTGGTGGCAGGTAAACCGATGATATGTGCTTACCTTGTATCGATAACGTGCGTGCTGTAGTGTGCAGTGGAGTACAGCTACAGGGGGACCGGCCCTTCGCGGGAATGCGGGGTGTCGGTTCCCGGGTTATCCACAGACGTCCGCAGTCCGCAGTCTGGAGAAATATTCCACCAAACGAGCGACGAGATCAATGGATCTTACTCTTTATACTCTAGAGCAAGTATCTACAGTATCTACAGTAACGGATGTAGGAATCGCGGATATAACTTGATTACCCTCATGTGCATAGCCGTCGTATCCACCATGCTGTGCAGCATCCAAACTTGTTTACCCCGCCTAAGTGCAGGTTCATGCCGGTCTAGACATCGGCAAACGTGTACCGACATGTAGTTGCGTATGTTTGTAGCATAGGCATACTGTAGAGGTAGTACATACTACAAAGGCGGCACGAGTATTTATATCCAGAGCTCCTCCACCTCTCAACTCCGATCCATTCAAACCTCGAATCAAGCAGCTCCAGCAATGCACGTCTCCACCGAGCTCTTCCCCAATGCCGAAGTCACCGCGGCGGTGACCGAGTATGCCATCGCCAACTCCACCGGTCTCGGCGAGGTCATTAACCAGCACCGCAATGACACTCTGGAGTTCACGCAGCGGGAGGCTCAGGATCCGGCCATGATGATCAATACCCTCCAGGTGAGTCATCGTCACGAAGTGGAATTCGGGAAGAATCAAACTAATGGATTCGCAGGCTCAATTCATGGTGTTTATCGCAAAGATGCACCGTGTCAAGAAGGGTATGTGGATAAAGGCCCCAAGCAAGGCGCTCGCAAAGCTGCACGAGAGTGATGCTGAAATAATGGGTCTGGATATATAGTCCTCGAGATTGGCTGCTTCACTGGCTACTCCGCACTCGCCTGGGCCAGTGCTGTGAGCGACTATCCCGACGGCGAGGTATGTATCCTCATCCCCAATGTATGATCCATCCGATCACCGTTCTAACGTTCACAGGTCGTTACCCTCGACCTGGACTACGTAGCCACGACCTTTGCCGAGTCCACCTTCGCAAAGCAGGACACCAACAAGGTGATCAAGCTAATCAAAGGCCCCGCGAGCGAAACGTGAGTACCTCCTCCCCTCCCCCTTCTCCCCCATCCCCCCTCCCTAACGCTCGCAAAACCACATAGAATCACCACCCTCGCCGGCCGACAATTCGACCTGATCTTCATTGACGCCAACAAGGAAGGGTACATTGAGTACCTGCAGAAAGTGCTCTCGCTGAAACTATTGGCACCCAATGGCGTGATCTTTGCGGACAACACGCTGTACCGTGGGCTCGTTGCAAACACGGAGAATAATCCTGCGGCGAAGAATCAGGCTCAGGTCGGGAGGTCGAAGCATATCGATGCGTTTAATAAGTTTGTGGCGGCTCATCAGGAGCTCGAGAATGTGCTGGTTCCCGCGTTTGATGGGATCAATATGATTCGGTATAAGAATGGGGGGAGTTAGGGTGTTGGGGAGTTAGGGAGTTAGGGAGTTCGGGCAAATGGAGTCATCAGTTCTCATGTGGTCTTTTCACTGCTAGGGTCGAATGATGTGATGATGGAACGAATTTTGTATCTCTCAATGAACGGCAGTCATCAACAAACCCCTACGATACAGTCTCAATCCATCGATGCGTAACCCAACCTAGAAATTTGGTCTGCTGCAGTTCTAATCGACTAACGAATGATAGGTAGCGGGACTGTTGCCATGAATCTCCATCATGCCGTTCGGTGTCATCACCAGGCTTCTATTGGATCCATTGGATCCCGTATCCGTGGTCCCGTGGTCCCGTGCTAGGTACTCTAGCTCTTCAGCCGCTGAGAAAACCCCGATCTCCAAAGGGCCTCCGAGGTTGGCCGAGCTGTGGAGCTGTGCGAACGGATTACCCTGCAGACCTCAAGTTTCCCAAACAGCGCAACCTCATGAGTTTCCTTCGTGAGTGCTCGAGCAGACAGCTATCCACCTCACTATCCGGTTATAGCAAGGCTATCCTGCTTTCGATAGTCATCGTCAACCTGAGCGAGGCTATTCGTCGGGATGTCTTCCTTTGTCGTGCTCCGGCCTTCTGGCCCGAGACTGTCTCTATCCCAAGCGGCACAGTCGCAGAGATCGGGTCCCGTGCTGAGGGTTCGAGCACCATTTTTTCCCTCGAGGTGAGCCGGTTGCGCGCTTCTTCTGGTTAATTCTTCTCCCTTGGTGATCGAAAACTACCGGTAGCAAAATATGATTTATCTAATTTACGGGATTTGAATTTCGCACAAAATTCCAATAATAACAACAATAATAACAATAATAATACACAATTAATTGCACAATACGGACTGAATCTCGATGCTGGCCGATGGAGATTATTAATTGATGAACACTTCCTCCACCACCGCCGCCACCACAACCACCATCGTTCCTTCGCCGCCGCGTAGACGGCACCCATCAAGAAGTCACGGAGTGCACCGTGCGGACCGTACTTGCACCTAACGAGTTCTCGGATATCAGAGCTTTGATGGAAATGAAGGTGATGTGGTCAGATCGCGAATCTGCCACGCGGGACTAGCCGACCGTGGTCTACACGTAGCCCAAAAGACATTGGGGTTTCCGACTTAACCTCAAGTTCATTTCCGCGGGCGGCGATACTTCGTCGGTGTTGGTTAGAAGGGTGGTGTAGACCTGGGTGGCTGGTGCGCTGCCAAGCTGCAAAACAGGGAAGGCGTGGATCCTAATGGGCAACCCCACCTTTCCGCCTCTGAACTGTGCCTGAGCGCTGGCATTTGTGCTGTCTGTCTCCGCTTCTTCAAACCTCCCCCTTCCATCCTCCTTCACGATACACGATCTCCATCTCTCCATCAGCAAAAACATCAACTCACCCTTCCATCTCCAAAACACCTCTCTAAACAATGGCTGAAGATCTCAACGAGGAGTACGACGTCGTCGTTGTCGGAACTGGTCAGGAGCTTCCCCTCACCTAAAACGGATAGCTAAAGCTAACATAATGCTCAAACTTCAGGTCTGACGGAATGCATTCTTTCTGGGTACTTTCATCTCCATCGAACAGAGCTTCCATCGCCACAGTAACTGACGCTGGCAATGTAGTGTCTTCGGTTCCGAGGGCAAGAAGGTGCTCAACATCGATGCCAACTCCTACTATGGCGGGTATGTTCATCCCTTTTTATTTGACAATGCATGATGGGGGTGATGAGGAGCTTATGCTGACCACTATCATCACAGTGAGAGTGCGAGCTTGAACATGTTCGATGTCAGTTACCTTGGTGGCGTGGATTACCTACGTATAAGCTGCTGACTTCCGGCTCTAGATGTGGAAGAAGTTCAGATGGACCGAGGACCAGCGCAGAAAAGAGGAGGAACGCAAGAAGGAGATCGAAAGGCTCGAGAACGAGGAGCGTGAATCCGAGGAGAAGCGTCGGGCTGCTGCTAAGGCGGCCGGCGACGACAACTACAAGGCCGCCCCCAAGGCCCCCAGGCCCGAGCAGGTCGGACCGAACCCTCCTGAGGTGTTCGGAAAGGATGCCCGTGCTTGGAACCAGTGGCACATCTCGTTGACTCCCAAGTTCCTCATGGCCGATGGAGAGTTGACCCGGATTCTTCACCAAACCGGTGTCACCCAGTACATCGACCTCCTCTCCGTTCACGGCAGTTTCGTCGTCAAGAAGGGTGTGCCCAGCAGGGTCCCCTCGACACGTGGCCAGGCCGTCACCTCCCCCCTTGTTTCTGCCATGCAGAAGTACTACATGCAGAACTTCCTGCAGTTCATTGCCAGCTACAAGGAGGATGACCCTACCACCCACAAGAAAGGTACGAACGCCGCCAAGATGCAGCAGCACTGGGTTGATGCTGACTCTACTAGGTCTGAACTTGGACCAGAACACCATGAAGGAGGCGTACGAGATCTTCGGTCTCGATGCCTGGACTTCCGAGTTCATTGGTCACGCCATGGCCCTGTACGCTGAGGACTCCTACCTCGACAAGCCCGCTCGTGAGCCCATCGAGCGTATCATCCTTTACGTCAAGTCCATGGCCCGTTTCGGAAACTCGCCTTACATCTTCCCCCTCTACGGTCTCGGCGAGCTCCCCGAGCGTTTCTCGTTCTTGTCTGCCGTCTACGGAGGTACCTACGCCTTGAACACTCCTCTCAAGGAGATCCTCTACGGTGATGATGGCAAGGTTTCCGGTGTCCGTTTCCCCCACCCCATTACCAAGGAGGACACCGTCGTCAAGACCAAGAAGGTCATTGCCGACCCCACCTACTTCCTCGGCGAGGAGAACAGAATCCGCAAGGTTGGCCAGCTCGTCCGGGCAATCTGTGTGCTCCAGCACCCCGTCGAGGGAACCGACGGCGCCGAATCTGCGCAGATCATCATTCCCGCCTCCCAGATGGGTCGCAAGAACGACATCTACATCTCGGTGCTGTCTTCGGTCTTCAATGTCTGCCCCAAGGGTCACTACCTTGCCAGTGTGTCGACCATGATCGAGAATCCCGACGGTGGCAACCCCCATTCGGAGCTCGAGCCCGGTTTCGAGCGTCTGGGTCTTGCATCCGGCCGCCTCGGTGAGAAGGAGGAGAAGTTCATCCAGGTTGTCGACCTGTATGAGCCCATCGAGGATGGCACCAGGGACAACGTCTTCATCTCTCGCAGTTACGACGCAACCACCCACTTTGAGACCTGCACAGGTGTGTATTCCCAATTCCGTACTCGATGTTTAACAGTTTGACTGACCATCTCGCAGACGACGTCAAGGACATCTACAAGCGCGTCGAGGGCAAGGATTTGGTTATCAAGGAGAGGAAGGAGAAGGTTGTGGAGGAGTAAAGGGAACATCACTGAAGTGACGATACTATCATTTAATAATTGTCGAGCTATTGTTTTTTTTTCGAGACTGTTGCATTTCGTGATGGGATTTTTACGAATGGAATTCGGGGTTTTTTTAGCGGCGACCTTTTGATCTGTTACCTCATTTATTCGCTGGTGATCTTGTCTGTCCATCGTAGAGTACACGCGTTCGCCACATATCTACAGAGTGGGACGAGGAGGGAGGAGATAAGAATTTGCCGTTTAGGTTGGAGTGCGGGCCGCGATGAGGTGAGTATAATGCTTGACTAGTCCAAAACGGTTGGCGAGCGGGATGAGTGACAGGGGGTAATGCTGCGTGAAGCTTGGCAACGACGACGACGTTGACCCTGTTACCTACAGCTATCCCACTGAGCTCTCAAAACCATTTCCCCAAACACAACCCATCGATACGATAGAACACTCTGTACAGCAACCATGATTCCCTCGATAGCTTCGTCGCTGCTACTGGTAGTACTGGCTTCCACCGCAAATGCACAAACAACCGCTGTTTCCGATCCACTCCTGGTCGGCACTTGGTCGTCAAAATCAAGAACCGTCTTGACAGGTCCAGTATGTGTCCTATCCGTACGGTGGTGGCGAAACGAAGATTGGCCGCTGATAACGCAGCGCGTAGGACTTTTACGATCCGGTCGCGGAGCTGATGAAAGAACCGCGTTTGCCCGGAAGCTCCTTCTCGTTTACGGCTGACGGGTACTACGAGGAGGCGCTCTACCTCGTTATATCAAACCGTGCGTTCCTGCCACTTCCAGGCGCCTTCGAGAAGTTGATGTTGACTGGGTGATAGCGACCCAGCCGAGTTGTCCCACGGCGATGCTACAATGGCAGCACGGCCAGTACACAGTCTATGCCAACGGCTCCCTAATCCTCACGCCGATAAAGATCGATGGCCGCCAGTTGTTCTCGGACCCGTGCAACTACGATAAGTCGATCTTTACACGCTACAACCAGACGGAGCTGTACAAGGTCTGCTTCCCTCTTCCCCTCTCCTCTCCGGTTCCTCGCGTGCTCCGCTGACTGACGGGAATGATGTACAAAGTGGTACGAAATCTTCACGGACACAAACCACGACAAGAAGCGGCTAAATCTGTACAAACACGACGGCTCTCCAATGAATCCGATGTACTTGGAATACACACCACCGCAGATGTTACCCACGACGACGCTGCACCCGCTGCCGACCGCCACCACGGCGAGCAAAGATAAGGGGAAGCTGAGGAAGAGGGATTTCCTGCCCAAGGCTCTGAAGAAGGCGGACGATATCAATGCGGACCAGATCTGGTGGGTCGGTGTAGGCTTGACTGGGCTGGGCCTGGTCGGCTGTCTGTGGGTCTAGAAAGTCCACGGAGCGGCCCTGGTGTTGGTGATGGTGCAGAGGAGGTGCAGAGGCCCGTGGCGGTGGCGGGCGTGTTTCAAGCGGCAGTAAAGGCTGGGTATACCTAATGCGCGGGATCATAGACGGTCATGGTAATGCGGTTCGGGTGGAGGAGGAGAAGGAGGGGGAATGCATGCTTCTGGAAGTGTTTGGAGGGACGGTCTCTGTCGCTGTGCGTACTGCGTCTCTCTCTTTCTCCTCCTCTCTCTTCTTCTCGTTTCTGTATTTCGTTCAACAACAACTGGATGGAGTAAGTCAATATGTATTTGGGGCCTTTTTCTTTTGATTTCATACCTTTTTGCTTTTTTGGTGTGTTGTACTCTACCTACATGTTTGGTTATGGTTTTTTTTCACCTTGTTTCCTTGTTTTACTGTCGCGCGAGCTCGGGTTATGCTTTCATGTTGTGCACTGTGTTGTGTTGTCTACGTACATAGACGGATATGGATGGGTTCTATCTGCTGTGCGAAGATGTGACGCCGTCTCGCGCCCTATGCTATGCTATGCAGACATTCTCGCGTTCCGGAGGCGGACGATGAGGCGGACGATATATATCTCTCCACTGTTGCGGATTCCCGTTCTCGTACATGCATGACATGCTCACAGCTGAATCCGGGGAAACACATACGACGCTGCTCGATGCTCATCCCACTGTGCACTGCAGCCAGCTGCATGCTCGGCGGTTTCACGATCGGAAAAAGGACGATATAAACAGAGCGCCGTTTGCTCCTACTTCCTCCTCTCTCCCTTCCTCCCTCCCTCCCTCCCTCAGCCCCGCACTCCTCCTTCCTTCTGTCTGTTCCTCACACTTCTCACACTCTCACCGCAAGGCACTCCCTCAATCTCCTCATAATCACCCTCACCCTCACCCACAATGTCCAACCCCGCCCCCACCACCAGCACCACCAGCACCACCCCAGCCGCAGTGGGCAAAGACTACACACTGCACTGTCACTGCCGTACGCACGTAGCGACACTGCACTCATTCCCCCTAGAGACGTGCCTGAAGATCACATGCAACTGCAGCATCTGTACGGACCGGGGGGTGATCATGGCGTACACTCCGGGGACGTCGGTGTCGTTCACTATCGACGGGAAGGAGGTGTACGGCTCTGAGGCGCTCGAGCTCCTGAAGGACTCGCTGGCCACATACGAGTTTGGCCAGAAGCAGGTACAGTGGAGGTTTTGTAACAGGTGTGGGAGTAATATACTCGGTGTCAAGGAGGGCGTTTGGGGGTTTAATGTGAGTTTTCTTTCTTTCTTTCTGAGGCCTGGCTGGATGGGGGTGGGATTGGGGTGGGAAAGATGGGAGTGGGGCTGATAAGTCGGGGACAGCTGAGGTGTGTGGATGGGATTGATCTTAAGGCGTTTAAGTTGGTGGAGCACGATGGTAGGAGCACCTAGTTGTGGTGGACTGACTGGCTGGATGGGTTGGTGAGTACGTGGAGAGGTTGAAGGATGTGCATTTCTACTATACGCAGGATTGATGAATGAACAAATTGGTTGAATGATACCACTTGCTTGCTCCCATTACTCGTAAATCTCGCTGATGTACTATCACTCATCCTCCGCCAATGTCTCCTCCCTCCCACTACATCAGTTCATTAGAAAATCCCAATCGCACCTCCCCCAGCAGCACTTACCTAGCCCGCGGCGTAGCCACCACACTTAGCAACTGGAACTCCCCATGAATCGCCGCCTTCCACAGCCGTATCTTGCCATCATCGCCGGTGGAACTCAATATCGTTCCGGTAGCATTCCAAGCAACCCTCCAAACCTCAGCCTTATGATCTCCAAAGTCGGCAACCTTCTCGACATCCCATCGAACACCGACATCCGCCAGCTCCTCAGCATCGCCCGCCGATGGCTCATCGCCTCCCAATCCCTGCGACAGCCCCGCCCCGCCCCTTCCACGGCGCCTCATCAGGCTCTTCTCCTTCTCCTTCTCCTTCTCTTTCTCCTTCTCGACCGGAAACTCCGTCTTCCCGCCCTCTCTCGCGGTGAGTCGAAAGATACGTACATGACCATCCTTGCACGCCGTCGCAATGAGATGGTAGCTCCGGCCCATACTCACCGCCCACGCGACATCCCTGACCAGCGCGCGATGTCCCGCCAGCTCCTCCGCCGCCCTAAACTTGCCCGACGTATTATGCCTATAGACCCTGACCTGATCCATCGCGCCAACAACCAGCTGCTCGCCGCCCCAGCGGCTCGGACAAAACGCTATGCAAAACGCGACCTCGACCTCTCTGGCAGGCGGGGCAGCAAGCACGGACACGACATCGATCGCGATCCAATGTGTCAGGTCCTGCGGCTCGCGGCACTCGTAGATGTGCACGTGCCCGTCGGTGCTGATGAACGCGAGCTTTAGCCCCGTGCTCGTGGAGCTGTTGGACGCCAGCGTAGGCGGGAACGCGATGCTGTGGATCGCGGTACGCGCGTCGGACGTCATCTGGAACTGTCGCTTCCAGCGGTAGGGGGACACTGCCGCATCCCGTTACGTCAGTGGGTATGGGCATGGGCGAATGCGCGGCGCGGGACTACCTTTGGGCTCTCCGGTGGGTTAGCTTCTTCTTCTTCTTCTTCCTTTTCCTCCCGCTCCCCCCCCCCTCCCCCCCTCCACCACCCCACCCCACTCTCAGGTAAAAAAGGGAGCGTATATACCCATTTCCTGCTCCTCCCAGATCCTGACGGTGCGATCGTACGAGCACGTAGCCACGATCTGGCCATGCTCTGGCGGCCCCCAGATCACGCGGTTGATGCTGCTGTCGTGCGCCTTGAACGACGACGAGATGACCCACGAGCCCTCGTCGTTGAGGTCGAAGATCTTGAGGCGCTGGTCTGAGGAGACGGTCGCCATGCGCCGGCCGTAGTAGTCTATTTGTTCACCCGGGGTTAGTGGGCCAAGTGGGGGGAGGGGAAGGGGGAGAAGGGGAGAGGGTGAGGGACCGTAGGCGACATCGTGGACTAGGTCTTCGTGTCCGGTCGGGAAGTGGACGTAGCTGTTTAGGTTTGTGGCGGCAGCGGCGCGGGACATCGTGGTGATCGTGATGGTGTGGTGAGGAGCTCAAGGCGACGGCCGCATGTCGCGATGGGTGTGGGAAACGCGTATTGTGGGAGTGGTGGGGTTGTGAGCTAGGTCTTGCCTTCACATGCACGGTGACGTCCTTCTGGGATTGAGCCGCTGGGAACGAATAAACACTACGAATGACACAATATGATTGCTTGCAGAGTACTAGTTACTGTATACAGCGAAGCAAACCGGTTAAGAGTATCCCATCCCAACGTATCGTCTCAAGTCTAAGCAAATTCTATGGCACCAACAAATCCCCCAACTCCGTTCGCGCCCGAACAAAGTAACAGACCGAAAGCAAAACACAGGCAGAGGTAAGAGGATATCGAAAGAAAGCGCATGAATGAAAAGATGCCGAAACGCTGATCAAGAGGGGGGCGGCGGCGGTCGATGCTCACTCGACCTTGGGCTCGAGGCATTTGCTTTTCCAGTACGCCGCACGTTCCAGAAGCGCATCCTCGACCCACTTCAGCACGAAGTCGTTCTTGATGCCAACCCGGACGTGAAGGAATTCTGAGAGATCCTTTTCCGCGTTGTACTGCTTTTCGTACTCGATTGTCTGGCAGATGAGCTCGAAGCGGTCGACTAGATTCCAATTCTGCGTCAGTATGACGTTCTAGAGTAGGGAAGTGGGTAAGACATACCATCCTTGACGAACACCGCCTCCTTGGTCGTGCCGGTCTCATACTCCGCCCAGAGCTCCATGAACTCCTCCGCAATGGTCTCGGAGATGGGCTTCAGTAGCTCATCGCAGATGTATCGCATGGACTCCAGTTCTCGCTTGTACTTTTCGTCTACATCCCTCGTCAGCTCTTATCACGTCCCGAAGACGGGAAGGGAAGGGATACACATACCCTTTGCGATGTTGTCGGGCGGGGTGATATCGCCCACGAGGGCCTCGGCCATATCGTGGATCAGTGCCAGCTTCACACAGCGATCGCGATCGATGCCGGTTTCGGGAGGACACAGCATCGTGATGATGCCCATGCGGTACATGTGGTCGGCAATAGACTCTAGAAGAAGTAGCATTAGTATTAGCATGGCACGGCACGATACTTTTCATGCATGCATGTGGGTCGGGCCCGAGCGCTGATAAGAACTAAACTTACCGCCATTCTGGATATCGAAGCGTCTCCAGCCCTCGCGAGGAGTCGTCTTGAGGCGCCGAATGATGTGGAGGAAGTGGAGGGGGGAGCTCGAAGCGGAGGTGACGGGCTTGGGGATCGTAGCTAGAACTGTATGGTGAAATCGTTAGGATGCGGTAGAAGACGTCGATGGCGGTGTACGAACCCTTTGGCAGAGTCCAGTCCTTGACCATACTGGCGCTATCGTGGGGGGCTCCTAAATCCATCGTGATCAGCGGGACAACTTGGAAATCGGGTAAGACAAGATGTTACAAACCGTTGCTAGACATCTTGAGCGGTTGTTTTTTTTCCTCTCTTGCGATGAGCGGGTGGCAAGGTTGATTGATTTCTTCGTAGGTATCGGTCGAGAGAGAGCAGTGTGCGAGTTGTATGTAGGAAAGACGCCTTTCTCGGAGGGAAATGGCAGGTTTTGTAGTCGTGGTGGAGGAGGAAGGGGTGAGTCGTGTTGAGATAGTGGGGTCAACGCGCCAGTGGGGCAAGATCGAGGCTCTCTCGAAGATGTGACGCAACACAACAAGCGTTTGTTTAGAGTACGGATGCCGCCCCTGGGCCCTTGCATGTGTGGCCGGCCACCGTCCCTATGCCTGGAATACGCTGTATGCATGCATCCGCTTTTCTTTGAGGTTTCTGGACTCTGGACTGGAGTTCAAACGCCACATCCATAGAGGCTGCCGTTCGAGCAGGAGCCTCACTCTCTTTACAGTTTCGGGTGCCGGTAGCCACTGGCCGCCTATGGGTTCGTAAAAAAAGGCACGGAAATGGCATCAAAGCCTCAACACTCCAAAGGGAGCCCACATGCCATTAGGAAACGCTGTTTACATGTATTCTTCGCGCTCTGCGGATGGATGTCTGGATAGAGAGGCAGACCGTGGCTGGACTTCGGCTGCTTATGGCATAGCGCAACAGCAGGAACTCTTACGATCACATGAGCGCCTTTATAGTTCGAGATTTTCAGAGAAGTTGAGTTCGTAAGGGAGATCAAAGAGGAGTCATCGTGAGTGCATACGCAAATACAGCTGGAGATATTTGTCATGTTAGAAGTGATGTATTCTATATCACTCGCTACAAGGTACCACATGCTTGGGGAGAAACAAATCGAACTCGTCAACGCATTTCGCAGGCAAAAGGTGGGGAGAAGTAGGTCGCTGTCATCGAGCTGGTTATCCAGACGGCGGGCGGGATACCTGGTGTACGTATGCCATGGTCTAGACAGGTCAAATGCATTATGATGCAGAAAAATCACCCACCAGCGTTGGCAAATGAAACACCGTCAATCCGTGACGACTCATCACAGCGTGTCACAGAATCATGAGCAGAACAGTCTAGCCGAAGGTGTCACAGTTCCTACTTTGACATCTCCGTGAACCGCTAACAATTGGCCGAAAACTCCTTAACTCCCTCACTCGCCGCACTGCAAAACGATTGATGACTTTCCCTTTATCGATTATGATTGTTCAACGTCATCGACAAAAAAGAAAAAAAAGTCGTGTGGCCACACAACAAAGTATCCCATTTTTTCCCAACCAAACGCAACCGCACATCTAAAGACGACGACCACGGCGACCTCCCTTTCTGCGGGTGCTGTCGGAAGGAGTGGGGGTAACGTCCTCGATACGTCCAATCTTCATTCCGGAACGGGCCAGGGCACGGAGAGCAGACTGGGCACCGGGACCGGGGGTCTTGGTTCCGTTACCTGAGGGTATCAAAGTCAGTATTGGAAGCCAAGAACTAGTGACTAGGAAGACATACCTCCGGTAGCACGGATCTTGATGTGGAGGGCAGTGATGCCAACCTCCTTGCAGCGGACGGCGACATCCTGGGCAGCCAACATGGCGGCGTAGGGAGAAGACTCGTCACGGTCGGCCTTGACCTTCATTCCTCCGGTAACACGAGTGATGGTTTCCCGTCCACTGGAAGGGATCACAGAAGCGTCAGCCTCTACCCCTTATAGTTCATGAAGCCCTCAGATCCCAAACAAATTTGTTGGTTCGTCGGCACGGTGGTGGTGTATGTGCGGTAACTTACGAAAGATCGGTGACGTGAACGAAAGTGTCGTTGAACGAAGCGAAGATGCGAGCAACTCCGAAGACGAGCTCACCTATGCACCATACCAAGTCAGCATTACCATCCTCCTCCATTTCATCACACTATTTCGATTCCAGCATCCTGAATTCCCATCGCTGCTGCCGTTGCATCAAAGAGGTACGCACCATCGCGGATCTGAGGACCGAGAGAGATGTTCTCCTCCTTGCGCTCGACCTTCTTTCCCTTGGGGGCCATTTTTGTAGATGTGGTGAACCGGTTGGATTTCGCGGGGAAATGGGTATTGGCGATTGGGGCGTCGGCGCTGGATTGTCGGTCGTTTGGTCGATAGCTGTCGGAATTTGGTTACTATGCGGAGACCGTCGTCTCACAGTTGTGTGCCGTTGATTGTGTGCCCTAGAAAATTAAGCGAGGGCAGTCACATCCCCCACTACGATTATGCCAAGCATCATAGAAGGTCACTCTGTGTGGTAACCCCACTTAAGGAGAAATACAGTCCACACTAACTACATGTGACAGGAATTGTAACAGTACGAGGTTTGAACCTTGCAGCGACCTTTGTATGTAGCATTCCTCATGACCAGCTAGTCATAGAACAAGCTGCCATTCAAACGATCAAGCATCCTACGTCGTGAGCTTGTCCTACGGCAACACTCTCAGCACAATATCCATTACTTTGGGGGTCACCAACAGATCCCCAGTTAGCTTTGGAACCCCAACTAAGAAGATCTTGGCATCGTCAACCTCATAGCTTTTCCACGGCATCTCACTCGCCACTTGGATGGGCTATCGTGATGGAAAGCATGGATGGCTTAGTCCCACCTCTTCAAATGTTGCCCCGAATGAAGAGTCAGCAGGAGATACCGTGGGCAGAGGTCCGGAAGGAGACGGGGAGGTGAAAGGAGCATTTCAATATTTAAGACCTCTTCGCGGCCGAGCGGTGCAGCCAGGCCATCGTGGGCTTCCTCTGCGTAGGTAGATACTGGTGGCCGCTGAGGAAGACGCAGCATGCGAGGTGTCCGAGTGGAAATTAAGGGAGCGGAGCAGAGGCAAGAGGAGGAAGAGGGTGCTGAGCTTGAGGAGCCGGGGTCACTCCCATTGTTCCTCCCCACACCCTCCTTCATATCTCCTGTGGAAGGGGCAGAGGGCGAGGCAGAGGAGAAGGGAGCAGAAGTTGCTTTTCCTTGGTGTTATTTCCTTGGTCAGTTATACTTACATCGATGACACAGGCCAGACTAAGGGCAGGAAAAGCCACACCGGGCCGCTCGATTGAAGTCGGGTTGGACAGTGGCGTGGAAACGGAGTGTGTATGTGTGGATATTGCCATGATCTGATATTTCGTATGCAATTAATGATTAAACGAAAAAAAAGGATGGCTTAGCCCAAGCCTCTCTAGGAAATGCTTCTTCAACCTCTTGGAAATACTACCAGCAATAAGTGGGGGATGTATGGGTGGGACTGCCGCGGAGGGACCTTTCAGACTAAAAGCAAGATGAGAACACGTTTCTTACATCTTACATGAAGTACCTATGGGCACGTAGAACGTGGGCTCGATGAGAGGAAACGGAAGAAGTGGGGCGCTGATGACGGAAGGCGGAGGGCGTCAAGACGAGATCTGTTATGTTGCATCTAACTAGGGTGAGTAAGAGCATAGAGGGAAGGGTTAGATGGAGATTGTAATAGTGCCTACAGCAGAGATACTTCCAGGGTAAGATAAGAGCGAAACAGGTTTGCCTGCATATATGAATAGAGGATAGGAAGTGGCCATTCACCTTGCGGCACGAGCATGGCAAAATCAATTTGTTTGAATCCATCGGGCGAGCTCCAAGGAGTGAGAGTAAGGAATGTGGCATGTGAAAGATGAATGACTGCTGAGAGGAGTCTCTCCTTCTCTTCTCCTCAATTTCCTCCATGTCCTTCCTCAACCAATTCCCCTTTTTAAAATGCTCGTTACTTCCCCTTAACCTCTTGGGTCCGATATCCAACTGGAAGGACGACATTCACCGCCTTATGCTTGGTCCTTAGGGCTTCTAGCACTTCGTCCTTGCATGTCATTATACACCTCGTTTGATCGAGGTACCCCGAAGACGACAGCCGTATAATGTCTTGGATATCTGCCTAAGATTTATCATTTTATGATTCTTATCGCACTCTAGTATGTTTCTTTTGGATATCCTAACTGTGATTGTAGCTGGCATAACTGGTCGTTACCAGGCATTGCGTATTGACGCACCTTTTCCAACGACTATATACGATCAGTGTCCTGGATTCTCGTGAATGGACTGCGAATTACTATATATCTTTCACCAATACATTTTCAGTAAGCGGCCCACGATCCCCAAAATTTGAGGTGGATATGTTGCTGATATTTCTGCGTAGCTAATCGGGTTCTCCGAGAACAACGAATTAGGGACGAGAGTCATGTCCCGCTGGAGCATATTTCGGACCAACAACTGGGCGCGGGATATACTCATGCACACACCGTCACGTCTGCGCGCTTGAGAAAGTTGGACGTTGGAAGGCCGCAGAATTGCCGCCGCAGAGTAGATATGGATTCAAGCAACAACTGCATAAATAGTGGCGTCTATCATTCCCCCAGGAGATCTCTATCATGCTGGTCCAGCCAACCTTCATGATGGATTGGCCTCCTTGTGGGAATCTCGTTCACATATCTTACAGATAATCACAACTTAGGAGCTGCCTACCTACGATTCGTTACTTAAGGCAGGTATGATACATATCCCCTAACCATCCATCCCAATCTTTGCTGACTCATCTAGATATCACAGTCATATCAGCAAGGCGCTTGTTCGTTACGGATACCGTCCAACAAAACTCGTCTCCCTCGAATCCGGATATCAATCGGCGGCACACGGTCAACTTCTCCGAGGGCTGAGGTGCTTGTAGTCCACCTTGACCTGAGGCCCAATCATAGAAATAGTACCAGTGGCGCATCGATTGGAAGTGTTTTGCTTTTTGGAATTGGAATGTTATGCACCAGAGAAGGCGAGCGTATGGATGTTTTTTTAAGTGCATAATTCATCATGAATGAGTGATGGCCAGTGATGAGGTAAGCTGACGTCGTAGGTACCTTAGGTACCTGCCTTGGTGTCTAGCGTCTGTAATGTGTCCACATCCATTGCCAGCGCTCCCGGAGGCACCGCCAATCACGAATCACGATTCACAAGATGTAGAATATAAGTAGAGAAATAAGTATGTACTTATACAAATTGATATCGTCGAGTTCTCGTGACAAAGAGAATCCTGATCCCGACCAAAGGCCAATATAAATTGATAAAGAAAAAAAGTGGCGAAATAGATCGCGTGTACTACTACCCATTACGAGCAAGCGAAACCCAAAGACCAGTTCAAACGAAAAAGCAAAGTGCACTCAAGTAGAAGAAGAAGAAGCTGCCTCCTTGACGATCATAGCTTCCAGCTTATGCCGCGCATCCAGTATCATCTCGTCCCGCTTCGCCTTATGCGCTAGCATCCGGTCTTGCTTGCTGGCGGGAGCCTTTCCCTTGCCCGAGGGGGTGGACGTGGAGGACGACGGGGAGGATGGTGTTTCTGATAGGCGGCTATGAAGGTTGTATCGCGTAATCAGGTCGGTATGTTGAGGACCCACACGCGACGGACGGGATGCAGGACCGCCGGTCGAGCCGGAGGTGGAGGGTTGAAGGGCGGCTCTAGGGGCGGCGGGGGGGCGTGGCGGCTGTATCACGACATGTCATCAGCTTTTGCGAGCTCGGGGAAGAGGGGGAGGAGGGGGGAGGTCTCACGTCTGGCAAGAACCCGGTGGCCAGTATCCGCTCCGTGGCCACCTCCATATTACCGCCGTTCCGAAGGAGCTCCGCTTCTATTGCCGCGATGGGTACCTGCGGGAACATTCCATGGACCACCTCGATCTGTTGCTGTAGTCTGCGGCGCGTGGTGGCCGGCGGAACGGCCGGTGGTGCTGACGACGCCGTCGGCGTCGACGTGAAAAAGAAGCGGTAGACGAGGTAGGAGATCACGAGAAATGCCGCAGCTTGCGGGAGGATGGGTGTTTCTTCTTTGGACATTTTTGCAAACGGTGGTGGTGGTGCTGGGTGGTTCGAGAAGGTTTCCGTTCGTTGCGTTCGTGAAGCTGGGACGGAACTGGCTGGGTATGGTTGGAGAAGGGAGATCGACTACCACCACCGGTGCTTGCTGGGGTGCTCTGCTATGCCAGAAGATTCCATGTCAATCACTCGGGCCAATCACAGTTGGCCAATCAGGTGACTCAGCGCATCCGAAACCCACAAATTTTTTGGGAACCATCAAACGGACAAACTTCCGAAGATAATCTTTTTTCCCGTTTCCCAATTCACAACCAACATATCCCCAGGTTACGAGCCATTAACAAACGGTGGTAGACTTGCTTGCAGAGGATTTAAGCCGTTCTGAAGAAGAAACGGAAATCTCTACTCATACAAACTTCTACAACTACGACTACAAACGGCAATGAGCTTTATACCCTCTACTCTCCCGCGAGCTGTGAGAGCATTGCGGCCTGCGTCTGCTCCGGTCACGCAGTACCGATGTATGTACGCACCAACGCAGCGTGCAACACCGCTGCAACACGACACCAGCAGCAAGAGTAACCCTCAGTTCCAACAGCGACGGGTAGGCAAGCCCCACCTCACCCCACTCCCGGAAGTGCAATAGAGCTGACAATGCCGCGTCCGAATAGCCGTTCCACGCTTCCAACGCACGCCTCGCGACAAAGAACCCATACACAGTCCTAGGCGTCGAAAAATCCGCGTCCACGTCCGAAATCAAGAAAGCGTACTACTCTGCGGCCAAAAAGTACCATCCGGACTCATCGAAGGAGCCAAACGCGCGCGAGAAGTTCCAAGAGGTGCAGTCAGCATACGAGATCCTCTCGGATCCTGAAAAGAAGCAGCAATTCGACCAGTTTGGTGAAGCCGGTTTTGATCCTTCTGGTGGTCCGGGAGGATTCCACCCGGGTGCTGGTGGACCGTTCAGTGGTTTCGGCGGTGCGGGCGGCGGGTTCTCGGGCTTTGGGGGCAGCCCGTTCGGTGCGGATTTCTCTTTCGAAGATCTATTCAATGCGGCCGCTGGCGGCGGCGGTGGAAGGAGGGGAAGAAGCCCGTTCGCCGAGAATATGGTGGGGCCTGATATCCGGGCTCAGGCCACCATTAGCTTCATGCAGGCGGCACAGGGCACGCGATTAGACATTAGGATCAACCCACAGGTTCACTGCGGGACGTGTACTGGTAGCGGACTGAAGTCTGGCACGAAGACGAAGCAGTGTGGACGCTGTGGCGGAACAGGAACGCGAGTCCACTTCATGCGTGGTGGATTCCAAATGGCTGCTACTTGTGACTCCTGCAGTGGCACTGGAAAAATCATCCCGCCCGGCAGCGAATGCAAGACCTGCGACGGCAACGGAATGGTTCACGAGACGCGCACGATCAATGTCGACATTCCCGCCGGAGTGGAAGAGAGCATGCAGCTCCATGTTGCCGGTGAAGGTGATGCTCCACCAGCTACCCCCGGTGTTTCTAGCGGTAAAACGAAACGCGGAGACCTCTACATTCACTTAGTTATCGAGCCGCATCCGAAGTTTGCCAGGAAAGGCTCGGATATCCTTCACACCACCACGATACCCCTCACCACTGCACTCCTTGGGGGTGTTATCAAGATCCCTACGCTGGATGGAGACGTTGATCTCAAGGTCCCTAACGGCACCAATACGGGCGATACTATCACCATGCCGGGGCGCGGAATGAAGAAGTTCAGCCAGAGTCGTAGAGGCGGATATGGTGACTTGAAGATAGAATTCAAAGTCAACATACCTAAGTATTTCCCTCCACTCTCTCCCCAGTTTCCCAACCATCACTAACCACCCTATAGATCCCTCACCCCCTCGCAACGCACACTCCTCGAGCTGCTGGCCGATGAATTTAACGACAAGTCCGCCAAGCGCATAATGAACGTAAGCCAATACGCCAACGAAGCCAAAGACAAGGGCGCCGCCTCGGAGTCCTCCTCCTCCTCCTCTTCCTCCTTCCAACAACAAGGAGACGAGAGCCACCACGGCCTGCTAAAGCGTATCTGGGACAAGCTCACCCATCACGATAACAACCAGGGTGGAGACGGCAGGTCCAACTGAGTACGGTATATTGACGAATTGAGGACGGCATGGAGTTTTTGTCATTTGTGGCGACAGCGGCGACGGCGGCGGGTCTTTCCTTAACCGATTATGTATGGGGGGCAGTTTTCTGTTTGAGAGTCCTTCATGTCTCTCTTCCTTTTAGTTGTATATTATCTTCACTTCACTTTCACTTTACATTTCTCACCACTCTAGATCTGGGCTGGAAGGGGTAGGTAGGTAGGCGGAGACGGCTGCGGGTACGATTTGTAAATACATGTACAGTACTCCAACATGACTCCAGAAGTATATTATCATACTGCTAGGACCCTCTAAGACACACAGAAGAGAAGCAGAAGAGAAGATAAGTATCCATTACTGTAACTCCCGAACGAACCAAAAGCGAGGTAAATAAAAGTGTATCAAGGAGTAATCCACCAGAACGAAGCAATAGAACGGACCATAACGACCAGATAACAAGGAAAGGTAATAGTAGCATAGTGTGGTAAGATAAGAGAAGAGAAGGAAATGCAAAAGGAAGGGAAATGATAACACCACCAACCACCACTTTGTAAAAACGCCAATATGTGGAACCAAGAGCTCGATTGAATATCACATGCCTCCTCTTCTCGTCACTCCCGTCCAGTGACATTTCAGAAACAGTCGTATCCAGTGTACAAACCTCACTCATCTCGCCTCATCGTTCCACGCACACACGCACAAACACACACACACATTGTAGAAAAACAATCCCCACCCCCTCAATCATTGGAATCAAGAAACGAACAATAGCACCAAATCGCAGTCTAAGCCGAAAGTTAACCCCAAATCTCCTTCTTCAGATTCCTGATGTGCTTGTGCAGCTCCTTAGCCACAGTGACACTGCCCACCTGTTCCAATATTAGCAAACGTGAGGGTCTGAACCAAGCGGGTGATGCGTACTTTGACCGTGATATTGGTGAGGACTCCGTTGTCCTGTGCCAAGAACTGCAGTTGACGGGTTGTGGGTTCCTCGCCAATCTTCATCTCCCGGTATATAAGTGTGTTGAGGATGACAACATAGGTTCCATCGGTCCGCATGATCAACCGCGCAGACTTCTTCCGAGGCTCCTTCTTCTCCTCCTCATCGTCGCTGGCCAGGCCGAAGTCGCCGACGGAAGGTGTAGTCCGGTTAACTCGGAGCTGCCCTTTACCGCGCTCCTTCCATGCCTTGGCTTCGGTATCGAATTGGAATATCTTCGCATTGCACTTGAAGATGGTAGTCTCGTCCTCTTCGCCGGTCATAACTATGTCAAGATTCCATTAACCAACCGCCCCAACACCACCGCAATGGTAAACCTACCCTCCTGCTCCTTAAGCACGATTGGCTTGCCCGAACCGTCGTCATCCTTCGCCGCTTTATCCTTCTTCTCCCCGTCCTCATCTTCCGAGTCGTCTTCATCGGTCTTGTCATCATCTGGCGCACCGAATGGCTTCTGTGCTGCTATCGGCTTTGGTGCCGCCGGCGCTCCGAACACAGAGCCACCACCAAATACGGAACCACCGGATGGATTGCCGAACGCCGAACCGGATCCGAACCCAGAAGATGGGACTTTGCCTCCGAACGGTCCGAAAGGACTCTGGGATCCAGATTTGGCGCCCAGAGTTCCGAAGGGAGAAGCCGAAGACCCCGAGAGAGCGCCGAACTTGGAGTTCGCGAAGAGGTTCGTCGAATTGGCACTACCGCCAAAGATATTGACTCCGGCACTGGCAGCCGCAAACGGAGATTTAACCGAAGTATTGGCAAAACCGCTATTCTCGGGAAGCTGCCAGTAGAAGCAGGTCTCGTTAGTTTTGTTCAATATGGGGAGTGGGGAAGGAGCGGGGAGTTGGGGGGGAGGGCATGTGGCTAACCTTAATTCCTGCAGTGTCTTCGCCGTCCTTCTTCTGTGCCTCCGACTCTTCCTTCCTGCGTTGCTCTTCCTCGGTCTTAGAAACCTTCTTCTTCTGGTCTTCCTCCTCTTCCTTATCCAGCTTTCCCAAGCTTCGTTTCCTCTCCAGCTGCCCCACGGGACTCGCCACCCTCTCCAGCTGCGCCCTCTCAGCTCCCTCTGGATGAGTCGGAGGAGTCTTGACAGAACGAGACCGGAGCCTGTCGGCCTCTGTAACCTCCCTACTCCTCTTCCTCTCATGGGGCTTCGGCACCTTCCTCCGGTTCCCGTCCTTCTCACCCTCCTCCTTCTCCTTGTCTTCCTCACTCTCATCATGGCTTCGCTTCCTCGCCCGCCGCACCTCATCCACCGAGGACTGCGAAGCCATAACCTCGTCTTCGGGTTCCTGGTCTCCTGAGCCCGAGTCGCCGGTGACAGAACCCGAAGCCGCAATTGTGGTATGTTTCAGCTTCTCGCGTACGTGCTCGTTGTCGTTGTCGTTATCCGATGACACCGATCGAACGTCAGTGTCGTCCGGCGGAGGGGCGGCGCTGACGGGAACATCCTCTGTGCCGTTCATTTTGGTCGGTGAAGGTGGTTTCGTAGTTCCGGGCCTTTTTTTTTTTTTGCCTCGTCTACCTACTCTAACTCGGCGGCGAGAAAGGGGATTGAATCTGGCTTCTCGGAGCAGTAGGAGCGAGTGTTGGTTGTTGCGATAAGGGATATGCGAGGTCTGAAGGGTGTACTGTAGTCGGAGATTAGCATGGGTTTGTGGTTAGCCACGTAGGGGTCGTGGATATTGGTTGTGGTTGTGGTTGTGGATGCGATGGTTGTAAAATACGTGGTTGTGGACTTGTAGTAGCCGATGCTTGGTGGGGAAGGGTGGGGGATGTTACTGACGGTGATCGAATATATATCGCGGGGGTCGGAAGGAAGTATGGGGGGTTGATATAGTGGGTGGAGATGAAGCGGCTTCCGATCGATGCAGAGTCTGTGATGTGAGGTGCGGGAGCGGGGGAGGAGGGGGTGACGGTGGCTGTGGTGGTGGTTGCGTGTGTGAAGAATGTCCCAGGTAGAGAGTCGCGAGTAGCGGAAGGCTCGGAGAAGGGTTTGACGGGGTGGTGGGCGTGGTGGTGGTGGAGTTGGAAATTGGAGCACACGAAGCGAGAGAGACAGCGCGGGTGGATTTGGAGCAGCAGAGAAGAGGGGTGAGAGCAGCGAGTGTTACATGGAGCAGAAGAGTATGGGGAGCAACTGACGTTCGCCGATATCTGCTCTCAAGGAGGTGGTTATCTGATCAATCTGGACCTGGCCTAGAATCAAGAATTGGTGCACTCAAGCGAAGCGGACCGTGGCCGACATGCAAACGCAAAAAGCAATGTCGGAAAGCTATCCCACGAGTACTGTGTGCTAGTATGCTAGCTCATCCAACAATCCTGCGGATACCACCATGATCACCAGCCACAAATCTGTCTACAGGATTGTTGGATCAGCTAGCACACTATGCTACAGTACACGAAGCCTGCAGGCAATCTCACGGCGGAATTTCGGCGAGCGGGCAGGATATAATCGTCGTTTCAGCCTTACTGCACGTAGATCATGGACGCAACTATGCACGACGTCGCGTGAAGATTTGTAGCTCGGTGCGTTGTTTGGATAGATTACCGATGTTCTGGATAGCTACCATGAAAGGCAGTGCTCACGGCCCGAAAGAAAAAGACTACTATCGGTATTGCAGTTCCCCCTTGCTGAGATTGCTATACCGATTCAACCGGTAGCTGTGGGTGTCTGGGGTGGCATTGGTATGTTCGGAAACATAAACATGATCGGACAGAACCCTTGTATGCGCGACGTTGCAGAACGGCAGATATTCGATCGGAGAAGCCACTCAAGGAGTGGAAGTGTCAGCATGTGCCTGCTCGTCTCGAGAATTCCAGGGGCCATGGATATGGCAAACCTATCTGGACTGCCGGCCTCAATGTGGAGGTTTATATTCCCCGGCGACGGAACTGGCTCCGGGCCCGGTACCATGGCTCCTCGGGAATAGCACTTCCGCTGGAAGATACCTACTGGATAGTAGACTCGGTTCGACCTTGTGAAGTGGTATCGATGGAACCGATAGCATCCACAGGTACAGTAGGTCTTTGAGTTCTAACATCAGTCTTGGAAGACGGCTCCCGAAACTATGGAGAAGATACCGTACCATGGCACCTCTTATGGTCTCCAGAGACGGCAACCCTTGAGCATAAAACTGGCGAAACACTCGACGAAAACTGTGGGAACCTCCCAAAAGTCCGGATTTCTAACCAGAGCTTCCTGTCCTGTCCTGCGTTAGAGCGTCCACAGGGTACTAGAGGATGTCCACCTTTAAGATTTTCCCGTAGGCATAATGCATCAAATCCACTCCCGTATGTACACCGAGGTAAACAGCCACTTATAAACCCAGACGCCACATTCGTTCGAGGAAGCCGGCGCCAGCAAACCAGATCCCCCGGCGACTGTATGTATGTAGAACAAACGGCCCCTCGGCGACTTTAATGCACTCACCCACCCATATGGCGCTGTTTATACTTCCATGGACGTCAGTCAACCTGGAGACGTGCGTGGCTAGCTGTGATTAAACCGACGACCAAACAACTGGGTGGTCGGATGGGTAGGTGCGTACATAAGGCTGGCTTCGGGCGGAGGGTCGCCGAGAGTGTTATGAATACGATAGGATACATATGCGACGTTGGGTCATGCGTCCCCTGCGACGGAACTTCGGGCAAGAAGTGAACAGAACTCTCCGAGGACAGCTATTCGGTGGTGGGGATTTCTGCCCCAATGGCTGGTCCCACAGATTGGGGACCATGTATCCAGAGTACATAGATAGGCGCCGTGTAAACGATCGCCAATTATATCCGATGCACCCATCCGAATCCTGTTGCTGTGGAAGATGTGTCTTTATTCGCTCTCTTTCCGATACACATGGCCGAGACAACACATGGTAAGGGACCCGTAGGGAGGAAAGTCCTCGGAAGACTCGGAGATTTCCTACTCTGCTGATTCTGTTCTGTCCGAAGCTGCAGAAGCTTTTTGGATCCTTAGCGTCCTAGCTCGTGCCCAGGCGAGTGCTGAGCTGTGTTACTGCCGCCCATTTCTTGCCATGACACCGACTCTCTCCTATGCACCTTTTGCGACGACGCCGACTGTGGCATTAGCTATCGCATTAATCACGTCTGCTAGTAGTCTCGGGACGGAAACGGCCTAAGAGTGGGATATGCCCGCGGTGATCATCGATGGGGATCACTCGGATTCCGGCGCCGGAAGAATGGCTATCGGTGACCGGACATCAGCGCCCGGGGCGATGGATGTCATGCGCATGAGTCCGCATTGTACTCTACAGCCCCGCATCCGCCTCCGTCGCCGATACGCATGCAGCTCGGGTATGTATCTCCGCATGCGATGCGCGGCACCTGGTGCTGACCACCGTCTATTGCTGACAAGCGTTATCGGTATCCGCGCATGAGGAAATATGTAACTCGCCACTCTCCTCCATAGGTAGCCAAAGACGATGTTTATACAGCCCCCCCATGAACTATGCGCATGACCCAGTCAACTAGTTACTTACGAAACCCGAAACAGTGATAGATATCACGCCTCGACATCATAGGTGGAGGATGTCAGCGCCAATCGCGGGCGAAATGAATGAAAACATGAATATGCACCAGCCGATTGGCTCTGCTGCTGTTGGTCGAGTATGTACGAGAAACTGCTCACTGGCGTGTGACCCCACTACATACATGACATACTCCACCCGATCTTATGGCAGCCAATTGTCCTCTCTGCCCAATCGGTTTATCTCTCCTATGTGGTTGAACTGCCGGTGTTCTGTAGAGCGATGAGCATCACCACTTCCAAGACCCGAAGAAACAGCTGCCACGCATGCAGGACCTTCAAAATTTCCTACGGTACGGTTGGGTCCAGCCAGGCCTAAGATTCACGATCTCCGCGGTTGTTTATTCCAATTCAGCTACTCGCAGCTCCATTCCCTACCACAAACCCCTCAACACTCCTCGTCAACTGCTCGCTCCTCAAATTCCTTCCAATCAGCACCAACTTCCCAGCCGAAGCCTTCACTCCGTTGTTCGGCTCATTAAAGATCTCGAACACCTCTCGAACGCCCTGGATGAGGAACGACTTCCTGTCATCGCGGATAACCCGTCCCTTGAGTCTATGCACATCGATATTGCCGTAGTCATTGCCGGAGCAGGGAACAGTGGCATCCCAGAGAACACTGCGTAGCCAGGAGTCTAGATTGTCGATTTGCTGTTGGCTGAGGGTTGGGAGTGGGATGGAGATTGTTGCGATTGTCTGGTAGTTTCTCATGAGCCCCGATCCACGCCGCGGTTAGAGGGAGGACTTACGGGGTCCAAACGGCTCCCCTCGCCCACTTTCAAGTCTTCGACCTTCTCATACGCCCTCAAATCCAGCAAGAATGTCTCAAGATCTTGGACCCTCCCGCGCTCCGTAACAGCAATCTTCGCAATCCCATTAATCGCCTGAATCCTCTCCTTCACCCTCTCCAGCTCCTCGGGGGTGACAAGGTCCTGTTTATTTACCACCACCACATCCGCATGCGATATCTGCAGGTGCGCACACGTAAGGCCTTGTTCCGGCTGCGCTTTGCTCTCCGGATCCGTGTCGTCGGCAAGCGGTGTTTTGTCGTCGAGGCTGCGCAGGATGTTGGATGCGTCGACGAGGGTCACTATGCCGTCGAGAAAGATACTCGAGCCGAGTCCTTCGTCGAGCCAAAACAGAGGCGCGATGTTGCCGGGGTCGGCCAGGCCAGTGGTTTCGAGGAGGATGTAGTCGAAGCGTCCGCGACGCTCCATCAGGTTCTCGATGGCCGTTACGCCGGAGTCTCTGTCGGTCGTCGATCAGCGCTGCTACGGGAGTTGTCCATCGGGGCCCGCGAGTGGTACTTGACGGTGCAGCAGATACAGCCATTCGCAAGCTCAAGCCATTCCTCGACCTGCTGGCCCTCTTGTTGGACTGTCAGGGACTTCTCTATATCCGAAGCTACAATGGGCAGGCAGGTCAGCTCCCCCGCCGCCGACGCCGCACAGCTTAATAGCTACTCACAGTCTCCGAACTCGTTGAGTATGACAGCTATCCGCTTAGAGTGCTGTTCTTGCAGGATGTAGTTCATAAGAGTGGTTTCTACGGGGGTCAGATATCTCTAGGTAGCAAAAGCACTTTTGTCTCATATGGAAGAATCTCACTTCCGGAGCCCAGGTACCCAGTGACAATAGTAATGGGGACCTTCTCGTCACTAGTAGGAAGCTTGTCCTGGAGAGTAGCCAGCTCTTCATCATCCACCTCGACCAAAGCGGGCGGTTCATCATCGTCGATATTCAAACTCATAGCTGCTCGTGGTAGGCTGGCTGGTAGGCGGGGAACGGATAGGTAGTAGTGGCGCTTGCGGTGGTGGTGGTAGTGGTGGTGGTGGTGGTGGCGCAGATGAATTTTCTGTGCAAGTTGCAGCACTGTTGGCCAGGCCCGTCGAGCGCGTGTGTGCTAGTGATATGTAGTCGCGCCCCGGGATCCCTTAGGCTGTCCAAAAATTCCGTTCACCGGGACGTCGGTCGGGGAGGGCGTCAGATAAGGAGCACTAGCAATTGTGGAGGAAGGCCGGCTTGTAATGCGGAGAACGGTCGTGCGGCGGGGGATGTGTGTTGCGGTGATGGGCGGCGCTGCGATACCCCACCTGAACCTCTCTGCTCGACCGGGCCGGCCAAAGCGGGGCGACATACCTGGTAGAGTAGAATTCGGGTCCACCATGTGAGCCACAGCACTCGCCACAGCATTCCCCTTCTGCCTGACCTCATGCTTCAAAGTTCATACTCAGAAGACAATCCTAGCAAGGGATACGTTGCTTTCAAACGTTGTTTCCACTGACTTTAGAGCATGTGTGTCACGACAAACCACGGATACGGATGATCACAAAGCCTAAATAGAAAACATTTCGACAAGCTGCAGCAAAGCCACAGAAATAAAAGTGTGCCGGATGAACAAAGGGTCCAGATGATGGCGGTGACTCTGACGGGTGACCGGCAGGCTGAACTCGGGGTTTCGCAGCGGAGGCGGGGTCGGCGAGACTCGCGGGGGGAGCACAAGATATCCAATCAAGAGTCACTAAAAACCGAGCAAAGAAAAGCGGGGGGACGGCAATTTCTAATTCCCTTCTTTTCCTATTAAAGCTTTCAAAAGCCACCGGAAAACAGATAGAGACAAGGCTGCTTTTTCAACCCTCGATCTTCCCACAAAGTCAGTCGAGGAAGCATCTTTCCTCCATATACCCACTTCCAATCGACCACCGCTACAGCACATACAAAATGCCCGTCGTTGAGAGTGTCCCCTCCACCCTGTACGACAAGATCTATGCCGACCATGTTGTCGACGGCCACACAATCTACATTGACAGGTGAGTTCAATTACTTTCCCCACCTTCCTTAGAGGCAATCCGCTAAAGACTACTGCAGACATCTCGTGCACGAGGTCACTTCGCCACAAGCCTTCGAGGGCCTCCGAAATGCTGGTAGAACTGTACGAAGACCTGACTGCACCCTGGCTACAGTAGATCACGTACGTATAATTACGACTAGTTCCTCATTGGCAGTACTCATCTAACGGTGGTGCAGAACATCCCCACGCACAGCAGAGCCACCTACAAGAATGCCGAGACCTTTATCGAGGAAGCTGACTCGCGGACGCAATGCGTGACTCTGGAAGACAATGTCAAAGCTTTCAAGCTGACCTACTTCGGCATGGCCGACAAGAGGCAAGGAATCGTGCACGTCGTCGGCCCCGAGCAAGGCTTCACCCTTCCCGGAACCACCGTTGTATGCGGTGACTCACATACCTCCACCCATGGAGCTTTCGGCGCTTTGGCTTTCGGTATCGGCACGAGTGAAGTCGAGCACGTGCTTGCCACTCAGACCCTTATCAACCAGAAATCGAAGAACATGAAGGTGCAGGTTGATGGACCTATGGCCCCCGGCGTGACGAGCAAAGATATTATTCTGCACATCATTGGAAAAATCGGAACCGCCGGAGGAAATGGAAGTGTCATTGAGTTCTGCGGATCCACTATCCGCTCGCTGAGTATGGAGGCCCGTATGTCGATGTGCAACATGGCTATCGAGGGTGGTGCCAGAGCTGGTCTCATTGCACCCGACGACATCACTTTCGAGTACCTCAAGGGAAAGCCTTTGGCACCCAAATACGACACCCCCGAGTGGCATCGCGCCCTCAAGTACTGGAGGACCTTGAAGTCCGACGAGGGCGCCAAGTGGGATTCCGAGGTTTTCATCGACGCAAAGGACATCGCGCCTACCGTTTCGTGGGGTACTTCTCCCCAGGATGTCGTCCCCATCACCGGCTCCGTTCCTTACCCCGAAGAGGAGTCTGATCCCGTCCGCAAGGCCGGCATCATCCGCGCTTTGGAGTATATGGGTCTCGAAGCCGGTACCCCCATGCAGGATATCACCGTCGACAAGGTCTTCATTGGTTCCTGCACGAACTCGCGTATTGAGGATCTCCGCGCCGCGGCCAAGGTCGTTAAGGGCAAGAAGATCGCTTCGAACATTATGCGTGCTATGGTTGTGCCAGGATCGGGATTGGTCAAGAAGCAGGCCGAGCGTGAGGGTCTTAACCGCATCTTCGAGGAGGCTGGTTTTGAGTGGCGTGAGGCTGGTTGCTCCATGTGCTTGGGAATGAACCCCGATATCCTAGCCCCTCAGGAGCGTTGTGCTTCTACTTCCAACCGAAACTTCGAGGGACGGCAGGGTGCTGGTGGTCGTACCCACTTGGTATCTCCGGCTATGGCTGCCGTTGCTGCCATCACCGGACGCCTGACCGATATCCGCAAGCACACCCAGGCTGAGACGGAGCACGGCTCGCCCAAGATCGCTGTTCAGGCTGAGCACCCCGAGGCCATCACTGACGACGACTTGGACAAGCTCAATGATATCCCCACCGACGAGGAGGCCACCAATGCATCCACCCCGTTCTCTGCTGGCACATCCACTGGCCTCCCTCCATTCACCACCCTCAAGGGTATCGCCGCCCCCCTCCACATCGCCAACATTGACACGGACGCCATCATTCCCAAGCAGTTCCTGAAGACGATTAAGCGCACTGGTCTCGGCAGCGCTCTGTTCTGGGCTCTCCGCTTCAACCCGGATGGCTCGGAGAAACCCAACTTCGTCCTCAACCAGGAGCCCTACCGCGCCGCCAAGGTCCTAGTTGTCACTGGCCCGAACTTCGGCTGTGGTTCCTCGCGTGAACACGCTCCCTGGGCGCTGCTCGACTTCGGCATCAAGTGCATTATCGCCCCCTCGTTCGCCGACATCTTCCACAACAACACCTTCAAGAATGGCATGTTGCCCATCGCGATTACCGACGAGGCCGCGCTCAAGGCTATTGCGGATGAGGCCGATGCTGGAAAGGAGATCGAGGTCGACCTTGTCAACCAGGTCATCCGCAGCGCGGACGGTGCAGAGCTTGCGAAGTTCGACGTCGAGGAGTTCCGCAAGCACTGCCTGGTTAATGGATTTGACGACATCGGATTGACGATGCAGATGGAGGACAAGATCAGACAGTTTGAGGCTAGAAGGACGCGCGAGTGGTCTTGGCTGGATGGCAGTGGATATCTCGCCAAGCACCGGCCAGGGCCTGTGAAGGTCGAGGCGGCCAAGGTTCCCACCACGAATCGGGGATTCGAGAAGGAGATTACGGAGTGGTAGATGGTGGGAATGAAATGGAATATGTGTGGTGCTCATTTTGCGTGGGTTTGAGTTGTTCTTTTTTGCGGTTGGCCTGTTTTTGCAGAGATGTTCTGGTATTTGTTTTGTGCGGATTTTCTTTGTGTTATCTGTGTCAGGCAGTGCGCAGATTGACGATGGTATGTGTCGATTAGTTATATGAAGCTATTTCATGGATTGAGGGTCGTCAATTCTTCATTCAATTACTCGACCTCTCACCGTGATATCTCATTCACAGAGATCCCTCTGGCCCTTTCTGTCCGAGTGAAGAATTTTGCACCAGCCGTTAGCCACATGCGCTGACATGGGCCGCGTCAACGCTTGCGGGCCATCGTAGCACCAGATTGGCGATATCGGGCCAAAACAGGGTTCGGGATGCACCATTTTTAATGTTGATGTCATTAAGCTTGGGGGAGCGCTTGGGGGAGCGCTTGGGATTGGCTTGGGAAAGCCACCTACAGGACAGGTCAAATAGGCCCGTGTGCCCATCTGCGAGACACTTGACTTTCTCACGGGTACGGGTACGGTACACACAGATACAGCCAATGTCTGCCAACGATTACTACCGCGATTACGCTCCTCCTCAGGGACCGCCGCCCGGGCAGCAATACGGGCCTCCTCCTCAGCATGGGGGCTTCGCTCCTCCACCTGGACCTCCCCCGAATCAAGGTTATGCACCTCATCCACCACAGCCCAGCTACAGCCCCTACAACGGCAACACTCAGAACTCCCAGCTATCCTACGCCCCGCCTCCCCCACAGGCTCCGCAGAAATACCCCGATGATCCGCCGCCATACACCACCTTTGAGGAGAAATTCGTCATCGCGAAGCCGAAATACAACGACATATGGGCGGCGATTCTCTTCCTGGTGGACTTCTTTGGGCTCGTCGTCGTCAGCGGGATCTCCCTGAATGCCTATCGTGTCACGAAGGCTACCAATGGGAACGGGATCTATGATGATCGGAACAATGACTTTGGACTGTCGACGAATACGATGATCCTATTTGCGTTTGTACTTGCTGTCGCATTTGTGACGTCCGCGGCGTATTTTTTTATTGCGAGGAGGTTCACGAAGAGCTTGATTTGGATTACGGGGATTTTGAAGTAGGACCTCTTCTGGGAGACAGGATGATGGAGAAGAGTTGCTGACAGCTTTTTGCAGCATTGTTTTCGGAATTGGAACGGCGATTTACTATTTGTGAGTTATACTATGTGCCTTTTTGGTGCGAACAGATTTAGCTGACTCCATAAGCTACCGCGGGCAACTCGGCGCTGGAATCGTTTTCCTTATCTTTTCCGTCTTCTACGCCTTCTGTTTCTGGTCGTGGCGATCCCGGATTCCATTCTCGGTGTTGATGCTCCAGACGGCCATCGACGTGGCTAAGAACTACGGACACGTCTTTATGGTTTCTGCCATCGGCGGCTTCGTAGCGCTATGCGCGGGTGCTTGGTTCGCGGTTACCTTTGTCGCTGTGTATATCAAGTACACGCCTAGTGCGAATAATCCCGCATGCGGCGTGGACGGTGGATCTTGCTCGAGTGGGAAGCTCATTGGACTGCTGGTGTTCACGGTGTTCTCGTTTTATTGGCTTAGTGAGGTGATAAAGAACGTGATGCACGTGAGCGTGTCTGGTGTTTACGGGTCATGGTAAGGCTGATCTATTCGTCTTGTATGGTCTGGTAGCTGACGAGGATAGGTACTTCTGCTCGCGCACCCAAATGCCTTCGCACCCAACACTGGGTGCCTTCAAGCGCGCAATGACGTACTCCTTCGGCTCGATCTGCTTCGGCTCCCTGGTCGTGTCGATCATTCAGCTGCTGAAGCAGGGTGCGTCGATCGCCCAGCAGAGTGAGGCTATGGATGGGAATATTGTTATGTGCTGTGTCTGGGCTGTTGCGAACTGCATACTGGGGCTTGTGCTGTGGTTGATTGAATACTTCAACGTGAGTAAATGTTTACCAACTGAATTGAAAGGAACAAGTGGCTAATCTACGGGTGACAGCACTATGCCTATTCGTACATAGCCCTCTACGGTGACGCCTACGTTCCCGCCGCCAAATCCACCTGGCGCATGATGAAAGACCGCGGCATCGACGCCCTAATCAACGACTTGCTTGTCGATCCCGTCCTCACCATGGGCGCCGTCTTCGTCGGCTACCTCTGCGCACTCCTCGCCTACCTCTACCTACAATTCACCAACCCAGTCTATAACATGGACGGCTCATTCACCGTAGTCGTAATGGCGTTCTCGTTCCTGGTGGGACTCCAGATCGCAAATGTGTTCTTGGTGCCCATCAAGTCCGGCATCGCTACAATCTTTACCGGTATGGCGCATAGTCCGGACGTCATGATGAGGGACCATCCAGAACTGTATCAGCGCATGGTGAATGTGTATCCGCATATGCAACAGATGATTCATGCTTAGTGTAGGACTGTAAGAATAATGGTACTGGGGGTTTTGTCAAGGGAATAGACTGTGTAGTTTTATTTCGGTGTGTAAGAGACTTTAATGAATGAATCACTATTTTGTACTCGAGTTTTGATGTGACCGCGCATTGGCATCACAACACATTGCAACTGACATGGACTCGCTACACGTAGGAGTTGGGTGATCCAGTGCGAGATAGCCGCCCCTTAAAGTGTCAAGGAAAGCGTACTAAAGGTGTGAGATCGCGGCCTCCGGGGGGGCCAGTCCGGGAGGATTGGGGTGGAAGTGGAGGGCCTTCTTCTTCTTCTTCCACCTCTCTTCTCTTTCCCTCTGTACTGCTCAAATGAAACGCTGTTGATTATTCGTTCAAGAACTTCGAGTGAGGTCAAGTGATGGGGGAGTGGAGCTGGGAAACTGGGCACATTTGGGATGCGTAGGCTCTTATATTTGACTTTGCATCCCTACAGAAAAAGGAATACATGGTGGGTGTCCATTTCCTCGGTCTTCTGGATCTCCAGACAGGAAAGTCGTTGGTTGGACCGTTGGAGTAGAGTGCCTGGATGTATGTGCCAACGGATGTCTCCCGAACCAACCGGCCCGTCTACCTGGTCCTTCTTCACCATGGCGCTGGTCCGCTGGATGACACAGGTGGACCACGATGGGTTCTCGGCACGTGCTGGTTTGGCGTAGGGTTGCGGCTGGGATGGGAGCGACTTGTGGGCGGGGGGTCGAAGGCTGACAAGTGGTTGGGGCGTTGTTTAAACCCCAGAATCACTGGTGAGACGACGGGACGGAACTGGTGGGGACATGGAGAGATTAGAAGCAAGGCGGTATGGAAGGTATGATGTATTAAGGTGGCTTTTAGGGACAGGGTCTGGTGATAATGTGCATGACGGGAGCAAGAGAAAGATGTAGGGTTGGGGAAGATGGGGGCATAATCGACATAGGGTTGGAGTTTTTCCGGGTCTATCTTGGTCGGGCCATTTGTTCACCTCGATAGTCCCGTATTCCATAATCTAATGCCCGGGTGAAACTTGTCCACCGAATCGATAACGAAGTCCTGGGAGGTTTATCTTCGTGTCATTGCATTGCAACACCGGTTTCTTAACATAGGATGCGGTAAACCAATCTTTCCATCGGGAGTCAGGACATATGGTTGTTCTTGTTCTCTTGTACCTATTGTGACTTGAAAAAGTATGATCGTTCGAACGGCAGCACCGACCCTTTCTGTGGGGTCCAGGTGGCGAATCTACGATGAGCTTTGCGAGATATAAATACTGAACCAAGCACTCAGAGACTCTTGTGCCTCGGATTGATAGTTATTCGGTGGAAATATTTGGTCGGGTGGTGGTTGCCATTCGATATGGTGGGCATATATACCAGACATCCCGGCACGGTAAGAAGCGCGCCAATATGATGTGAGCCGTGCACTTCCCTAACCTCACCTCCGAACGCGAAGCTTGACTCGATTTCCGCTTCCCGCGCTTAACACTACTACTTACAATGCCTACCGCCACGACGAGCACGATGACGCCCTCAACACCGTTCAGTCCTTCATCGCACACGAACAGCGTGGAAACCTTCAGTTTTCCGAACACGTACATCCAGCGATCACGGCCGTACCTGACAGCAGCGCAAATCGAGTCGCTACGACCGTCGGAGTCACAAGATGAGGCGCGTGCGATATCGACACGCCTGACAGCGTGCCAGTGGATCGTGCAGGTTTCTACCGTGCTACAATTGTACCCTCTCAATACCCTCTACACTCGGGAGTGTCCGGACGACTGACAACCAGCGACAGCCCAGTGCGAACAATAGCCACCGCAATGATCCTTTATCACCGACTCCTCCTCTTCAACAAAACCCCCTACTTTCAAGAGACGCCGACAGACCCCAGCATCGCTGCGCTTTTCGTTGCCTGCAAAATCGAAGACACGCTCAAGAAGTCCCGCGAGATCCTGGCAGCATCCTACAACCTCCGGCACCCCAACAGCGAGCCCATAAACCCCGACTCGCCCCTCCTCGAGGAAGTTTCCAAGCGCGTAATTGGTATGGAGCGGACGATTCTCGAGACGAGCTCGTTCGACTTCCGGAATCGCCATGCGCAGCCGTTTTTGATCAAGTTTTGCCGGCGGTATAAGGTGGAGCGGGGGCTGGCGCATAGAGCGTGGGAGATCGCTATCGATGTGTATCGAACACTTGCCCCACTGAAGGCTACGCCGCATGCATTGGCGCTGGCGGCTCTGGAGACAGCTTGTAGGCTTGAGGCGGTCGAGATAAGGGTTCGGTATGAGGAGTTGGAGGCTACGAGGGATGATGTGCTTTGTATTTCCCCCCTCTTCTCCCCTTCCGCGCTTTTCTAACGTGAACCCAGCAATCGTCGACGACCTGTTGGAACTCTACACAAACCACCACTCGCTCACTATCGTTGGCCCCAAATACCAAGGGACAGCCTACCTCAATGCACGTATCGAACTGAACCGTGAACGGAAGCGCCTAGCCAACGGTCATGGCCGTGCACACATCGAAACGCCCATCAGCGTACAGTTGCAGACCATGACTGATCGCGGGGGCGGCGGGACGATACGATTCATGATTGATCCTGAGCGCGAGGCGAAGGAGTCTGCGCTGCTGGAGGGGGCGCCCGATGGGAGTATGGGGAGGAGTAAGGTGTCGATAAGTGGGACAGAGGAGACTTCGCCGTGGTCGCAGAGGTAGTCACTGGGTACGATGAATGATGGCACACCTGACATTCATCTTCTTTTTTTCTGTGTATATGATGTAGATACTCAAGCGCATTTGTTTAGTACGGCGTTATTGGTATTATATTCTACAGGAGCACAAGCTTGCATTCGCTCTCCCTCAGGACCATGATCATTTCCCCTCCTTAACCCAATCCATCCAGCTCCCTGGGTACTCCCCAACATGTTCATACCCCTCCTGCAGGGCTAACCTCGCAGCGGCCGCACTCCTGATTCCCGCCTTGCAGTAAAACACAAGCTCCGAGCTCTTCTCGGGTTTCTGGAACCCAAAGCGATCCTCAAACTCGTCGGGCGGCAGACTCAGCGCGTCAGGCGCGGACGCGATCGGAAGGTTAATTGCGCCCGGGATCGCGCCGGCGGAGAACTCCGAGGGCTCGCGGACGTCGACCAGAACCGTCTTTGCCGACGGAGACTGCACGAGCGAGGAGATCGAGGTGAAGTTGTACTTTTTCGGCGTGGCCGGGGCGCCGGTGGTGTAGTTGCAAACGCGCGGGGTGAAGGCGATGGGGCGCGTTTGCCGGATGACGGGGAGGAGGAGGCGGCGGCGGAGGGGGGTCATCGCTGCGATAGTTGTGGTTGTGGTTGTGGTGGTGGTGGAGGTTGGTTGGTTGGTGGGAATTTTGAAGATGGTATTAGGTACGGTGATGCAATGCCGAGTGCCGGCCGGCCGGTGGTGGGGGGATACGGCCCGTGATCGTCCATGACCGATGGATACATAGATCAATCCGGGTTGATTCATGCATCGTCCGGTTAAAGAATTGGTACATATGATACATCGAAGTGCATGCTCTACCACCAACGCTGGAGATTGCTACAATTCGTGGGCAGTGGGTTACCATCGCTTATGGATGTTTCGGAAGCCGGTACGAAGAAATTCAATGCCTATTGCGATATCACGACTAAACGAAGGTCATTGGACCCGTGTCTATTCCGTGATTCTTCTCCGTATAGATACCAGCTCATTATCACGCCGTAATGTATAGCAACAACTTTTTGACGCCTTCCCAAACCCCAGACCATTTTGTATTCTCATGATATTATGGACCCAGAGATTGGAAAGAGAAGAAGAATCCCATAGGAAAAAAGCAAAACCCGGAAAACCACAAGTGCACGCGCAACACCAAGTTTGAATTTTTTGTTACATTTAAGCTTCGGTGGAGACACGGCCCTTGGCGTTGGTCACCTTGACACCGAGAGACTTAGCCTTGGCGAGGATCTCGATGCGCTTGCGGGAAGAGACGGCATGGCCGATCCTGAGGGAAAGTCAGTGGCCAGTCCAATGGTGGATAACATGAGTCATGAGGAATGGAGGAACGAACTCAGCAGCGAAGGTGCGGTTGTGCATAAGGAGGAGCTCAACATCGCTGGCGTTCTGGACAAGGAAAGCCTTGTGTCCTGAAGGAGCCATGTGGCGGGTCTTCTTGTTGGAACCGTAACCGATCTAAATCCATCCAATATCCGTCAGTAACTGTTTCTTGTTGCATCAAATAGATCATTTTGCGCTCTCCACCACAACCTAAGCCATTCAAGAGGGGTGTTCTGTACCGAGGGCATAGCAGCCTGTCCCTTGAACCGTCTCCTCACACGGTTGTCGATACCCTTAGGCTTCCTCCATGACGCATCAACGCACTTGTAGCGGTCGCTCTGGTGGCTGTAAATTCGCATCAGCACTGTCGTATATCCATCATGATCGCTTTCGGGCCGTCGATATATGGCAGCAATCCGACTACGATCTAAAGGCTGATTTGGAAATAGAGTCGTACCGGTTGAACCTCTTGGTCCTCTTCTTGACGATGGGAACGTGTTTCTTTGCGGCGACCATCCTGTTTTCGTAATTTCCGTCAGCCCTTCGGTTCCTCGATAACTCGAACCTCCATTTGTTTTTTCGAGATAGGTCCGACGTAGCAGGTGATCGGGGAGACGAGTTTCCGTACCTTGCGTTGGGTGCTGTATCGACGTCGGGGTTGCTGGTCGGGTTGGCGTTAGTCGTGAATTCGCTGGTTGAGAGGCGGAAATTGTTTTGGTGGGATTGAATTGTGGGGCTGCAACAGACCTGTGCGTGGTTGGCGTGACTGCTGTTCTGAAGCTAGATTACCCGGGGTCCAACCTGGGCCTAGTTCATTTTACTTTGAGCCTCAATCACCACATGCACTCGTATCACGTGCAGTCGCGAGACAGAAAGCCCCACGGGTCGAGCCAAAACAACCAAACAAGACAGTCCCACCGTGTACGAGCTTCGCGTCACAGCACCAATTCAGCAACAACGGCAACCGCATCAAGTAAGAAACAATACATCCTCTCCTCTCCCAAATCTTCTGCGGTGGGTGCGCAGTGCCCCAGCTACAGCTATGAGAGTCACCGAAATCATCATTGATGTACGTCCATCACTCCCAACGTGTTCACGGCACATGTTAACCGCTTCATGGTGCAGGGCTTCAAGTCTTATGCTGTCAGAACAGTCATTACCGGATGGTACGTGTTTTTTTATGTTCTCCTGCTATTAGAGTCGGCAAGTACTAAGTGGCCTGGCCGTGCAGGGACGAGAGCTTCAACTCCATTACCGGTCTCAATGGTTCCGGCAAATCGAACATCCTCGACGCAATATGTTTCGTTCTCGGGATCACCAATATGACGACAGTGCGCGCGCAGAACTTGCAGGTGCCTTCCTCTCCGGACCCCGAGCTCTGCAGGCGACCACCATGCTTACCTCCCTTAGGATTTGATCTACAAACGTGGTCAGGCAGGCGTTACCACAGCATCCGTCACCATCGTCTTCGACAACATGGACAAAGAGAAATCGCCAGTTGCGTACGAGGGATGGGATTCGATCAGTGTTACACGTCAGATCATGCTCGGCGGAGTCAGCAAGTATCTCATCAACGGTAGTCGGACGCAACAACATGTCGTTCAGACACTCTTCCAGAGTGTCGGCCTCAATATCAACAACCCCAACTTTTTGATCATGCAGGGACGTGTCATGAAGGTTCTCAACATGAAGGCGACCGAAATTCTTGCCATGATCGAGGAAGCCGCCGGTACCAGGATGTTCGAGGACCGTCGAGATAAGGCATTCAAGACCATGGCAAGGAAAGATAAGAAAGTTGGGGAGATCAACGAGTTGCTCAAAGAAGAAATCGAGCCGAAGCTTGAAAAGCTACGATCAGAAAAGAGAGCTTTCCTCGACTTTCAGCAGACACAGAGCGACCTCGAACGGCTTACAAAGCTAGTAGTGGCGCACGACTATGTCAAGAACAAGCAGAGAGTAGAGCAATCTGCTGCAGAGCTTCAAGCAAAGAAGCACCGGGTCTCATGGCTGGGGGATTCTGCTGTACGTCTGAAAGGCGAACTGGACAACCTTGCCGAGGACGCCAAACGGGTTAAGGCACAACGCGACAAGGAGCTCCGGAAGGGAAGCAAGTTCCTGGCTCTTGAGAAGGAAGTCAAGGAGAAATCCCATGAGATCGTGCGGCTGAACACTGTGTTGGATCTGAAGTCTAATGGTATCAAAGAAGAGAAGGAGAAACGAAAGGAGATCTTGAAAAACGTCAAGGACCTAGAGAAGGCACAGGAGGCTAGGACGAAGGTTTATGAACAGCTGAACGAGGCCCACGGTGCCGCGAAGGTGGAATATGATGCGAAATGTAAACAGGCCGAACAGACCGATGAACTACTACAGGAGCTTCTGACGGGTGTTGCGTCGAGGGAGGGACAGGAAAGTGGCTACCAAAGCCAACTGCAAGGTATGACACTTCTTGATTCGGTCGAGCTACAGCTGACACTCCCACGATAGACGCAAAGTCCCGCTTAAACACCGCGCAGACTGAGCAAGAACAAGCCAGGCTGAAAATAAACCACTTGACGAAACGGATCCAGAAAGAGGAGCCCCGGGCAGAGAAGGCAAAACAACAAAACGCCACATTATTCAAGGAGTTGGAGGGACAGCGCGCTGCTGTAAAGAAGATAGAAGCCGAACTGGCCAAGTTGGGTTATGAGGAGGGCAAGGAAGAGGAAACGAGGCGTCGGCAAGCTGAGCTGGAAGACTCTATTCGAGATCTGACAAGGAAGGCAAATGAATTTCGCCAACGTGTGAGGGGAATGGATTTCACCTACACAGATCCTACGCCGAACTTCGACAGGTCCAAAGTCAAGGGTCTCGTTGCACAATTGTTCACATTAGATGAAGACAACGAGGTTGCCGGAACCGCTCTGGAGATTTGTGCTGGAGGACGCCTGTACAACGTCGTCGTTGATACATCTGAAACCGCTTCACAACTGCTTTCCCGTGGACAACTTGTTAAGCGGGTCACTATCATTCCTTTGAATCAAATCAATGCCTTCCGTATAGCCGCCCAGGTAAGCATTCACTCTGTATTCCCCCCACTACCGCACCACGATTGTCTCACATCCGTGTAAGGCTGTCGCAACTGCTCAACGCATAGCTCCCGGTATGGTCGATTTGGCCCTCTCCCTTGTCGGTTACGACGACGAGATTGCCAAAGCAATGGAGTACGTCTTCGGAAGCACCTTTATCTGCACAGACGCAGACACCGCCAAGGCTGTAACCTTCCATCCACAGGTGCGCTCAAGGTCTGTCACCTACGAAGGTGACGTCTACGACCCGTCTGGTACCCTCTCGGGTGGTTCCGCCTCCAAGTCTGGCGGGGTTCTGGTCACGATGCAGAAGATCAATTCATTGGAGAGGAGGATCGCGGAGGAGCGGAGCCAGCTGGAGGACATCAGGGTAATGATGCAGAAGGAGAAGAAGAGGCTCGATATGGCGCGCGGGCTGAAACGTGACCTCGAACTTAAGAGGCATGAAATTGGTTTGACCGAAGAGCAAATCAATTCCAATTCCAGTTCAAGCATCATCCAAGCAGTCCAGGAGATGAGGGACAACATCGAGCAGGCGGAGAAGGATATTGTGGACGCCAAAAAACGACAGGATGAAGCGGCGAAAGAGGTCAAGAGGATCGAGAAGGACATGAATGAGTTCAAAAACAACAAGGGTGGAAAGTTGGCTGAACTGCAAAAGAATCTTGATAAGCTCAAGAAGGACGTTGAAAAACGGTCAGAGATCATGAAATCTGTACGCGAAGAATTCTTGTCAGCGCAGATTGAGTTGGACCAGGTTGCCAGCGACCTCACCTCGGCCCAAGAATCGCTCGAGGAGGTTAACAGCGCCATCGAAACCCAAGAGGCCGAAATCGCCCAGCTGCAAAAGGACAAGGAAGAGGTCAAAGATACTCACGATGTCGCTTTAGCCCAGCTCGGAGACGAACGCGCTAAACTCTCGAGCTTCGACCAAGAATTGGAGGCTCTCGAAGAGGCTACCCGCAGCAAACAGTCCCGTATCGCCGAGGAGGCCCTAGAAAGCCAAAAGCTCGGTCACGAGGTGGAGAAGTTCCATAAGGAGACCCAGGCGACGAAAGAGGCCGTGACACGGTTGGAACGCGAGCACCAATGGATCGAAGACGAACACGAGCAATTCGGACGTCCGGGAACACCCTACGATTTCAAATCCATCAATGTCGCAGAGTCCAGAGCGTCACTCAAGAATTTGACGGAGCGCTCCCAGGGGATGAAGAAGCAGATCAATCCAAAGGTCATGGATATGATCGACAGTGTCGAGAAGAAGGAAGATATACTCAAACGAATGCTTCGGACGGTTATTAAGGATAAGCGTAAAATCGAAGAAACTATCCTTCAACTGGACCGCTACAAGATGCAGGCATTGCAAAAGACCCACAGTATAGTTTCCGAGGACTTCGGCAAAATCTTCGCCGAGTTGCTCCCTGGCAGTTTCGCAAAGCTGGTGGTACTTGAGGGTAAAGATATCACCAAAGGACTGGAGATCAAAGTGCAACTGGGTAAAATGTGGAAAGAGAGCTTGACAGAGCTCAGTGGTGGACAGCGCTCGCTAATTGCGCTGTCGCTCATTATGGCGCTGCTGCAGTTCAAACCCGCACCCATGTACATCCTTGACGAGGTTGATGCTGCGCTGGATCTTTCACACACGCAGAATATCGGCCGCCTCATCAAGACAAGGTTCAAGGGGAGTCAGTTTATCGTCGTCAGTCTGAAGGACGGCATGTTCCAAAACGCGAATCGGTATGTTCCTCCCATTCTTCCGTTCTGTCTGTGGATAACTAGCTAATGTATCCTTCCGCAGCATCTTCAAAACCCGTTTCGTCGACGGTACTTCCGTTGTTCAGATTATGTGATTTCTCTCCCTTCAAATTCCCCTTGATCTCTCTTTCACGCGATCACTCTGGTGTGGAGTTTGGGCTTTTTGTTTTTTCTTTCTTGCATTTCTTCTCTTTGTTTATGGATGGGAGCTTCGGGGTGCGACATGATTGATGAGACTTGACGCTTGGTTTTTTGGGGGGTTCTACTCTGTGAGTGTATGGATGATTTGAGCCGCGGTGCTCAAGGGTGGTGTAGATGTGTACCGTACAATAGATCAACACGTCCGTTTAACGTAAATATGGAGGTGGGATGAAGGATGGGGATTGGATACCACGATGTGAGTAATTGGATGTTGCTCTACATACTGTCAGAATAGAGATAGAGGATACCACGATGCGAGTAATTGACTGTTGCTCTACATAAGTACTCTGCCAGAGTAGAGAAGAGAGATAGTGGATACCATTCTTGCCTCCTCCCTGCCAATCAAATCAAGACAAGAACTGCGAGAACATATAATTACCACTTGGGGGAACATGACCGGTGTCGAAATACGGACCCATGTGCCGAGAAAGAGGATCCTGTATATCCGGCGTATCGATGTTCCGATTATCGACTATTGCTCCGAGTCTTGGGCAAACATCCCCTCCCGTATATAATATATTCCTAGTGCTATGCTAAAGCAACACACAGGAGAGGAAAGCAGCCGCAATCTTCCCACCTCTTTTCCTGTTATCACTCGCTCACCATCACGGAACTCGGAGAGTCGGAGGAATGCATAATAGCTTGAGCCTGGCAAGTTGTTGTTACTGTTGCTGGAGGGTCGGCAACTGTGCCACAGCGGGCTGGGTCGTTTCGGAGCGCTACTATATAAGGCGAGGTGCACGGGAAGATGGAAGATGGGACGGCCGGAGATGAGCGCCCGGTATATACCGGTAATGTGGGTGGTGTTGATACATACTGGGGCTGGTCGGCCTGTGTTGGCTATGCGGTGTTGGCTGTGCGGTGTTGGCTATGCAGTGTTGGCTGTGTCGTGCGGTGATTGGGTTGGACTGGATTGAGCCGTGCTGCGCTATGGCGTTTGAAGTTTCTATACAGCTTCATAAGATGTTCTATCGATGAGCTCTGGTGAGTCTTGCACGGGTTATTATTGTTGTCGTCGTCAGGGCTGTCGTAAAGGAGAGGAGTTTCCCGTGTAGAGGGCTCAGGGCGATTGGATCGATTCCGAGTTCCAAGCTCCGAGTTCCAAGCTCCGAGTTCCAAGCTCCGAGTTCCAAGCCGTAAATACGCAGTTGCAGTACCTATTCGACTCAGCGGACGATGTGCAACTAACCGCCAGGCCTCATTCCGAGTGAACGCAGTGCGCACCAGGGCTGAATCGGTCGGGACTCGGGAGTATCGCTCAAGGCTTTGACGCCCCGTGTTCTCCAAACTTGCTACGCGGATATCCACCGGACATCAGCCGAATCAAACTGAAGAACTCGCTGGTGACTGGAGGAGGAGGAGGAGGAGGTAGTCCCGAAAGCCAAAGGAAACTGACAACATCTCCCGTTCCCATTCCCGTCCCCGTCCCCGCTCCCATTCCCATTCCCATTCCCATTCCAGTTCTTATTCCATCCCCTAGAGCCGAAAAATACCCACTTACCCACACCCTCTCCTCGACCGCCGCTCACCAAATATCACACCCCCTTCCCCCCGATGCAGCCGCAGTCCCCATGTCCCGCCGCCCGCACGATCCGCCTGGACCAGCAGCAGAAGTAGCAACGGCAGCGGCGGCGGTCTGCCTATTAGAGTGGAGCAGAGTACACTCGGAACTTCGGAAGCCGCCGTAGAGTAGAGTAGAGTAGAGTACACGCCACCTCCCTCCCACCCAGAGGCCGGAGCCGCCCGGCAGCACGTCCGCCCGGCAGCAGCAGCTCCAATCTTTCGGTGAACTGACTGAGACTGACGGACGGACTGACTGGCGGACTGATCGTCGAAGGTACCAGTAGGTATAGCTGTACCAACGAAAGGTTTCGCAAGATCTTCGTGCGGGTCGGTTTGTGACGGGACAGGACCGATGCTATCCCCTACATGTCCGAGGCGTGTGTGCATTTGTTGCACTGCAAAGTATGTATGCCCGATTGAAAGGCGGCAGTGCGTCTACTCAACCACACGGCTCACTGTCTCAATTAGGTAGTCTGGTTGTAGCTGTGCTGGTGGCAATCGCAGTTGCTACCAGACAGACGCCGTGGAGGTACCGTATCTATCCGTCCGGTGCGGGCACCAGACCCGCACCGGAGACCGCAAGCGCTGCGCTGCGCATATATATGATTTGAATCGACCACGCACGCGCGGATGCGCATGCCCCATGCGCACCGCCGCGGAGATACCGCCCTCGCCCTTCCCACATAAGCGGCGCTTGAGAGTCCCCGCGCCGGTCGGCGGGTGGGCGATCCTGCTAAAGACTAAAGTAGCGCCGCGCTATTTGGATCACCGATCCTCTTTCCCCGGGAATCCCGGATTGCACGGGCTAAAAACAAACAAACGGGAGGGGGGTTTTTTATTTCTCGATTTTCCTGGTCCGTTCGTTCGAAGATCTACGAGTGAGAACCGAGCGCGAGGATATGTAGGATACGGTAGGGCAGAAGAAAATAAGTGGGGCGCCGGGGAGATGAGGCGGAAAAGGCAGAAATATTTCTTATCTAATGGCAGAAATTATTTTTCTTTTTCTTTCAAATAAAATAGGAAGTATGGACGGATATTATGTATGTGGCGCTCGGAAAGAAAGAAAGAAGAAAGTAGGCAGACAGGCATTGGACAGACAGACCGGAGATCATAATAGATCCTCCCTCCCTCCCTCCCTCCTTTCCCTCCCTCCTTCCCCACTACCAATATATTCTGCCAGAGGAGCCTACAACGAATCGATAAGGACACATCGTCACTTCGTCCCCGCAGCTGGCAACCCCCGCACAGCAACAGCAGCAGATCTCGATTCCATGGCTACCGCGTCGCTATCCAGAGATTATTATCGATCAGATGGAGCTCATCTCATTCTTGTTCGAGTCCGTGGGGGTGACAGTTGGTTGGTAGGTGGGTCAAGATGGTCGTGGCGAGTCATGAGCTGTCACTTGCGTACTATACTGGTAGTGTGGTATCGAGGCGGTTCGGTTCATGGGGTGTGATTCGGTCCGGTCCGGTTTTTTTTCTCTTTTCTTCAGTGGGTGCACCAGCTTGGGCTCGGTGGAAAACTAAATGCCAGGCCATACAGTGTTGTGTTTGCTTCACCCACTCCCTCTTCTCGAAACGTATACCCCGCCTGTGGTGCGTACGTAGTATCGATATAGGTACTTTACTCCTCCGAGGTAGTATGGGAATAGAGTACATGTATGATGTATGATGTATGTACCCAGTGTCGTGAAGAGGTCAAGCCAGCCAACCAGCCAGCCAGGTGCAGACAGTGTATCTCTCTTGCCGCCTAAGTTGCAACAAGGGAAGTTAGGGAGCGAGGTGAGTATTAATAGGCTGCACATTTTACACAGTGCGCACTGATCGACTGGTGACTCGTGATTTGTATGTATTCGTATTCGAGTTCGAGTTCGAGTTCGTGGTCGATTCGATTCGAGTAGAGTTGAGAATATCGGTGCAGTCGGTGCGGAGGGGTATCTATTCCCCAGGTTTGTATGTATTTGCATTCCTTTCCCGGTCTCACATCCACTCTGCCAGCCAGCTTCATCCCGGAGCGCGGCGTGTGGTGCACGGCGGGTTGTGTACTGCGGGTTGTGTACTGTACTGCGGGTTCAACTCAAGTGCATGGAGCTTGCTGCACAGCCTACGCAGCCTGCGCTCATCGATGGCATGCCCCCGACCCCCGACTCCCTACTCCCGAGGGGGCTTTGCTGTAGAGTAGAGTAGGTAGATCTGGATGTGAACGCTAGTTATTGTCGTTGAGGGGGAACGTAGGAGTGATCAGAGTAAAGGTCGAGCACGGTGCCTGAGTACGTATGGTATATACGTGTGGTAAAGTACTTTTGGTTTTTTTTGCTCATGTATACGAAACCGATCGCGATCTCGGCGGTCGGGGTCGGAATCGTGGTCCGGGGGGCCTAGGCTGGAGCTCACATGACTCGGGTGTGACTCGGAAGTGATTCGGAAGTTGGCTGGCATTGTTGAGCAAGCAAGCAACGCAAGCATGGAAAGCAAGCATGGAGGAGAAGGTAAAGCGTGCATGCGCGGATCGAATTCTATGCGGGTATGTATGCAAGCTGTTCTTTTTGCTTTGCTCGTACGTTTTCGTGGCGGGGGGATAGGTAGGAAGGATGTATGGCAGCTTGCTGGGTCTGGGTTTGGGTCTGGGTCTGGGCGCAGAACTGCGAAGTCTGATAAGAGGGTACGGTAGAAAACTCTCGAAGGTTTGGTCGTTCATTTCATCCTCCCCCTTGCTATGTATGCAGTTAGTAGGTAATAGGTATGGACCTTTTGAAGGCGCGAGGCTGCTTTTTTTAGATCGTCCGTGGTATTGGGAGGCTTCTCAACTTGGTCCGGGATGAGTGGGGGGAGGGGGGAAATGGAAGGTAGGAAGGGGATCGTGATTGGACTCTCATGCCGGCGCGACAGAAAGGCGGTCCTGTAATTCCGCTTCCTCGAATTCAACACCATGCCATCCACGCCATCCTCGCCCATCCATGCCACTCGGACTCCCAACATCCCTCCTTTCGCATGCTCGAGAGAAGTACTTATCTAACCGATGATACGGTAGGTTCGTTGATGATGATGATGACACCGACGATGATGATGCTAATGATGATGATGTTGGGACCGACCATTCACCAACAGCCTTCGGACCTGTCAGTCAGTCAGCCACCAGTTTGTACTCTACTCTACATACCACAGCGGTCGCCTTTGCAGCACAACCGATCGCATCGGTAACTATGGCCTTCGATTTGCTGCTTATCGGGTACTTGAGCTCGCTGGGGGGGATTTGGGTCTCCTTCGGTCGTGCCCAACGAACGCCAGAGCCAGTCTGCGCACGAATTCCTGGCAACTTTGCAAGTTGCAAGTGAGTTTTGCCGAGAGCCAGCCATCTTCAGTGCTTCACCAAGGCTCTCCTTACAAGCTACACTTCGCGCATCCGATAGCTGCCTTTTCTGTGGGCGTTCGATGAGTCTTACTCGCTGACTTGGGTTTGGCGCCAAACCCCCCTCGTCCGCCCCCCTCAACACTCAACTTCCGCTGCCACCCCCTACCCTAAACCTCCGAACTTGCCCCGAAACAGTTCATTTTGCTCACATTTGCTTCCGCGCCCAACCCAGCAACGTAACCCAGCACCCACACTCTCACCCACACACACCCACACACTAACCACTCACACTAACACTAACACACACCCCCCACGACAAGCCCAGAGAAAACACTATCGCTATCCAATCCCGGCACCTACTCTACGCTGCTCTACCTGCTTTCCGTTGGCGCCAGGAACTGGTCCCGACCGCACAATGAAGGTTGGCCAATTGTGTGTTGCGGTTTGCGATGTGGGAATTCGGAAGTGGAGCTGAACCTCACGCTCGCGCTGACGCCTGCCTGCCTCTGCCTGCCTGGCGGGCGGGCACCACCATCTGTCTGTATGTAAGGCCTGCTTACTGCTGCTGCTTGCTGCTTGCTGCTGCTGCTGTGACATGCTGTGTGTGGCCCGTCGGGTCCCTTGCTCTCGCTACATACTCTACTCTACTCTACTCTTACTTACATACAGTCTCACACTCGTACCATATTATCATCCGCCTTAACTGTCGACAAACGGACGGGCGGACACACGCCGGACGGACTTGCACATGGAAAAACCCCACGACAATCAGCGACCCGGATTGTCGCTTCGGCTTCGTCGACTGGACTGGACGGACTGGACTGCGCATTCCGCAAGGACCTATATATGGGCCATGGCATGGCATGGCGGAACCTTTCTTTATTTCTGTCCGTTGCGTTCAAAGGCAATTTCTCGTGGCCGTACCCGTCGACCTTAGAGTACATATTGCTCCACATATGCCGGCTCGATGACCGTTGGGGACTTGGATGTATACTCTAGGTACTTGAGTGGTACCTAGGAATCCGCGAGCACCGCTTATCCGTCGTCGTCGTCGTCGGCGAGTGTGGAATTTGGAATCCGGAATCCGAGGGCAACATTCCTCCACCGTTGTCCGTTGGCTGTCCAATCGATGTAGATAGTACCTATGCTGTGGAGGACGACGCCCGTCGCCGCGCGGATTTCGGAATAGACAGATCGATGGAGGAACGTCTCGTTAAGGGATGAATGAACTTTGAACTTTGAAGGCGCTGGTGAGAATAGGCAGCGTATGTAGCGTGCTGCGTGCTGCGTGGGTAGATGGGGTCAATAAATAGGTCATCGGTGCGAGTGCGGAATCGGATAAGGTGGAACTTGGAAGCGGTGGCGACGGTCCAGTTGAAATAAGGTCCGAGGCGCGAGGCTCGAGGAGTCGAGTCAAGTCGAGTCAAGTCGAGGATGAGGGCGGCGGCGGGATTATTCTGGAAGCGCTACATAACTGCGCTATGTATCGGTAGAGTACATATCCCAGCCTAAATGGGCAGTGGTGCGGGGAGGATCTGCGGGCTGGGAATGGCGCACCGCCGGCGATGCTTGGCGAAGCACAAATTTCGAAAATTGGTACACATACTCTACTCCTGCCAAGTGTCGAATGCAATGTCATGAGTTACTGGTAACAGTTTGCGGTTTCTAAAGCAAATCAAATCACACGCACAAACATAAACAGTTGTCAGCCACACTTGAAGCTGTCATCCGCCGCGATCGATCTGGCGGTTGATCGGCGAGTCAAACGGGGTGGATGGATGGATGGATGGATGGATGGAGGTGGTGGTGGTGGTGGTGGTGGTGGTGGTGGAGATAGTGGTGGTGGTGGTGGTGGCAGCAGGTGGCAGCAGCAAGTGGCCATGACTCGGGCAAAGAAAAAAAGCCTCTACACAGTGCACACTGTGCGTGGGTAGGTACGGTACATACACACACCATAACTAAGGACCTGCTCTCCGAACACCTCTGCTGCTGGCAGCTGCTACTGTTGCTGGCAGCCATCTGGCAGCCATCTACCAACTACTACCTGCTGCTTCCTGTTCCTGTCTTCGCTCTTGTCTCTCGCCTCGTCTCAGCCCGGAAGTCTTTCATTCTCCCCCACTCCCCGTTTCCTTTCTCGCGAAAGAAATCGGACATCGTTTTTGATTTCCGTCATCCGTTCGCAACTTCACATGGACATGGAAGATCGTCGGGGAGAGCACTCACGCACGCACATACCGTTTCCCACCCTATCCGTTCGACTCTAGGCATGGGCCATGGCACGGACGGGAGGATGGAAAGGACTTAAGTTGAGCTTGCCTACTCTACCTGCTTACCTGCCTACGTACTTCCCTCTTCATTCCGATGTGCTTGCTTGCTTTCTTCTTTCTTTCCCTTCTGCCTTTTTTGCATTTTCCTTCCGCGGGACACGGGAGCCAGCCAGCCAGTTTGTGGAGTGGATGGAGGAGGGAAGGAGGAGGGAAGGAGGAGGGAAGGAGGTCGGCCGGTCGGGCAATCAGTCAGTCGGGCAGTCGGGCAGTCAGTCGGGCAGTCAGTCGGGCAGTCGGGGGCAGTCAGTCGGTCGAACCGTCAACACACCACAACAAACCCGTCCGCCCACTCACTTGTCTGTCTGTCGCTCGCTGCAACTCCCGCAGGCGACGCATCCCAACGCAACAACCATCCTTGCTTGCTTGCCTGCCGGCCTGCTTGCTTGCTCCCTTCAGACTCATACATACTACTTCCCACCAACTCCTCCCCCTCCCTTCTCTTCCTTCCCGTCCGTCCTTCCGTCCGTCCGACACATCTATCGACGATGGCCGATGATGATTGTTGCGGCCAACAACAGCGGCAGTTAACCCCATAGCCACAGTCGGTTGTGGCGCAGTACTTGCCCACCTTCTCACTCCCTTACCTACCCCACAGTTGCAGTACAACAGAGTCCCGTCTCGTTCCACAGCTCCAGTGCACCAGCTGTCCCCGCTCCGGAGCCCGTCTACCTTAGGTACCGTACTCAACCTGCTTTCTTGTCCCCCCGCCCGCCCCCCTCCCCCCCTCTCATAATCATCATCACCATCATCATCGTCAGCTCTTCCTGACCTCCCTGTTTTCCGCCATTCCTTTTTTTCGCGCCCACACCTACCTTGCACACACCATAACACTCCCACACACACTCTCTCTCACACTCCCACACTCCTCCCTCCGCTCACCCCTGCACATCCATCAGCGCCTTTTTTTTTCTTTCGACACGGCGGTGGTGGTAATGCTTGTGAAAGTGGTGGTAGTGGCGGAGGTGGGTGGGGTGGTGGGTTTGTCGGGATGTGCACTTTCCTTTCCCTTTCGTGTTTCCTCCTCTCCTCGCGCAGCAGAATGACATACATGGCGACTTATCCCCGATCAGGTCTTAATTACACTTAATTTCCGAATCCGGTTAGCACACATCAAGGAATTGACTACTAAGTTTTGCGTCGCGGCTGGGGTGGTGGAGGGAAGGGAAGGGAAAGGAAGGAAGGAAGGAAGTTGCACCTGGGTGGTGGTGGAGGTGGAGGTGGTTGCTTTCGAGTTGCCGTCGCAAGCAAAGCAAAGCAAAAGTATGGATGCGTGCCCCCTTCTCTCAGACTGGCTTGGGGTGGTTGTGGTAACTGCTCTGCTACTTGCTACTTGCTATTGCTCCTGCCGCTGCCTCTGCGACAACTCCTGCGAGCAGACACTCATTCTGCTGCTGCCTCTGATCCTCCACTTGCTGCTTGCTGCAACTGCGAACCCACCACCATCAGCATTACCATCAGCTAAACTGTTCTTGTCCTCCGTCTGGTTCGTCTCTCTCTGTCTCTCTGTCTCTCTGCCCCTTCGTCCCTCTGTCTCTGTCTCTCTTCTCCACCTTTCTTTCTCGCTGCCTACTCGCTCAACTGTCGAAAAGAGACGGCTCGCTCTCTGGTCTCTTCCGCACACACCTCCACATCCCCCCCCCTCCCAAAGTCCCAAGTCTTCCCGTAACTTCCTTCCACTCCTGCTCTTCCTCCTCCTCCTACTCTTGCTCCTGCTCCTGCTCATCCACCTCCTCCTCTCCTCCCTCCACTCGCTCGACTACCCATTCCTCACTCACCACCTCCTACCACCACCACCATTACCATTCCACACCACGCACTCTTCCACCTGGTTGCCCAACTATCCCTTTGCCCTCTCACCAACACCACTACCACCACCGCACACTTCCACTTTGCCCTTGCTTACGCCTACCTCTTGTTCAAACTTCAGCATCGCCAGGCCTCGCCCTTCACATTCTACCTTCCGACCGACGATTACGTTCTACCTAGCCACGCTGCCGTTGACTCCACATCGACGCATTCACGCCTCCTCTCACAATCAACGAACAACTACCACACCCCCTCCCCCCTGGGTAACGCTTCGGTCGCCTCCTCTCTCGCCGCTGATAGAGAAGCCTTTCCTCCTACTCTTCCTCCCTCTATCCGTCGTCACGCCGCTGTGCTCGCCTTCGACGCTCTCTCCAAATCCAAATCCCAAAAAAAACACCTCACAACTTTGTCCTCGCGCTCACCGTTGACGATCCTCTCGCCATCTGCGAAATATTACCGCTACAGCGGAATACATTCGTACGATCGAAACGAGAACTTTTAAAAGACAGACGGGCTCTCGGTGATTGCTGCGATCGTGCGTCGCCCCGTCTAGACAGGTCAGCATTCTCCTTGATCCCGTTATTCACGCTCGCCCCGACGCTCCTCTCCCAAACACAATTCCCCCCGAGCCGCTACTACTCCTGATCCCCTTCACGCTCCCCGCCTCCTTCCTTTCCGGCTCATTCCTCCCCCCGTCTTTCGCTCCAACGATGTCCGTCGTTTTCGTTTTCGAGCGGGCAATCTGATTTTCAGCAGATTTTCTTCGTCGACTCTCCCCGGAAACCACCATTTCCTCCCTGGCTTCTTCGACATGGTTTTATTACCAGACGGCTTCTAAAAAAGACAAAATCCACCCTCTCAAAGAAGAAGCCGCAGAGAGGCTACTTTACAGCAGGATAATGACCGAGAACCCAACTGCGTCAACATCTCCCGGTCTTCCGCAGCTTCCCTCAAACGCTACATCCACCCAAACGCCTGACGATGCAGGCGGTGAAATTCGCTGCATCTGCGAGTGCAACGAGGACGATGGATACACCGTTTGCTGCGACAAGTGCGGAACGTGGCAACACGTTGCATGTATGCAGTTATCGGAGGACGATATTCCGTCAAACTACCTGTGCAACAATTGTTCGCCACGAGCCGTGGAAACCAGAAGAGCCAGGGAATTGCAGAAACAGCGCCGACGGGACGAGAAGATCAATCGAAGAAAGCGATCTGCGACCACCTCCCACAAGAAGAAGGAAGTCCACCAGCCCGGCGGACACAACGGCCAGAACGGGGTTACGGTCGGTAAAACGATCTACGGCACGGAGAAAACTGCCATCGTCAAATTGCCTAGCCCCAGGGAACCACAGGCCCCCCCGACGACGACGGCGCCGGCGGTCAGTCGCAAGAGAAACCAGCGAGCGTCGCATTCTGCTGGAAACTCGCATCAGGCCGGATCGATCACTGGGAGCCCATCGCCTTTTCCCGACAGGAATGCAGACGCCGAGAGCGACACCGATACGGACAAGTATCGATACGAATTCATCGACATCGGTACGGGGCAAAACAAGTACACCAACGGCGCGGTCAAGGACTTCCTCTCAACCGCTATCCGAAGCGGTCGGAACGAAGAACTTTATAGACAGTACACGCCACACGATTTCACGGCCACATCCTTCCCGAAAGCATCCGTCCGAGCGGTTCCCGATCCCTCCAAATCCTATTCCGAGCACCCGCGATGGTGCTACGTCTTGGAATCGGCCTGTTCTCGAGGAAAGCCCGTTGCCTTGTTCAAAGGCGAAGTCGGTTTCCAGGCCGAGTACAAAGACGAAACCATCAACCAATACGCTTTATGGCACCACCCAAAGCCTTATGTCATCTTTCATCCAGTCCTGCCAATCTACGTTGATGCGAGGACACATGGTTCCGAGGCACGCTTCGTGCGACGCAGCTGCAGGCCAAACTTATCGATAAAATTCATGCTCGTGGAAGACTCGAGTGTTTACATCGGTTTGTTTGCCGCGGAACCCATCAAGGCCGGAACCGAGTTGACCCTTGGCTGGGATTGGAGCGGCTTGGAGCAGTCGCAGCATCTCCTGGACGAAGGTTTCGATCTTTCAAAGGTACCCGCGGACGAGATGAGACTGGCTGCGCTCTGGGTCGACAACCTGCTCGACAAGATGGGCGACTGTGCCTGTGTCGATCGGAACCAGTGCCTACTGGCTAAAATCAAGGAGTGCGGCAGGATCGATTCCGCCGTTCCGAAACGACCCGCGACCAACGGCAACGGGAACGGGAACGGAAAGAAGCAACGGATAAAGCGAAATCCTTCGACAGAGTCGAATCGCTCGAAGGAGCCCACTCCGGATGTGCAACAAGGGAACAACAATGAGGGCGACCCGGATAGGAAAGTGAAGCCAGGAAGCCGAGACTTGACGCCGGTTCACCAACAGGATATTGCTGTCGACTCGGCGACCATGACCAGACGGGAAGAACGCAAATTCAAAGAAGTTCTCTCACGCATAGAGAAGCAAGTGCAAGAAGAACAAGTACCCCAACCGCCCAAACGTCGAAAGCGAAATAGCGCCACATCGGATCTGAACACTGCTGGCGATGGAGCTGTTGCCCGTTCTGCGAGTCCAGGTTCGGGAGATACTTGGGGTGCCGAGGAGAGGAAAACGAAGTCTCACAAAGGCGAATCGCCAGTAACCAGTCCTGGATCGGTCGGACGTGAAGTCTCCGTTGTGGATGCCGGTTCTGGCCGCTCACCGGGTTCTTCGACAGGGTCGATCGGCCACAAGCGACGGAACAACGCGGGGTCCCCAGCCCCATCGACAGGCTCGACCAAAGTGCGACGAAAGGTGAAGACTAAAGCCGTAAGGTTGAACTATGTCGACTCTTCCGTCCAGACGGAACCGGATGATGAGCTGCCATGGTGGAAACTAGCCGTACCGATGACGCCTCCCCGACCACCTCGATTGCCCCTGCGGAAACGTCTGATGCAGAGCCTGCTGAAGGATAGAGAAGAGGCTGCGTTTGCGTCGGCTGCCACCACCTCTGAGGATGACAAGAAACGCAAACTCGACTGCTTCGCGGCGGACACCACTGTGCCACTTCCAGTACCAAAAGTCCAAAAGACTGCTGAGAAGGAAGTGGCACGTCCATCCACCGGTGTGATGGGCTCGCCTGTCGCTTCAGTCCCAATCCCAATCTCAACTCCAACCCTAGCCCCAATCTCAGCCCCAGTCCCGGCCCCGGCCCCGTCACCGGCACTGGTCCCGGCACTGGTCCAAGAACTCCCCGACGCACCACCGATAGTCGTTGAGACTGCCAAATCCCCACAGTCTACAGTCTGCAGTCCTGCGCCTGTCTCCGATCTCACAAAGCCAGTACGTCCCCGCGCCAAGTCTCCACGTCAGCCGTCGCCAAACGGTTTGGGTCCCACAGATAAAGTCCGTGTGAACGGTGTTAAGCCTGCTGGTTTGCACCTCGAACTGCCAAAGTCACCAAAGCCATCCCGCCCCACAAGTGGTCAGGTTTCGCCAGGCCAACTGACACAAGGAGCCGTAACAGCCCCGTCTCCACTTACTGTTTCCACGGCAGTTCCCTTGCCGCCGGCTGTCATCGCAGCTGTCAATTCTGCTACTTCGGGCCCGTCTCCCAGTCCCACCAAAACCAAGAAGCTTAGCCTGCAAGACTACCGCAAGCGAAGCCATAAGTCGGTTGATGTGACGGCCGAAAGGAAGGAGGATGAGGCGGTACCAGCTCCTACACCAAAGGGCAACCCTAGTTCGACGGACTCGGCCAAACAACTTGCATTTCTCAATGTAGCTGCGCCGACAGATGCGACAGTAGCTTCACAGGCGACAACAGTGGAGTCGAAGATTGTTCCGGGGAGCACGTGGGGTGTACGATAAAAGACCATTCCATTCATTCTTCGGCATCCTACGGATGGCCCTCTTTTTTTCTGCTTTGGGGGCTCGGAGTCTCCTTTCTCCAAAAAAGGCTTCTTTTTTTTTAGGACTTTTAGTTGAATTTGGTGCGCTGTTTCGGCTCGAAGTTGCGCTTATAGCCCACACTTTGAGCCCGAGTTCGATCACGGGATCACGGGATTTCATTTCTATACTTGGCTTTCGGGGTGTGGGTTGGGGGTTATCTGCTTTTCATGTGTTTCTCAGTTGCGTTTGTGAGAGGGTTTAACGGAGTTTGACTTTGTGTTTCCGTGATTGTTTTTCACCAGGCTTTTGGGTATACTTTCCACGTGGTGCTATTGGGGGGTCTTTTATATTTTCCTTTAACTTCTTTTTTTTCTTCCTTTTTCTTTTTTCTTTCCTAGGGGTTCAATGGGCATTTGCACTGTGTATTGTTTGTTCAGTGCTGGATGGTTTTCTGTGTTTGTCTTGCTTGTAGCTGTTGTACGATGTCCGTTCTTCTTCCCCGCCTTTATTGGCTTGGGGTTCTGGACACCGGGGATCAAGTTGTCGGATGTGAATCGATTCAACGGCGGGCGTCGGCGGGCGGGCGTTGTGCTTTTTTTCTTCTCTTTTTCTTTGACTTTGGGGAAACTTCAGCTTTTATTAGAAGAGTTTACGACTGGTGGGACGGGCGGGGGGTTATGTATAATACTCCTTTTTCATAGTCAGGAATGATGGATGATGAATCGAAACCGAAACGGTGAGCGGTTGGGGTGGGGGTGGGTGAAGCGTCTAGCCTAGGTACTCTACTCCAGGATTGGGAATCGGACTGTCGGAATGCAGGCAAAGACGATTGAGCGGCGACGACGGAGTTGTGGAGAGCTGTATGAATTGTGCCCGCCTGCCCGCCGCTTTATGAAAAGTAGATGCCCGCTTTTGGCACTTGGACGCGTTCCCGTAAACTTAAGGAAACGGCGGAACCAACGGTCCCACTGTTTCTGCGGTCATTCACTGTTGTAAAAATCCCACCCTTGTACTGCCCTACAGTATTGTACAGCTTCACAATGGGTACCTACATCCAGATGCCCTAGAGTAGAGTAGAAGATCCGCACACGAAGTCACCCGCCGGTTGCGTGCGTAGGGATGGCAGTGGCAGTGGCAATCCATCCCGATGCCCGCCGGGGACCACCGAAGCGACCAATCGACGCCAACCAAATTTGGCACGCACGCACGTCGCACGTCGCACGCACCATGTAACCATGTTGCGTCATCCATGTGGTATGTGGTATGCATGACTCGTCTCGTCTCCCCTCGCCTCGTCGCGTCGCCCCGGTTGTTGCCTTTGGAGTACATACGCGCCTTCTTCCTCCATCCCTCCACATAATCATTTTCCCAGAAAATAAACAACGAAACTATGCCGCCGAGACGGAAAGCCGCCACTGCCGCCACTACGACCACCACCGCCGTCACCAATAAACCGGCGAAGCGGAGGAAGGTGGTGAAGGCGGGGACGGGGAAGGTGAAGGTGGTGAAGCCAAAGGTGGTGAAGGGGGAGGCGGAGGAGAAGGAGGCGGAAACAGACAAGAAGCCGACAAAACGCCGGAAGCTCGCGATGCCGGGATATACGGATTCTACAACTGAGTCCTCCTCCTCGTCTTCAGAGGAGGATGCGGGGGAAAGTAGGGCTGGGAAGGGGAAGGGGAAGGGGAATGGGGAAGGATCGGAAGTGGAAGACCACGGAGACGAAGACGAAGAAGAAGAAGAAGAAGAAGAAGAAGAAGAATGGGAAGATGTCCTCCCCACCGCCTCCACCGCCACCGCCTCCACCGCCACGTCCCTAATCCCGGTGGATATGGGTTCCGACCTAGAGCTGACGCTCTCGCGCGCGCCCGGTGTGGACGTCCCCCTCTCCGGCAAAAAGAAGGGCGCCTCCGTGCAGCAGCGGCGGATCCGGGTGCTCACGCACTGCCTGCACGTACAATACCTTCTATTCCACGGGTGGGCGCGGAACCGATGGGTCAGCGATGCTGAGGTGCAAGCGGTGTTGCTCAGCCAGCTGCCTGCGGGAATTTCCGCGGCGTTCGAGCGGGTTCGCGAGAAGGCCGGCGGGAAGGGGAAGACCGATCCGCTGCTTACCCCACTGGGAATGCTGCTACATTGGTGGCGCGCGAAGTTTACGGTCGATGCGCCGGCGCTCAGGAAGAGGGGGTATAGAAGTCTCAGGCAGTTTGTGGATGAGCGTGAGGCTGCCGGGGAGGACGTGCTGGCTGTCCCGACCGGAAGGAAGGATGCAGAGGGAAGGGAGGTGGAGACGATGGTTAGGCGCGAGGGCGAGACGGTCAAGGGGCTGCAGGCGTTTAGGACGCTGGCACGGGAGTGTAAAGGCAGTAGGGATGTCGGCGCGCTGCTGTTGACGGGGATTTGTAGAGCCCTCGGATTCGAGGCGAGGGTCGTGTTTAGTCTTCAGCCGCTGGGGTTTGGGTTCTCGACTGCGGAGACGGCGGAGGTGGTTACTACAGGTGATAAACCGGCGGAGGTGAATGGGAAGGTGAATGGGAAGGCCAAGGTAAATGGGAAGGGACACGGGAAACGGAAGCGAGTTGACAGCGACGAGGATGATGAATCCAGCGGCCTGAGTAGTCTCGAGGACACGAGCGACGACGATGATAGCGGCAAGTCGAGCAAATGTAAGTCCTCCGTCCGTATGCCCGAAACAAAGAGTGACATCCCATGCTTAACAGTCAACAAGCCCGCCTTCGATCGTGACCTCCTATATCCAACCTTCTGGACCGAGCTTCATTCCCCATATTCAAACACCTATCTCACGCTCTCGGCATTCCCCTCCCCACTCTTAGGGCACACGCCCGACCTAACGGCCAAATTCGAACCTCGCGGCAAAAAGGCCGCCAACGCAAAACAGGTAATCGCCTACGTAGTCGCCTACTCTTCCGACGGCCACGCACGCGACGTGACAGCACGGTACCTAAGCAAGCGCACGTTCCCGGGAAAAACCAAGGGCTTCCGGATTCCCGTCTCGCAGGTGCCAATATACTCGTACGATGGGAAAGTGGTGTCCTCGTACTCGGTGGACTGGTTCGCGAAGGCACTGCTGCCGCTGGTGAAGCCGCGAGAGAAGTGGACAGATGCGGAGGTGGCGGAGGACGAGGACCTACGCAAGGCGGTCGCTCCACCCGATGAGCTCGCGGCGAAGAAATATAATACCAATACCTTGTCCGGGCTCAAAAACCACCCCGAGCTGGTCCTCGAGCGCCATTTAAAACGTGAGGAAGCCATTATCCCCGGGAAAGGGCATGCGCGGACCTTCACCAGCGGCAAGGGCGACAAGAAGCTCGAAGAGAAAGTCTACAACCGCGCCGACGTAGCCGTGTGCAAAGCCGTCGAGAACTGGTACCGCGAGGGCCGCACGGTGAAGGTCGGCGAGCAGCCGTTGAAAATGGTCAAGCGCCGCGCGGTGACACTGGCTCGCAAACGCGAAATCGAGGAGAAGCAGCGAGAGGGCGAGACCGCGATGCAGGGCCTCTATGCTGAGTTCCAGACGGAACTGTACATTCCCCCGCCGATTGAAGATGGGTTCATCCCCACAAACGCCTTTGGCAACATCGACGTCTACGTCCCCACAATGGTCCCCGCGGGCGCGGTGCATATCCCATTGAAGGGCGCGGGGAGGGTCGCGAAGAAGCTGGGCGTGTCATATGCTGAGGCGGTGACCGGGTTTGAGTTCCGGCAGCAGAGGGCGCTGCCGTATATCGAGGGCGTGGTTGTTGCGCAGGAGAATGAGGGGCTGGTGAGGGATGCGTGGCGTGCTGCCGAGGAGGAGAGGAAGAAGCGTGAGGATGGAAAGAGAGAGGCCGAGGCGCTGGGCAGGTGGAGGAGGCTCGTGCTCAAGGCTCGCGTGCTGAAACGGCTGAGGGAGGAGTATGGCGAGACGCATCCCGGCGAGAACCAGGAGGTCGAGGTTAATCCGTTCGTAAGAAAGGACTCGCAGCGTAGGGAACCTGTGCAGGATGGTGGTGGAGTTGTGCCTACTGACGAGGACGAGGACGAGGATGAGGATGAGGGTGAGGGATACGGTGGTGGTGGGTTTTTGCTGGATGACGACGAGGAAGGCGAACAGCCACCACCACCACCAGTGGATGGTGATGGTGGCGGCGGCGGCTTCATCCTTGATATCGAGGAAGAGGAGAAACCGACTCCACAGTTCCTTAGCATCCGCAACGGTGCTACGGCAATGTCGTTACGAGACATGGCTGACATGGCAGCCACCGACGCAGAGTCCTCGTCCTTGTCGTCGGACGAGGGGGAGGCGGAAGAAGAAGAGGACGAGGACGAGGACGATAAGACACGTTCCAAATACTTCTCACCCCAGAAGGCGGCCGTTAAAAAAGCTCCAATACCCAAGAAAACGCCCGCGGCAGCTAGAAAGAGGGCCACAACGACGAAAACGACGAAGACGCCGCGTGAAACTACGAAAAGAATCACCAAGAAGCCAGCTAAGACGCCAGCTAAGAAGCCAGCTAAGAAATCGAAACCAACCTCCGGCCAGAACGAGGACATGGATATGGACATGGACATGGACGATGGTAGCGATGAAGATGCTCCCGTCGCTGTCCCTGTTCCTGATGCCCCTACAACTACCGGTAGGCCTCGCCGTAAAGCCGCTGTAGTAGCGCGCAGGCAGAGTAGGAGGATGATGAAGAGTCGATATTTCGATGGTGGCTCCGAGGAGGAGGAAGAGGAAGAGGATGGGTAGGAGTAGGTAGTTGCTGGTGGTCAGTGGTTAGTGGCTTGTTCATGTGCATACTTTGGGATTTGGAAGGGCGTTTCTTTTTTTCTTTTTTTTGGCGGGTGCGTTTGTGGCATGCGTACTTCTGTACTATAGACTAGGTTAAAGCTGCGGATTTTTCATGTACATGTATGATGGTTTGTAGTATCTATGATGTACGAAGTGTAACTCGTAGATTTGGAAATGGATAGAGCTTGGAATTTGTGATTGGAGCTGCGGATGTATGCATGATGCCTTGTAGTACGAAGTCTCACTCGTAGATTTGGAAATGGATAAAGCTTGGAATTTGTACATACACATAAAAAGCTTCCATCCTCCCTCACCACTCGCCAGTTCCTTTCTTCCGGCCCTTCATTCAGTCATGGCGAATCACACGGTAGACAGGGGAATCATGGAGAACCAACGCCGAAGGGTTCAGTCAAGGTTTTAAAGCCGGCGTAGCTTAGAACTCGGGGGTTGTCTGTTTTCATCAGAGAATCCGATTGTGCCGAGACAACACCACCGGTCATTTTTCCGAGTGATAGAGTGAAGAGGGGATACGGGCGGTGACGATGTGTTGCTTGATATAACACTGCTAGCATCCCACCAGCCCGCTGACTACAGTAGCAAAAAGGGAAGAATACCGCAGTCATTTGCATACCGAAGAACTACCAGATCTTTGTTCAATACGTATGCCCACTTTTAGAAAAGTCCAAAGAACACGGATTTCCATAATGACAGCTTACAGGAGCCGTACCGTCTTTTTCACATCACGTATCGAAAAGCAATGCGAAGTAATGCGTCATCTATAGACAACGAGAGTTTTATGGTGTTGCAATGCACTGTGTAATTATACTGAGGGGGGTGGTGCGTTCGTCCTATAAACAAGACTGCGTGTTTGGTCAACTTCGGTAGTAATACGTGATATTCGACCAGACGGCTGCGGTATCACTACTTACTGAAAGACTTCCGTGCCTGTAGAAATCGGTGCTCATTACTACTTTAGGGTCCGTACGATGCGATCTTTTGGAGTATCATAAGGTTTGGTAAATGCAGTAGCACAATGGATTTGCAGACGGCTCGTTTGCCAACACCCCTTCAGCTCAGCGGTGGGGTCGAGATGAGTTCACACATTTCCTCTCGCTGATAGCTCCTCTCGTCACAGTTTGGAAGCATGAGTTGTCTATTAGTAATATCTGAAATGAGACGAATACTGTAAACCACACAGTGCATATTGTGACAACTATCTGGAATTCCCAAATACGTAAAGACTTTTGCCATCGAAAGAACTACAGCGGTGTACAATTTACGTAGTGTAGGCACTGTCTGATACTTCACAATCCCGCAGGGACTCCGCAGCTCTACTGTATTCAGCTCAATTGGTATAGTTTCCTTTCCAGTATTTATTCCGTAGGTCTACGGCACTTCCTACCCTACAAGAATGTCGTAAATATTTGCTTACGTACACCACGTCTTACCCACAGTACGTTTTCTTGAAACTGGAAGGTTTCTACGGTATGCATACCGGATTCAGTGACCGGAGCATGCTGCTCAGCACGGCATTTCGTTCGTAGGAATCCTGTCGTCATAGTCTTACTACAGTCTAGGAACTACGTGATTGGGATTAGAACGTTTTCTCTGCATTATGTTGTTTTACGGATACGGTAGTCCTCTGGTAGTTCTCTGGTAGTCCTCTGGTATTGTGGACAGTGCGTAATATGTTACATTCGGAAGAGCAGCGGTAGTCCTTCTGGCTTTTTTGTAGATGAGCGCATCTTTATAAAAGTGCGTATGATTCGGCGATACCGTAGAATTTAGACTGTAGGGGAAAAATATTCCAGAGTAAATCTGTATTCTCCTGAGACTGCTGGATTTATATCCAAGCGGTAGTAGATACTACTGGAGACCTTCCACATCAATCGCACCTCACTTTTTGCTACCGTACCCACCAGGTGCCGTTCGTAAACACGAAAATCCAGAACTCAAGATACTTAACTACGCCTCAGATACAAATCGCAACCACCGCCGAAACAACCCGAAGAACGCAACAAAAGAGTGCGCTGAAAAACTCCTGAGAAACAGCGCAAAAGAATCAGGCTCGAACCCGGATTTGAACCGGGGACCTCTCGCAATTGATGCTTAGGAGCGACCCTAAGCGAGAATCATACCACTAGACCATCCGAGCTGATGATGTCAAGAAGTGATGACAGCAGTCTGTAATATTACATTCGCCGGAATTGTCTTCTCGGACAGAGCATATCACCCGTCTTCACTTGGCCAGGCACACTCAGACTCCACATTAGCATCGTCGGCCCGCGAGATCGAGACCTCCAGTACCACGGCAGCCCGGATGGTGCTATTTTACCTCACGCACCACCAGGACCAATCGGGACGTAGTAGAAGGGGGGGGGAGGGGACAGCGTGATGGAACATGACGACAGGAACTGTTTCATGCCTGCTACATAGGGCTGAGTGGGGATTTGCGGGATTTCTGCGAAGGACGGTAGGTGTGTACATACATCCACCTCCGTCAGCGCCGCGGGAGAAAGCGTCGCCTGGACATTGGTCCCGGGCTTGAGCTTCCGTGGCCGGGCTCACCGGAATACCTTTGTTTGATAAGGATGGAGAGTACACGGCAGCATTCGCAAAGGGTTATCGGGAGTATGTACGTAGATAGCGGTTCCACATATGTACATATCCCCCAAAACTCTATGCATAAATAAATTACCCCGCGATATCGCGGGTGCGTCTTCTCGCATAATAGGTACAGCAGGTACATTCATTAGTCGGTCATCCCCATCCCCATCCCAGCCCTAATCCTTCCTCTTCGCGCCATAGCCTCCATATCCCGCACCGCCACCTCCGTTCGCGGGAAACCCGTATCCCGCATACCCGGACCTGGCCTTATCCCCCGCCGCGGCCGCAAAGCTGCCAATGATGCCGCCGTTCGCGCCAGCATTCCTCGCGTGCTTCAGACGGCGGGGCACGTCCACGCCGACGACCCAGGCGTAGCACACGGTTGCGCCCACCAGCGCCGAGAGGATGCAGTATAGCATCGTGTGCCCCGCGGCGACGGTGGCGGCCTTGGTGGCTTCTCCTGGTGGCAGGTCGGATGTCGCGTACCAGCGTAGGCGGAAGCGCAGGGGGAGCGGGTCGCCGATCACGATGCGCGTGGTGGAGGATTCGAGCGCGGATGTGGAGTAGGCTGCGGCGGAATCGATCGCTCCTGGATTGTCGGAGGAGGACATGTGTAGGAGCATGTTGAGGTTCGTGCTGATGTGGAGATGGGAGGACTCGAGTTTGCCGGCGAGGGCGACGACTGTGTGGGGTCAGCGGGAGGAGGGGGGAGGGAGGATGGAGGCTAGCAGCAGGAGGAGGGGAAAACGTACTCAGCGGAACCCATTCCACGCCACCGCTGCCAGAGTCGCCCTCCGAGGGGAGGAGTTCGCCGTCGCCGGCGGGGCGCGCACGTACGCGACACGACATGGGCGAGTCGTGGTGGATGTAGAATTCGAAAAGGTGGTACATCTCGTCCGACACGGCGGCGATGGTGCAGTTCAGACCTGTGTCCTCGCCCTCGAGGAAGCGCAGCTGCAGCGGCGACTGCGTCTCGTTGCATACCGCGAACGGAACGTATTGGAGCTTGCCGGCTTTGTCGAGAATGTGCTCGCCGGTATCGCTTCAAACCCCACCAGACACGGAGAATCAGTAGATGTCGTGGTGGGGGCGGTTTGGAGAAGTTGGGGCGGTTTGGAGAAGTTGGGGCGGTTTGGAGAAGTTAGGGCGGCAAGTGAGAGTAGGAGCTCACATCGTCCGATCGAGGCATTCGACAGGAATGAGGTCGCCTTTCGCGTATGACAGTTGCTGCGGCACGTCATCGGGCTTTTCGAGGGCCGCTGTTTGTCGCAGCAGGAGAAATAGCAGTGAAGCACTGGGCAGGAGCCGCATCTCGGCCGTATAGTGAGTGGTTGAGGAATTTCGTAATATGGTTGGTAGGACGGTCCGGTTGAGGTTGAAAGGGGAAAACTATCATCTAACGTTACTCCACCTAGGCGCCACGTTGGGGGCAATGGGTTGATCATCGCTTAGCACTCGACCAAAGCACTCGATCACGTGCACACCTTGACTCAGCCGACGCATTAGGTACTCCAATTGCCATGATCTAGATAGGTCGCATGCAATTACTGATTAAACAAAAAAAAAGCATTAGGTACTCCGTTCTAGTAACCAAGAGTAGATATCTCCTCTCCCAATGAACTCTACTAGACTCTATTCAACTTGGTAGCACCACGGCGTCGTCAAAGAAACTGTATGTATCATATGATACGCATCGTAGCCAGTTTTGAAATAATCCACCCTTGCTCGGTGCGTGAATAGCAATTAGCAAACGCCGTTAGCCGTACCCGCCGAAGCCAATGCAACGACGACCAGCCACAAGGCCGAGGACAACACATCTCTTCCAGGTAGGTATGTAGTTAGCAGAGTTAGCTTCGACGTGCGCATTGCAGACCATATAGTTACGTACCTCAGTATGAAACCAGAGTGGTACATACTGCCGCGGCAGCGCCTCCCCGCGAAGTCGAGGTGACTCAACAGCCTCTCGAAACTCACATTCACTCTCCTCTGCATCCTCCGGTAGGGCACTCGCCGAGATCAAACGCTCCTCCAAAGGGCCAAGAATTCCGGGGACATGGCATGCGCACCGTACCGTAGATATTTAGGTATGCATATACACTACGGACCGCAGCCTCATGTCCGCCGTGCATACGGCGGTCGGCGGGGTGTCACGGTGTCACGGTGTAGCTTCTCTATACCATACTTAGTAGGTATAGGTAGTATGGTGGTATGGTAGGTACTCGGCCATCTATCGAGCGGACCTAGCCGGTGCCAGGTCTTCCGGCATACGGTACTTGTTCTTGATGTGCTATTCTGCGGGTGGGGCTGTCACATTCTGGTCAGCCGTGTGTATGTACAATACATTGGGTAGGTATGTACTTTGAGATTACGACTGTCGAGCGCACCTGATGCTCACGTGAGACCTGGATTGAACGTCTGTATGCCCGTCCGCCGTAGTTTCACCTGGTCTTTGCTGGCGACTATCTAACTACTCTACTCTACGGTAGTCGGCGTTTCGCGTCCAGCCTTGACTTCCGGGACGCCGTACATACAGTCGGTGCAGCCGTGTTGGACTCTTTCGTCTTCTTTTCTTTCTTTTGCGCGATCCAGACCCCGGGTTTTTTGTTTCCCCTGCGTTCTCTGGGCTTTGTGAATTTTGTTCGTATGATGGCTCAGAGCTCTAATTGGTACCGGTACCTGCGCCGGATACGGTCTGGAAGGAAGGAAGGAAGCAGGAGGGAAGGAAGGAAGCAGGAGGGAAGGAAGGAAGGAAGGAGGACGGGGGGTTGCACGGCAGCAGCTGCAAAAGCAGTAAAACAAAAATAAAAGCAGAAGCAAAACATCAGTAAAGCAAAGCATCAAAAGCAAAACAGCAAAAGCAAAGCATCAAAAGCAAAACAGCAAAAGCAAAGCATCATCCGAAGTATGCCGAAGTTGAAGTTGAAACTGAAGTTGAAGCAGAAGCAGCAGCAGCATTCCCGAGCGGCTACAGGCTATGTACCTACAGCAAAGTGGCCGTGACTACCTACCCTACCTATGGGGGCACGAGCTTAGCGAAGAATTGTCCCGGCTCCGTCTAAGCTTTTTGAAGATTGCGGCAGTGTTTTGATATATTTGGAAACGTACCTACATAGCACTTACTAACCCGTAGGTATGTAGGTATATAAATGTCTCCGGATTCTGCGTCCGGTCTTGGGGCTTGCGATTTGCGGCGCAGTCATCCTTGCACAGCCTTGGAGTCCGCATGTTCATGTAAGTACCTGATCTGGAATTTAAGTTACATATGCGGCAACGGAGGTTGTTCTTTGGAATCGGCTGCACATAGTACGGGGTAGCATACAGTACCTGCCGCAGAGGACGGGCCACGGGGTTCCCAACTGGGGGCACCTCGATTTAGCGAGTGACGTGCTATGACTACTATGTAGTAGAGGCGCCCGCTGGGTCTCGATCCAGCATCTCGGTCCCCGACCCCCCGTCCTGAACTCTCATCGTCGTGATCCCGTTGATCGTGCTCACTTCTCACTTCTCAGTGCTCACGAATTTCGAATCACATCTCGACACATTACGATTCAGGCAACAGTACACCGTACATACATGAGTACACACATACGTACGTACCCAAGCATAGGAAGTAGTGGCAGTCGGGAGTTTTCAACGACGACGACGACGATGTCATGCATGTCCGCTATGTCCGCTATGTCCGCTATGTACGTAAGGTACGTAAGCACCATATTTTTTTGACTCGGAGAGTCGGAGTCGCGACTCGCGCACCGAGCCAGGCCAGGTGGCTGCCTTCTTTTTGTCTGGAGGTGTATGTAGTCTACTCTACAGTAGCACAAGGTGATCTTGGGGTCTCTGCGAGCAGAGTTGTGGTTTTTTGTTTTTTTTATGCCTGGCCCCCGGTACGGTGGTGATTGAAACGATCGTGAGCCTGTAGGGAGGGATGATGGAGGGGGTGGCTGGGAGGGTTCCGCGTTTTGCTCGTTGGAAGTCTGGAACCGTCAGCCCGGAAACATGTGCAATCATGTGATGACCATCGACAAGATACCCGCAATGTACAAACTTTGTTATGTAGAGTATCGAGGACGAGCAGGGCTGACACGTCGTCGTCGTTGGCTCCTAGCCTCCTCTACGAATGCTGGTAATTACTTGTGGCTCTAGAGTCTAACTAGAGGACGCTTTGGCGAGGGGTATCATGTTACATGTGTGTGTGTAGGAAGTACGTATCTATGTGTGACATGTGTATCTTCTCGCCGCGCATCCAGGATTCTCTCTCAAAGATCAGACTATGGACTGAACTCAAATGAGGAATTTTGCAAGGAAGGCGAATCCTGTTGGTGGTGATGACTAGTTAGCTCGCTTCCGACGTTATCCCCCACAGTAGGCAACTGCTGGGTATAGCCCGCCAGCGTCATGTAGAATAAGTGCTTATGTTGGGTACAGTTGTTACTACTGGGTATATTGCACGCGCAGTGTTATCCTGCTCTTGGTCGCACAGGACACGCATGAAAATCAAACCAATCAGCTGCGCCCGATATTCCCAGTCGTGTGGTATCATGTATGGGGCCTGGGGATGCAGAGAGGTGGAAGGAGAAGGAGAACAAGCAAAGATGGGTCCCTCTATTTCTGTCTCCCAAGAACAAGGTATGTACTGGTGTTTTGCAATTTTCGGCCGGCAGGAGAAGGCTCGCTGCGTTTTGGTCTTCGATATGTAGGACCTAGTACCTACGTACTTGGGTATGTACCTAATGTACTGTTGTGCTGGATGGTTTATGGATTTCAAAACTTTTGCGATCGTGCGCCGTGCGCCGGCCTTGTCGCCAAGCAGAGGCCAACGGGGAGGGAGTGGACGAGGACGAGGAGCAAGGAGCAAGAGCGTGAAGAGATATCTGACTCGATCGATCCACGGTATTTAAGTGGGGCGTGCATCCCGAACCTCTGGGATACATGCCCCCCCTCCCACCCGGTGAGTTACCTTCATGCCTTGAGGTGACTTCACTCGAGATCGTCCATCACCAACGTCATAATATATCCTTCGACGAGCCAGTCAACCCAGGCGCTTGGACGGTATCATAATACTAGATATCTGCGTCTGCTTGGCCTCGAGTAACGTCACAGCCCAAGGGAACCGAACCAACAACCGCCCTCGAGTGTTAACCCCCTACAGAACGCATACAGCGTTGCACCAAAGCACACACACACGCCCGCTAGCCAGGGGAGGCCCTTCGTAAAACGTTGACTGCCAAATTCAGGATCGCCGCTCGCCATACCCAGCAGCCATGGTCATCAACCCGGTATGCTGGCTCTCCCGCTCCTGCGCATGCTGTAGACATGTAGTCTGTGCTGTTGGCCGTGAGCACTCCCCCGCTGACACCAGGGATACACACAAGGTTCTCGCTATGCGCATGGCTGGTACCCTTCCCAGGGAGTTTACTCAGAACTTTGCTCCCAACCTGTCAAAGTCCCAGAGAAGAAGAGTTCGTTCACTCAACATGGCCTCACTGTGGCGACGACTGCTGCTTGCTGACTGCTGCCTGCTTTGATAGGATATCGATCGCATCCCTGGATTCATGGACTCGCGGCCGAAGCAGCAACCTTCTGACATGTCAAAGGGAGTCAAGCTTCACGCCTCCGGACACTACGGGCACAGGAACACTCTCCATCTCCAACGGCCAAAGATGATGTCGAACAGATACGACGTATGGTACCTGTCAGCAGTATGGATCTCCCCTGGTATGTGTTGGCTGACCGCGGTCGACGAGGTAATAGGAATACGGCTATGATATGCCATCGGTAATCGCCATCGATCAAAACACCCAAACGTTCCAAGCCTGTTCGCGAGCACTCGATGTCCATCTATCATCGTCGCAGCGGCACCGCCTTGCCGATGTCGCTCAAGTGCTGATTCGGATGTTTCTTCTCGGCAGAACGTACGCTTCCGACAGCAACAACAACTGTCAAGCACCACCAGGCTACTCCGGTTGTCGACGTGTGAATTCCAACACCGTATCGGGGCGGGCGGAGTTTAAGAGGCCACGGACCTCAGGACCTGGAGGAAGAGACTCTGGCGGCGGTGGCGGAGGAGGCGGCAGCGGTCGAAACGGCGGCGACGATCAGCACGATAGACACGGGTCGGACCGTGTTCACACGCCTGGTGGGCGCTTTCGTTGCCCAGTCTATGGCAAAGCGAGTAATAAAACAAAGAACAATTGCTACTTGGAGCGGTTCGAGACGGAGCAGGAAGCACTGTATGTACTCCATTCTCCTCTTCCCGTTCTGATGTTTTCCCTGACAGCTTAGGGTAGTGAGCATGCTCTTCAACGGCATGAGTGGTGCCCCATTTGTAAGAAAGAAAGGATAGATACGAGGACAGACCACCGATCAACGGACCTTGAAAAGCTTTTCTTTGAAAATATGAAGAACCTAAGGTATCCCCCCCCCCGAAAGATGTCGACAAGCAGGGGCCACAGGACTGACAGTGATCGTGCAGGTTCCATGTACTTCGGCACCACCTAAAAGTGGTTCGCTGCCCGCATGCTGGATGCGAAAAAACGTTCGGACTCCTGAATGCGTTTTCCAGGGATGGCCACGCCAATGCCCACTATCCCGCGGAGGAAGACAAGGACAGATTAAAGACCCTTCTCGAGCGCGATTTCTCATCAGCCGAGCGTATTCTTCAGAGCGAAAACCCAGCACTGTTTGGGCTTTTCGATGGGGTCAGGAAGTGCAAGAGCAGGGAGGAGCTGGAACAATTTCTCTACCGAGACGGGGTCAAGGTATTTGACAACGAGGGCGATGTGGATAGTATGTTACCCTTAAAGAAGTCCGGCGCCCGGCTGCTGACATTGTTTCCAGATATTTCGCCACCAAAGTCGAATGGAATCAGTACGCCCTGGGACCACGGCTCCCCCAGCCAACGAGCCCTGAGCCAAATCCCCCCAGGTACCCCACACACTCCGACCCTGGAGTATCCCGATACTCCTGTTCCAGGTCACCAGGAATTTGCAGGCTTCCAGTCGATATCCAACGATGTGAGCCATGCTGGCGGTAGATTTTCACCTTTCTCGCATACCATCGACCACAACTTCCTTTCATCCGATCAACCTGTGGCTGCACATCTACTGTATCCACCGGTCGGAGCGCCCATATTGCCGGAAATGTTTCCCAGCCACGAAGGCAATATCATGATGAACCGGATGCTCGCATTGGGTGGCGGTGAGTATCCGACTCTCTCGGCGACGGGAACAGACGGGTTTTCGCAGCTGTACGACCATGCATTCCACATGGCGAGCTTATGGGAGAAAGCCGACCTCAGCGAGCGGCGGGCGCTCTTCAAGACTATGTCTTATTTCTTCATCAGCATTCATGATTTCGTTGGGCGGAACATTGATGTGGTCAAAGACATCCAGCCTGCCGATTATCCCAGTCAAAGTAAGTCGAAAACTGGTTCGGACATGCAGTTCGATGGTGGCAGTGCTGATAGGGTATCGTGAACAGCAACCGTCGCCGATAGCGCATTTGGAGATTCCATCGTCCACTCGTACGGTGGCAGTCCTGGTCCGAGACTGCAACATTCCTTCTAAGGCCCTTGAGGTTCGAACACACGTCCGTCATCGAAACAGATTGTCACGTATAAAACTAAAAGGATAGAGCTAGATTGGGTTGCGGGTTTGGGAAAAGAGTTGGGCTGGTGCCACAAAAAAATTTACGATCGTGTCACATGTGTACTGGGTTTTAGTTTCTGATTTCCGTTTCTGCTCTCCGTTTCTGCTTGTCTTTATTTGCTTGCTTGCTTGTCGTCGTTTTGTTTATTGTTTGGCATGGGGGGTTATGGGACTGCTTTAATGTAAGAAACATACACATAGAAGGAATGATATGATGGGGGATAGTTATACCGGTATGCTGCTCGCAAAGGTACATGCTTGGCCACTCGGCACTGGTACGGTGGTTCAACTGTGAAGGTCCGAAACTGGAGATGGCCAGAAGCTGTCGCTCCTCCGGTTGTACATATCCTGGCTTGATATCCGACGGGGACTTTGGTGGTCGCTGCGACTGTAGGATGAGAACAGCGAGCATTCATGAGTTCTCACCCGAACGAGGCAATCGACGGCCACATTCATTACCTTGCGCGGTTTGCATGGCCATTCCATTTCCTCCTCGCCTGATGAAGACTCTGACGAAGCGGCGGCCCAAGCTTGCAATTATCTGGACTCTGGAGGCGGCGATGGTCCTGGCGACCGGTGAGATTGGTAGCTCATGCTCACGGAACATCACGCAGTGCATCATGCTTGTCGAGTGCGCGGTGCACTGCGAACGTTCGCGATTAGTGATTGTGACTGTGATGTTGATGGCGAGCTGACGACGACGACGTTCGTGTTGCGTTACGGAGTTCCAGCTGCACGAGCTCGCAGCCGAGCAGTGGGAAGTGGGGAGGGAGGAGAGAGAACAAGAGGATGGGAGGGAAGGAGTCGAAGAAGTGGACACTGGAGGAAGAAGAAGAAGAGGAAGCAAAAGACGAACAGAAGGAAGGAAGGTATACGAGTGGTGGCAATGTCCTCCGTGTACCTATACGGTATGTACGGCACCTACCTTGTATGTAATGCGGTGTTGTGGCCGCACTGCCCGCAGTGTTGTCTTGTCTTGTGTCTTGTATTTTGAAGCAAAGCTCCAATAACCCTACGGTACTGCTTCACCCTACGGTACTATGTTGCTGTCTGCTTTGGACACTGATACTTACAGGCTACCCGCAGAACTGTGTTCGGATTCTTCCCGCCGCAGCAGCGGGCAATGGTTGTCGGAGTTATTTGCACGATGCATCACTCTCAATCACCGAGAACGGCATCGCGCTCGCGGGTTCGAGCTAGACGGGCTTGGAAGATTCGAGTGAGCGTTGGTGGACCTGCTGTGGCGATCATCCCGTTCTGCCTCGGTTGCTGCTTGCCGGAGAGAGAAAAAAACTCTGTTCGGTAGAGAGGGAGGGCCAAAACTTTGTATCGATTTTTTTTTACGCCTCACAATATTTAGAGTAGGATCACGAGTACCATATTGGTGGGGGGAAGCGGTTGTTATCAAGATAGTCCGCCGCGCCGCCGTACGTCACAGGCTCGCGCGAAACCTATTTCCTTTTGCTATACTAGAAATGCGCGTCGGCGATTTCCTCCCAATCCCTTCGACTGACCCCCGGGATGTTGGACCGCCGGCGACACGAAACTCCGGTTCGTGTGAACGAGACGAGTGGTGGACGCAATGGATCATACGACCTTTCTGTTTCGGACATTGCCAGCGCCGCAAGTGCCGAGAAGGAACCGAACCGAACCAAAAGACGAAGGATCCCGTCATCCGTCGGAGGACGACATCGTCCCCTCCAACAACACAAGCAGCTACTTGGTTAGCAACCTCCACCACCCACCTGCTTCGCCATACCTACTCCACGTCGTACCCGAATACCTATCCAAAGCCGCCGAGCGTCGCTGTAATCGATAATCCAGTCTCGAAACACCCGTGCGTTCCTACATACCACCCGTATTCGATGATCCGCCGAAGCACGCTCCTCCGGGCCCTGCAGCACCGGCCCTCTCCGCAACCGCAAATACCCTCTGCGGCTAGCAGGACTTTATTTACAGCCACAGAGCACGGCCCACTATGCTTTCAGTGCGCTGGAAAGGTTCTCGTACGACCACGATTGAGGGTTCCGCGGATGCGGGGTATGGCTTCGGCCGCGGCAACAGCAACCGAGACGATAACGACAACCACCACGGCGGAAGGCGTGGATGTGGGTGTCGGAGGTGGGTTACGGGGAAAGAGGGAGAGCTGCGAAACTGCACGAACGGACGCTGACGGAAAGGTGGTAGATCCTGCCATCGGGCCGTTGGTGCAGTACGATGCTTGGGTGCGTGAAGGGAAGTTGCGGGACGATGAATACCAACGAGGTCAGTTCACTGTCACTCACCTCCTACACCCTGCCTACCTATTCGGATCGTTGCTGATTCCGATCGCTGGATAGGAATCGTTAGGAGTCTTCAGGGCCTCCACGACGAGCTGGCTCACTACAATCCGCCCACCGTGATCCACCCTACTATCGAGTCCCTTGCGCCGCCTCCCCCGAAATCTTTTCTCGACTCGCTTTTCGGCCGCGAACCCCCGCAAGCACCGAAGACTGAAATTCCGGCGGTCCTTCCGAAGGGTCTGTACCTCTACGGCGATGTCGGCTCGGGAAAGACAATGTTGATGGACATGTTCTACAACACCTTGCCGGCCCACATCACGTCGAAGACGCGCATCCACTTCCACCACTTCATGCAAGACGTCCACAAGCGCCTGCACCGTCTCAAGCTCGCCCATGGTCCCGACTTCGACGCGATCCCGTTCGTGGGCGCAGATATCGCACAGAACGCCGCGGTCCTCTGCTTCGACGAGTTCCAATGCACCGACGTCGCTGACGCCATGATCTTACGGCGACTTCTGGAATCTCTGATGAGTCACGGCGTAGTGATGGTTGCGACCTCGAACAGGCATCCGGACGAACTCTACAAGAACGGCATTCAGCGGCACTCGTTCATTCCCTGTATCGAAATGCTCAAGACGGACCTGGTAGTGATCAACCTAGACTCGCCGACGGACTACCGAAAGATCCCGCGCCCTCCATCGGGCGTCTACCACCACCCCGCCAACGACGCAGGCGCTCTCCAACACGCTGAAAAATGGTTCGCATACCTCGCGGACCCCCGGGATCCGCCTTCGCCGAGGAAACATCAAATCTGGGGCCGTGATGTCAATGTTCCCAAGGCGTCGGGTGCCGCGGCTATGTTCCACTTCAACGAGCTGTGTGGGTCGGCGACTAGTGCCGCGGACTATCTGGAGCTGTGCAGACACTACCGCGGTTTCGTCGTGGTCGGTGTGCCGGGGATGGACCACAAGACTAGAGATCTGGCTAGGCGCTTCATCACGTTCATCGATGCCGTGTACGAGAGTAAAGTAATACACCCCCTCATCACCCCTTCTTTACCCCTTCACCGGTTAACACAATGCTGCAGGCAAAACTGGTCCTCACAATGGACGTACCGATGCAACAACTATTCGTTAGCAACGACGACATCAAAGCGAGCATCGATGACAAAGACGGCGGCGATCTAGATTCCAGCTACCGCAGCCTAATGGACGACCTGGGCATGGATATGAAGATGCTTAAGAACAGCTCGATCTTTTCCGGCGACGAGGAGAGATTCGCCTTTGCGCGTGCTTTGAGCAGGTTGGCGGAGATGGGAAGTGTACAATGGGTTGAGGGCTAGTGGGTAGTGGGGGGAGGGGAAGTGTACAATGGGTTGAGGGCTAGTGGGTAGTGGGGGGAGGGGGGGGGGGGGGGGGGGGGGGGGTGGTTTTTGGTATAGAAGGTTACGTGGTTTTTTTGTTCTCTCTTTCTTGGGTTGTGTGGCTTTGCTTGCGTTGTGCGATAGAGGCTGCGTTTCTTCCGTTCGTTCGTGCGCGATTTATATACCAGGTCTGCCGGCGATATCAATATCATCTTTTTCCATATACATACCTACGTTGTCGTCTTCCTTGGCCTTGGAAACGTGAGTGAAATTAAACAGCGCCTGCCGAGCGATGGGGAGGGGGTGGGGTCCCAGAGGGGAGGGGGGGGAGGGACACAGGTTAGAGCGGGATGGACTCTGGATGTCTCGTTCTACTAGGTATAGCGGCAAGATACCATGGAACGATACGACGGCTGTCCAGCTGGCCGGGTGCAATATACGGGTGGGTGGGTGGTAGTGATAGGATGTAGGTATATATTCCCTGCTGGAGAAGTGCGACGCCGGATCTACAAGGCAGTCACTGGTCACGTACTATCACTCACGCCTGATTTTTTTTTCCCGTTTGGTTCAATCGTACCAGTATCTCGTGCTGGGCCGGAAAGGGTTCTTCTCCTACCAAGTAAGGGCCCGTTTGGATGCGTTCACTTTTCAGTTCCAGTTTTAAAGCCAAATTCAGTTCCCACTGGGACATTGAATACTGTTCAGTTTCAGTTTCTGGAAAACCTTGACGTGAACAAAGTATTTCGCAGTTCCCAATAGTCAGGGCCCGTCTGGATGGCCTCAGTTTTCAGTTCCAGTTTTAGAGCCTAATTCAATTCCCCGCCGGGACACCGATTACTGTTCAGTTTCAGTTTCCGGAAAACCTTGAGGTGAACAAAGGGTTTGGCAGTTCTCAGTATACTCAGTCATAAGTCTGAAAAATAGTCTTCACCAGAACTTTAATAGTAGACGCATTGTGGCCCCGCTTGTCGTTGGGGAGTCCATGGTTGAAGTTAAAATGCGGTACTGAGAGGTGGTGAAGAAACTGTCCTCCAGAGGTCAGTTCCAGTTTCGTCGCCGGAGCCGCACAGTTTCGGGGTTTATTTTCTCAGACGCTTAACCTCGTGACTGGAATCTGGATGCACCAAACCTACGGTAGGTATCGAGCCGGCTCCGGAAACGGTTCGGGGCGGTAGGGAGGGAGCAAGAAGGGAGCCAGGCATGCTAGGCGTTGGCTTTCTGTTCGAGACGAGCCTGAATATTCCCAATGGCTACGATTACGAGTCGGTCTACCTACGCGGAAGCATTTCTCCAATCATCGAAGATCTCCCGACGGCTCGGGAGGCTACTCTATTCGTCGACGAGATCAGCTGTGCGGAGCCAGCGTATGAGATGGGCAGATCGACGACGACGACGACTCACGAGGCTGTGTCACCATTGGTGCCTACTCTACCATCTATATGTAGGAACGATCCTTCCAGTAGAGTCTAGACTACATAGACTTATAGAGGGGTATAGGTAGCTTTAAACTCTCCGGACAGGGCGAGGAGGTGAAGCTATAAGCCGTTTGTCCCCCGACACTCGACACCCATATCATCACCATCACCATCACCATCACCGGAGAAACCCACAACCCACAATTGGAAGCACTCGGCAGAGGAAGACGGTAGTTCAATTGCAGGCCAATATGACGGAGCCCTCTACATCGCCTACATGTTCGCCTTCGCTATCAGAATCCTCCGAGTCACCGACAGACACATGGACAGCCGAGCGCTCGGAGGCCGGCGAGACGGACACCACAGCAACATCCTCATCATCGTCACTGACAGAAGTATGCACAGCCGAGTACTCGGAGGCCGGCGAGACGGACGCCGCAGCATCCTTTACTTGCACATGTTGCCTGCAAGAACTACCCGCCAACGAGCAGACCCGAAGCGCGCTCTGCCACAATCCCGAGCACCTATGGTGCAATTCATGCCACCACCGCATGTTCACGAACGCGCAATCCGACGAATCCCAATACCCGCCGCGGTGCTGCAGCCCGTCGCACGCCGTCGACTCCGAGCCGCTCCACTTCTCTGAGCTGGAGCGCAACAAGTGGCAGCAGCGGCGGGCGGAGATGTCGGTGCCGCCGGAGAAGCGCGTGTACTGCGCAGACTTGAAGGGGTGCGGCCTCTTCGTCGGCGAGCGGCGCGGGCGACTGTCGGCTAGATTTCCGATCGCATTGCGCTGCAGCGACTGCGGCACAAAAACATGCGCCGTCTGCACCGGCAAGGCGCACAGTCGCCTGCTCTGTGTCCGACACAACACCCAGCAAACCGAGCAATCATTGGAAGAGCTGGCCAAGCGGAACCACTGGCGGCGGTGCCCGTATTGCAAAGTTCTGGTGATACGAGCTGGAGGCTGTGCGACTATGTTCTGTCGGTAGGGCGAACACTTTCCTTCTCTCTCTCCCCTCCCCGCCAACCGACTCACGAGAACTCCCCCACGCGCGCGAACTAACTCGATAACCACGTAGGTGCGGTTATAACTGGTGCTACAAGTGTGGGAAGGGGCCCTGCACCAGTTGCAAATGTATCCGGTGGTGAAATGAGCACCGCCTAGGCAACTGGATCTCGGTGCTGACGGACACATGCAGACGTCTCGACCACGCCATGAATGGAAGAGTGAAAGACTCTCACAGCAGAGAGGTTCCTAACTGAAGGCTAGACCTGGAAGGCGAAATTTACCCACACCGGACACGTGAATCTTTTGTAGGTCGAAGGAGGGGAAGAGTGGGGGAGGTGGGGAAGTGGGGACACTGGAGAGGTGGGGAAACTGGGGAGGGCGGCCAGGGCGCGTGCTCAATGGAAAGATAAAAAAGATGCAATGCAAGTATGGGGCGATGTCTGGCCACCTTGCGCCTCGTATGTACTGAAGATCTCGACCTGGGCTGGACACATTCGGAATGCAGAATTGATAGTCTGCGGGTAGATCATCGACTTTGGTTGGCTATGTACGCTAGGTACTTACATGGGTGGTAACATGAAACTCTGCCTCAGCCGTTCCCGGCCCGGAAGATCATTTCACGGCAGCCAAGAACTTTGGCGAGTGCTGGGAAAGCTTGTTCGTCCGTCACCGAGGACGTGCTGTGTTTACAGGTGAATGTGACCACTCTATGTACTCTATGTACCTAGTTACCTACAATCCTATCTGTACTGTTTTCTACAGATAGCGGGGGCCATCCCGCTTTCCTTACGTACAATACATAACAAGTACCTACCATTCCAACCCGACTAACTACATTACCACCTAGACGATGCAGCTCGCCCAGCCTACCCCAGGATGCTAGGTAGAGTACCGATAACTTTGCTTTTCCACTCCTCGAGTTATTGCTCCACTGTACCGTATGATACTGTGGAGTAAGCCACATCCAGGCCTCCCAAAAGAAAGTGTTGGTGTTGGATTCTGGCGGCCAATATGTATGCATACATAAGCTGGGAGGTGCAGCCAAACAGTCCGTTCGCCCCCGCGGGCCGCATAACTATAGGTTGCATACGGAGCTGTCTGGGCTCCAGACTGCAGCGATTGGCCAGCCCGCACGCGCAGCTGTTCAGTGTTGATCACCGGGCGAAGAGGGATAACATAGTACTCTACATTATCATCAAGGCATGTATGCATAGGTATTTCGGCGTCTAGAAGGATCGGACGGGATGCTGTTGTGAGAGAGGAGGTTAATCACTCTACTAGGTATACTTCCTTTATCGAGATTTTGCTTCTCCCACCTCGTATTGCATAGAATTGCGTCCGTATTAAGCCCCCGATGATGGGCGAACAAATAATTGGTTTGTTTGACCGGGAATGAGGGGCGTGACTACATATGCCTTGAAGTCGATATTGGCTGCTAAGCTTCCCTGGCTGGTTACGGTCGCCCCCCGGTCCTGGCCTCAACGGTCAATGGTCGTCAGGGATTTGGCCGAGGAGCTATGGATCGTGTTGGACAGAAACCACTATGGAATATATAAGTAGGCACACTCTGGAGTACCTACGTCCGTTTCGAAACCTTGATGCACGGAATATGGTGAAGGTGATGATCCAGCCGCTGGACAGATACAAGTTATACTTTCAGGGCCCGTTTGGATGGCCTCAGTTTTAGCGAAAATTGTCAGTTTTTCGAGAAATCGAGCAAACAAAACTGTAACCCTGTTTGGATGGCACAAAAACTGAGAGAAAAAAAAAAACTCAAACTGTGCGGCTCCAGCGATGAAACGGGAGCTGACCTCTAGAGATCGATTTCTCCACCACCACTCAGTACCGCACTTTAACTTCAACCATGGACTCCCCAACGACACGCGGGGCTACAATGTGTCTACCATTAAAGTTCTGGTGAAGCCTATTATTTAGTCTTATGGCTGAGTATACTGAGAACTGCCAAACACTCTGTTCCCCTCAAGGGTTTCCAGAAACTGAAACTGAACAGTATTCGGTGTCCCGGCAGGGAACTGAATTTGGCTCTAATACTGGAACTGAAAACTGAGGCCATCCAAACGGGCCCTCAGCCTTTCCTGTAATTGTACATACGCAGTATCGTACCGGTATGCCGTATCCCCTCGAACCAGCGCAAGTGCCAAATCGTCCACCGAACCAAACCAAACCAAACTCTTGCGGCCATCCAGTGGCCACAAGCATAGAAAAAAAAACCATCGGAATCATGAGCCCCGTCAATACAAAAGCGGTAGTTAAGTGCCGTAAAAAAAACAAACAAATAAAAAAGAACACCCCCCATGAGAGCCAGGCAACCCAAAAAAACCCCCAAAAAGTCCCACTAATCGAGAACCAAACTGACCTCCAACCCAACCGGTCTGAGCACCCTCCTTGCGCACTCCTCCTCCGCCTGCTCCAGCTGCGCCTCAACGCCTTCCAGCTCCCCACCCAGGAACCCAACCAGGCCAACCAGCCTTTCCTCCCCACCGGGCCCACCCACACCCACATTCAACTTCCCCACGCCCGTCTTCCCAAGAAGATACAGCGCGCCCTCGACGTGCGCATAGACGTCCCTTGCGGCGCGCACCCGCGCCCGCAGGCCCACGTGCCGCGTGCGCAGCGCATGGACCACTTCCGCGAGACTGGCGCTGGCGCGGAGCTGTGTGCGGTGGGATAACACCTCCCACGAGATGCTGGCGAGCTCTGCGTCTAGTGCTGTGAGCTGGGCTGTGAGCGCGGGGAGCTGTAAGGGCTGGGTGTGCGGGGTGTGCGGGGTGTGTGCGGACTTCTTGGATAACGGGTGCGTGCGGAGCCAGTATATGAGCGGTGATGAGGATCGCCGGGAGAGCGGCGGCCGTGGTGAACAGGTGGGGCTGCAGGAGCTGCAGGAGCCGCAGGAGGCCGCCGCTGGTGATGCCGGTGCCGCCGTTTTTAGGTCTGGGATGCCGTACCGTCGGCGGAGCTGCTGGGACTTGGAAAGCGGCGCTATTGAGGGCATGGCTGTGCGGCGAAGGGGTGTGTTGGGACCAATAAGCTTTTCTTGGATGGTCTGGATGGTCTGGATGGGCTTGGATGGGCTTGGAAATCTCTTGGAATTTCTTGGGCTCGTGGACGGTTGATATAAGAAGGAGAACCTGGGTTGTCCGCGCTCAGTCTGGTTTGTTTACTCGTCGACATAGGTATTCGAGGTATCATACAGTGGTGGTGGCGGCTGTCTGTGCCTCGGCTGTGGTCGGTGGGCTGCCCTGATCATCGGCCAGTACCTTGACCTTGACCTTGACCTATCTACCGTAATATATCGCTGGCAGACGACAGCTACTTATTTAGAAAGATCGTCACCATCCGTCGGAGGTAAGAACGGGAGGGTGGTTGTTTAAACACTGGGCCGCGTGTGGTGGCGGCGGAAACAATATCTGGCGAATCCTCGTCCACTGGCGTGCCGGCGAGCGTCTACACGACACGCAATGACCAGTGTCATGGCGACACCCTGTATGGTATGCATCATATAGATTAAGTGGGGGATGAATTGTCGTCGTCGTCGTGGACCAGCTGCCATATATCTTATGACCTCTCCCTCCTTTAAATATACTATAACCCCACCCCCTCTCAGCATCCCCACAATTCCCAGGAGAATGGGTTGGCGAGCATCAACCCACCAGTATCCTCGGCAGTCTCTTTTCGATCTATTACGAGTTATGCCATCCCCCATCATGATCCATCCCCCCGCACGCCGCCCTCACATAGTATCCTACATATCATACCCCATACTATGTATCTCATCCCCACCCCATCGCACATTGAATTCGCCCCCCATATCCCTCCCCCACCCCTTTCCCACGCGGCAAGGCAAGGCGCAAGCGGGACGATCGACCACAACACGTGGTGCCGACTCGTTGCACTGACATTGAGCGAGGATGTCGCGTGCGTGCGTGCTCTGGAGAAATTCCCCCCGATTCTCCGAAAGGTTGGACGACTCGCATCCTAGGTATGCAGCCTCTAGGCGGCCCCATTGACCTTCGATCTGCGCGGAAAGCTAGGTTATGTATTACTCGCTGATTTGCTTGGAGTCCTCTTCGACTGGCACACCCACACCCACACCCACAGGAATGCGGGGGAGGCAGAGGTATGTAAGGTTTGTACAAGCCGTTCGAATGGGCGAATCCGTTGAGATTCGCCGGCAGGAGCGGCGGGACAATCGTCGTCGCCGTATGTACATATCCCTTCATCCACTGGATACGAGTCCGCTCGGCGGCGCGACTTGGGGATCAGCTCCACGACCGCCGGGTGGCTACATACATAGCACTGCGCATGCTGGGGCTGCAGCCTACCATGTATCTACATATCTATGCGACATATGCGACATATGCGTCCGAGTCTTGGTGTGGGGGGTTGGGTATGCAATGTGGGGAAATGTGGAGGGGGGTATGTATACGGTAGATATGTATATTCCGTCTTGGTCTCCCCGGACCAAGGGATCAATACCGTATTCATTGCATATTAGTATGCATGTATGTACTGTACGTCTGACGTAACAGCCATTCTGGTTGGCTGAAGATCAGCAGCGTTGGAGGAGACCTACATACATCGCAGAAGTTCGCCGGCTGGGATGGTTGTGCGAGCTGCAGTGCTGTATGTACCGTCACCGTAGCGAGGGTAGCGAGAAGTTATGTAAGTATCCCGTAGGTATCATAAGAACTTCATTGGTGGCCATAGGGTCCATTCCTTCGATCGATGGATGCGGGTGCGCAGTGCTAACTAGGCCTCCTGAACAGCACTGCAGAGCACCGTGTTTCGGGGATTGAAACCCGATACAAGGTATGTATATACGTAGTATGGCCGTTGCTAGCTTTGCTCCAGGGGAGGGAGATAAAACTGAAACAGCCGCCGTAGTCACGCCGGGCCGGGCCAGCTCGAAATGCTCGTCGGAATACGAATCCGAAGGGAACCGAAATGTTCGTTGTTATGTGCATAAATCGGAGAGCAGGCGAAGCTTCAGGGGCAGGTCAAGCCCGCCGGCAGCTTATGCATCTCGGACGATTGTGACTTGTGGCTGTCGCTCGGGGTTCGGGTGCATATCTGCATGAGATGGCAGAGTAGAGCAGAGTACAGTCAGCTTGCAACAGGAACATTTTAAGCGGATACAAAATGTACCCTTAAGTGAGACATTTAATGCACCCATTTTCTTTCCGCCAACGATGGGGTGGGGTCTGAGCGAGTGCTTTCGCGGTGAATCAAGATGTCCCGCTGCCTGCCGGTCGGAGTTTAGGACCTGCGGCAATAGCGTTTCCCCTCCATGAGATCCGCCGCTATTATTACCCCAGCCAAGCCAAGCCCCCCCAGCGACAACGTCGATCAACCGCGGCGGGCGGGCGGGCGGTCGATGCACTAGTTAAAGGGGAGAATTTTTTCAAAGATGTACCGGCTGGCTGACAAGGAAAACCTAAATAAAAAAAAGAAAGAAAGAAAGAAGAAAAACAGGTACTTTGTACTGCTTCCTAAGTGCCCAAGTACCCATGGTCCCATGCGGGAGACGGACGTGAGAGTGGCTTTCCGGCAATCCGCATGGAATAGTGTTCTAGAACGATCAACTGTAGTGGAGGCGTCGGCACACCCGTTTCGTCGCCTCCGATGCCTATTCCGGCACTCCGTGGGTCCATGTCCATGATATGCGCGAGAAAGGGTAAATAAGTAGAGTACATATATGCTGGATACATACGTACGTCGGCGGACCAGATCACTCGACGCTATAGGCCTCCAAAAGAAATTCGTATGTACATACGGAGCCTGTATGTACATACATACAGTGGCCAACTCGACTCGACTCCACTACATACAGTCATGGAGACAATGCAGTGCATACATCCGCCACACACAAAAAGCAAGGGCGCATGTGCTGCTCGGTGAGCCTGTGCACGTATCGGCTGAAGCCGGTGTGATGCTGTGCCGCAAAACTGCATCCGCCGTCTTCACTATTCTCGCCTGTTGTCGTCGTCGTCGGCGTAGTTGGTAGGGAATAGGGCTGGGCGCGGAGGTAACTATAACTTGATGCAGCTTTAAACGAATTCGCGAGGGATCAGCATGCTCGTCTTCTTCGAAAAATAATCCACTCTCCACGGCGCCGGGTCCACGAAGGATGGTTGAAGAAAACCAGGAAATTTCGGATAGCACATGCCTGGCTGGCTGCATTGCTGTGGCGTGGTGATGAAGTTGGGGGGCGGGCGAGCGGGCTGCTTCTGTCGCACCTCGAAATCGCCTGTGTCGCAGCTTGGAATGGCCTGGGCCGGGCGGGCTGCCTGCGTTGCAGCTTAGAAATTCCTGGGGCGCGGCGGCTCCACATTCAATGCGATCATCGTCCCGCCAGAACCGTGTGGATTCTGCGGGATCTATTGTGGATGGAGACTTGCAGCCTCACCGCCGTGCGGTCATGGTCAGCTGGAAGTATAGTACATAGTAGGATAGGATTTTAGCTTCGATTCACCAGAGGAGTGTCACTGAGCCGGTGGCGCTCTAGTATGTAGTATGTACACATAGGAGCGTCCGGCCGTCCGACCGACTGAACAACTCAGAGCGTGGGGATTCCTAATCATCAGGCTCCCAATTAGCATGTAGTAAGTAGCAGTAGGCGCTCGTAGTATTCCTTGACTTGTTGTCCGATTGAATCATCAGAAATCTCCGAATGAACTTGCTTTTGGTGACGTCGGACTGGCTGAGTCTCCTTCACGCGCTCGGCGAGCTATAGTAGTTTCATCGGCGTTGTCATTGGGGCTGCTTCCGTATCATGTATGCGAAACGATAACCGTTGCCACCCCTAGAAATTTCTCCTTGGATGCTATTTTGCTTAGCTACAGGCTTCCCCTTGAGACCAATTAGGAGGGCCGTCCTGTACCGAGTGATCATTCGTGAGAAGGGTAATAAGAGTGTGCTAATCTTGATAGCCTGTTTTTTCGGGGGGAGGGGGGGAAGGGGGTTACTCCAACCCCACCTCAAAATTTGGAGGATTGGCTGTTAAGAAGGACTTTCGTGCGGAGAGCCTTCCGGGCTTGCTGGCTTTTTCGGTGAGCACAGTTCCTGCGGACAAGTCCGTCCAACGACACTTAGCTGATTACCTCAACGGTCGAGGTCCCCCGCTTCCCTTTGTGGCTATCGGTGTCGATCGGAAGAGGCTATGACCAAAAAATAAACGTTCAGAAGATCTGCACTGAGGCCGGAAGAACATGTGGTGTAGTGCGGCCTGAAGTTGAACGTCTCGGAATAGCCCCCCGCTTGCCGCTGAGCACATATCCAGTCGTTATGTATCCACTGCCTTAGGACAGCAGCAGCAGCAGCAACAGCGATAACTGCACTTTGCCAATGTACATACCGTCGCCCAACAGCGGCTGGAAACCATCCCACAATCGCTTCTCGCTGCCAAGTCCCTTTCGGACTGCAAACGGCTGCGCGGTGAATCACACTGGCTACACCTAATCAGCAGAAGTAAATCTCGATGCTGGCTAGCAGGTCCAACGTTGGCACTCCCAATGCACCCCACGACCACGACCGCTACCACGACCAGAACGACGACCACCACGACAACGACCACGACAACCACGACAACCACGACAACCACAAAGACCACCACCACCACCATAGGCTCTCTGACAGCTGCCAGTTCAGCAATCAGCTCCTTCCGAAATCGGAACGTCACAGCCTAACAAGCGCTTCCACACCCAACCTGTTACCATGCGGGCAGTTGAACCAGACCAACACCGCCCACTAGTGTTGGACCTCACGGGACAAGGGTCACGTCACGAGGGGGAAGGAGGGGTTGCAAAGTCTCTGTCGGAGATCAGGCCGTCTCTGCAGTCCTCATCTCTGCAGCCAGGCTGGAGACGTGTACAAATGACGGTGAACAAGCTGGCAACAGGAGCTTCACCCTCCGCCCCCGTCCTCGCCTGGACGAGCAATCGAGCCAGCAGCAAACGCTTCACCCCCGCCTTGAGATCGGAGATCTGAGCTTCTCGCGAGCTTCGGGGACCACTGATTCCTGTCTTCGCCCGGTGGTGCCAGAGTCAGACGAGAAATACTCGCCAACTCTGTACCTATGGTCTTCTCTGGGGGGATTCACACTCGCATGGAGAGGTCACGTCCATGTCGGTGCTCTCGGATCGCTACCACACACCATCGAGACGGCCCTACAGTTGTTCGACAGGGGCGTCCAGATCATGCGCTAGTTTTCCCGTAGGTGGAAACCGCTCGAAAGGATTCTGTGCGATTTGGCGTTGTGATTCGGCCGTGGATATGCTGTCGACTCACCAGACTTCTCAGCAGCAGGCATTGACCACGAGAGACAGGTTTCAACGACTAGTGCAGTGCAGTGCACAGCATCAAATCCCAGCAAAACCGACCCCAAGACCAGTAGTTCTGCAGTATGCGGAGAAGATCTCCATGGCAGAATCCACCCTCCTCCATGTTCCTACACTAAGAGCGCCGTCTGCAGTCCTTCTACTGGCCTGATAACAGTGGAGGGTGTTGGTCTGGTTGGAACAGCAGCGGTGGGACCAGACCGATGCTAAATCGGGATGGTTGGATTAGGCAGAATTATTCACCACGATTCTCCTATGTTACGTCTGTAATGTAACGCAGTGGCATACGTTTCGCTGCCAGCCCCCCACCGCATCCCAGCTCGATTCCGCCGCATCGTCATCCATGGTGGCCGGTGGCCGGTGGCACAAATCTTGCCATCTGGTCCGATTGCTTTTGCAGAAGCTGGAACCGGCGCCCCTTATTTGTGGCGCCTGCACTCCAAGACGGGTACCGACCGACCGACCAACGTCGAAGCTGGCCATCCATCCATCTATCCAACCATTTGGGGCGCCGAACTGTCCGAGTGCGGCACAACACAACGTCCACGATGGGGCAGAGGCGTTTCATGCGGATAAATTTCCCTTTCAAGAAGGTTCGGAGAATCTCCCCGTCCGTTTGGAGTTGTTTTCGCCGCCGGCGGCTGGCCTCCCGTGGTTCAATCGCCGGTGGTGGAGCGGTGGAGGGCAGTCCGGATCCTTCATTCCACTGCGGGATGGACTTTCTGCCTTTGTTGCTCCTCCTTCACATCCCAGGCGAGGGATCGATCGAAGCAATTCTCGATCAAGGGGGCGCCATCCGTGAAAAAATGTGTGTTCTATCAAAAACTGTTGGTGGTGGTGGTGTTGGTGGTGGCCAGAAATGTGGTGCAGTGTTCGCCTAGGTAGGTACCGGTAGATACCGATACCGGTACGGTACTCCTCTGCCGAGATCAGGGAAGACTTGCCGCAGAGAGGATTATCAGCCTTGAGCTGTGGACGCACGGCCTTTGTCTTTGCCTTTGCCTTTCCGCGTTTCGTTTGCGGCGAGTTGGACAAATTTTTTTTGTTTTGTTCTGTTGGTCGATGTGGCGGCGGCGGTAAACGGTCATTCATGTTTGTGCCCTTCCTTTCTAGTCTTTGCGTTGCCGCTGGAAAGAGCAAGAGCAGAGAGAATGGGGAGAGGGAGAGAGAGAGTTGTGTGTGCGTCATGCGTAGAGCAAGAGCAAAAGAGAGAGCAAGGGGAGGCAAAAAAAAAAGTGTTTTGATCGAAACTCTTTCCCGTCGATGCGTGTGTAGTCGCTGGGCTAGGGTTCGGGAATGCGCGTACCTATCAGCTTCCATAGAATAATCTACTATACATATCGATTTTCCCGTGTGCATTCAACCGCCGTGTGAGAGAGAGTGCGAACACCTGCGTCGGTAAAGTAGAGGTATGCAGTAGAAATTGCGCGCCCCGTCTCAATCGAATATCGTCATTGCGAACAGTTCCCACCGTGATGGTTGGCAACCTTGAACCAACACCCCGCCTCCCTTCCATAAAACATCACTCGAGTGCAACATTACAGTTTCTCTCGCCAACTTGCATCTGATTGGCCCCATTTCCGGACGCCATCCCCTTGGATCACAACATGCAGAATTGTGTACATAGCAAAGCGGCAGGAGTAGAATCCAGTATGCGTGCTCGGGTTTGGGTGGGCAACGGGTTGTTTGTTTGTTTCTTTTCTTTCTCCGAATCATCATCATCGTCATCATCAAATCTAACCGTGGGTATTTATGAATCTATAGTATCCCCCTCTTGAATCACCCGCTCTGCTCTGCATGTTTTGGCCAATTCTAGCCTGCCTAGTCTAAAAGCCCTGTTCCCAGAGCTGCTTGTTATAATTCTCCGTCAACCGCTCGTCAGTTCCCTAGGGTGTGGCGTTAGTCTCTGTTGCTTTCGCTGTCGCTGCCGCCGCAGCAGGCAATCAAAACCAAGAAAGGAACCAGAGATAGTCACGCACATATTCCTGCTGCCACCTAACGAACCCGCCATCGAGTACGTAGACCTGCTGCCTCAGCACAGCGCCTTTACCATCCCTCTCTGCGGGCTCGCCATCATCGATCCATAGCGCCTCCTTGGCGACCGACTCGGGGCCCATCAACCTTTCCCGCTCGCGGATATACTTTATCGCAGCGCTCGGCCCGCGCTCCTGCGACAGCGCGCAGTGGAAAACGACTTTCTCGGCGCCTTGCAGCGTGCGTACGAGCTCGGGTGCCGTGTAGTTCAGCGTGCCGGAGGGCACGTGCCGTGACGACTTGATGTGCCCGCCGATGTGGTCGGAGTCCCGCACGTCGATCACGGCGAGCTTCTCTTCCGTCGGCTGAGAAAGGAGGATGCTGCGCAGACGCTCGGGAGGGACGCGGACTAGCTTGGGGAGCTGCGTGTAGGCCGACATGGGGTAGGTGGGGAGGTAGGCGCGGGTTGGGGTGGTTGTGTCGCGGGTGGTGGTGGTGGTGGTGGTGGTGGTGGTGGTCGTGGAGGGGTATCGAAACAGTAGCGTCAGTGTACGGCCGAGCAGGGAAGCGGGACATTTTTAGTGGGGTTGCGGCTGATGAGTTGTGCACGCGGTTAGGGGTGATCGAAAAGAGGGGCAGGACGTGTACGACAACTCCCGACAGATGACGGGTATTATTGTACCAATTCATATAGGCAGAGCAAGTATAAATTCAGAGACCTAAACGATATCTGTTGCGGCCAACGTCGGTATTACAACTGTCCCCGAAATCAAAAAACGTCAACCTTCAAGGCAAGATAGCCTTGCGGCCCAGTTACCGGTACATTTCTTTCGAGACAATTATGTCTCAAAAAATGTAGGAAAGCTCTAATAGTATTACTAGTAGACCTGGTAGCGGTCCGCTGGCAGTGGGGGGAATCCGGGCCACGGCTTCGCAGGCGACACCACCGCAAGGACTGGAGCGCTTAGCTGAGTGACAGTCTTCTGACTCGGTTCGATGAACCCCTGGAACGGCACATCGTGCCTGTCGTCAAGGTGGAGAAGAGACTTGGCTTGTGCTGGTGGAAAGGCATGGCTGGATCAACACGCATACACTCTACCACTCTTGAGATCTAAGGAACCAGTGGGCTCGAAAACCCAGTATTTCCAGCCCCCACTGCTGCTCCAGGCTTGCAACGGTCCGACGCTTCCCGCTTCATTGATCCTATTGGGTCCGTCTCAAGGACGAGCCAGAACAGAAGACGTCACTAGTGGGGGATAGCACATAATATCCAATAGAAAATCCAACATGATGCGCTTCTCCCGTACGCTGAAACAGGTCCAGATAAGAAGCGGAGTATCTCACAAGATCGTCGCTCTACTTATGTATGTAGAGTATATGGAATGCCGGCACCAGTGCTCACGGACCTTGATAACCACCACCACCCAGCGTGAGCCGATTTCGAGTGCACGCAACTCGGTAGGTAAGCGGAGTTGTAGATAACGGTGAGGAGATTGATGATTGCCGTCAAAACGGTTTCTCCGTGGATTGAACCAAGGCACCTAGGTATTGCGACTTGTGCGCGCAACAACCCCGCAGAGCAGGACACGGATCGCGGGACCCGAAAAGAGGGGGTATCATGAAATGAACAGAAGGCACCAGCTCGCCAGACACAACTAGCTGGAGGTGGCTATCCGCCGGTGGGCCACTGATATTCCCACGCATGACTTGAGATGTAACCCAACGAGTATCTGTCCGTCTCCGAGGCGAAAGTGCCGGACCGAGCAGGCAGATAAGCCGGCAACGATGGGATCGAAGTCACACTTATGCAGGGCACTCGCGAGGCAGCTGTGTGGCAGAAATTAGCCCCTTCTTTCCATAACAGCCGAAATTTGGTCAATTGGAAATAGTGATCAGAGCAGAAATAGCTAACCAGTCATCTGTGAATTCGTAACAGCCCCCCTTTCCATCCTCATCGGTGCTCGTGATACTCCTCGCGGATGGTTGCATGATCGTGAGCTCACCCCCGTGTCTTGACTGCCCCGAGAACTTCTGGTCGTGCCGGTTCCCCCAAGCATTGCATTATGCCGTCGTTCACTGGCTAGTCGTTTGATCGTAACGATCGCATAGTGTTGCATTGCAAGCTGCCTAAGGATGGATATGTTGGAAACTGGGCCACTGGAGGCATCCTCCTCCAAGAGGACGTTGCCCGGTAGTGTCCCCTACCACGGGGGGCCGTCGGAGCCAATGGATATTCCGTAGGCATCGTCCCAACTCCAAGTCCTAGCACCGGATTCCCGGGGGGAAGCGGCCGTTCGGAGTATCTGGTTGGCTGCCAGGAAACCCACCTACGTGTAGTACGCGAGCCAATGGATGTTCACAGGGGCAGAAAAGGATGCACCACCAAGCGATTTACCACCGACCCTTGCGGACCTCGATCTAAACTACTCGAGAGAGCAGCCGAATCGATGGACAGTGACCAGCAAACGCCGAGCAGCTTTGCCCATGTCTTGATAAGGTCACGAGGACTAGTGTCCGTCCGTCGTCAAGATGGTGGTTGCTGCGGCATCAACCAAGATCAGTGCTTCTGGCAGTGGATTGGAGTTCGTTGTTCTTGGGGGGGGGAGAAGACGCTCCCTCGCAGCCATCAATTGTGTCGGATGAAGTTCCCCCGTTGTGCGCACAACTGTTGTTCCACTCCACGTTGTCCGTACAACCGTTGCTCCCACTCCACGTTGCTCTGGCAAGTCCACGCTGGGAGGAAGGATCACTGTCCGTGCAGGAGCACTCGGGTGTCGGAGCATTGCAATGTGTCTCTTTGGGGAGGGGGAGGGGGAGGGGGGGCGAAAGCCTCCCTGTATCTTCAGCCTCCGACTACCACGTGCCCGTCAGAAATCCCGGTGAGGGAGGGGTGCCACGATGAAGTGGGGACCGACGGAAGCGTATAGTGGCCACGGTGTCTACGTTCCTGGCCGCTGATCGAACGTAAAAAAAACAGTATTGCCTTTGTGATAGATGGAATGTGGCAAGAAGTATCGACGGAATACGACCTGGTGAAGGCAACGCACACAGTCGGAAAGTCGGATTGAAAATTCGCATTGACCGAACGATCCAATAGCCTGCAAGCAGTGACAATGACTATCCAGTGCCCAATACCATGCAGCATGTCCTTACCGAGTTCTCCGCTGCTGGGAACACACATCCCGCAACATTTGTTGGGACTGGAAAACAATTTTTTTAGTTTCTGCCTGCAGTCGGCGTGCGTTCCACTCGGAGCCTGGATAGAGATTAATGCCGCTCAAAGTTGAGAGTGGGCAGAAAAGGCAGAGCACACATATAGCCACCCAAACATGAGCAGTCATGTAGCCGGGGGAAGATTTGAATTAGACCGTGACGGCTGCCGCGCCATGTAAAGCTTTCCATCTCATCTGTTTCGCGAGAATGGTAGGGCGGATGATTGGTTTTGGGAAGGGTTATTGGGTGTGTTTGGTCGGGACCGAGTGTGCATCGTGAGTTCGGGTATGTAGTAGGTGGAGCAATTGTTTTGGCGGTGGTGGTGGAAGTGGTGGAGATGGTGGAGCCGGCTGTTGGAGGCTAACGAAGTTTGCGTGCGAGGGAGGCTGAAGAGGAGATAATACATACCTGTGCGTACATTTGGGACCTTGTAGGTAAGCACGTATGTACGTACATACATGTAGGCAGGTAAGAAGGATGTAGGTAAGTATGATATGCATGGGACGTGGTGCACGCCCGAAGGTAGGGTTTGACGTGGAGAATGTATGGTATGGCATTGGTAACGTGCAGTGTAGGAAGGAGGGAGTCTCTCGGGGGCATGTACGGCACATGCTGTGTCTTATTCTGAAAATGCGAAAACTGATGGGGGCCGCTACAGGGTAATACAGGGCCTGGCGTGGCGTGGGGCGATAGTGGGGCATTGCCAGCAAACAGCGCTCAGAGGCCGGGGAAGGCACACGGGGAGTGGTGGTGGTGGTGGTGGTGGTGGTAAACAGAGACAGAGGCCACGGGTTGGGGCGCAAGCTGAGGTCGGCTGGGTCGTCCAACGTTGAAATATACCGGAAGGTTAGGCGGGCGATCTCCCATAAGCCAAGAAGCGGCACAAGAGCGCCAGGCATGAGCGGACAAACGCCGGACAGAAACCTGAGATCGAGAATGGCAGAGAAATGTGCCAAGCCCAACGGATGGCCAAAGTCGGCGGAGGCAAGTCAGTAAGTATGACAAGTATGCAGTACACAGTAGTGATCAGGCCCGCGGCGGCCAGTGCAGTGCAGTGCTGGGCCGTGATGATTGTGATCGCGGCGGTGGCCATGGACGGAGATGGTTCTGGATGAAACGGCAAGCAAGCAGGCAAGCAAGCAGTCGAACCTGATGCAATTGCAATTGCGATTGTAAGCATGCTCTGCACTTTGCACTCGGCCTTTTTCACCCGTTTCCGTGTATGTCCCCATCCACCTCTGCCCATGAGCAAGTTGATCGTCCAGATATCCTGCTCATTGTGAGTGATGGTGACCTTGGTCAATGGCAGCCAGCCAGTCAGCGTGGGTGTCAAGCCCGTACGGGCATTAGGTACGAGAATGCTCGACTTCATCGTGTATGTGCGTGCAGAGTTATAGCTAACCCAGCAAGCAAGCAATGGGTGCTTAGTTGCCTCTTATTTCGCATGCCAGGCCTTCTGCGTCGACCGGGAGTGTCCGTACGTGGATCCGCGGTAGCGGACAGGTCCTCTCCCACTCTCCCTCTCAGGGTCGACCGTCTCACACTCTTCCGCAGGCTTGCGGCTTGCAGACTTGCAGGCTTGCAGGTGTGCAGGCGTGCGGACTTTCTGCCCTCGCATCCATCCACAGCAACAGCAAGTTAACAACACGGTAAACCCAACTAGCACCGAGTACAACCCTAGTCCCTAGTCCTTGGTTAGTGGTCAGTTCTCCCACCCCCCCCCCTCAACCCAACCCAACCCTCGATTGGTTGCATCGCGGCTCGTCATATATATCATAAAAACCTCAATCCCCCTCCACCCCCCTCCAAGATGTTCAGAACCCCCAGTGCTTTCACTCCGATCCTCCGACTCTCACGCGCAATTCATCCAATCCAACACCAATTCCACCAGACCAAAAGCTTCACCACCACCCGAGCAGCCATGGGTTTCACAAAGGAGATACTCGCCGAGGGCGACAAAGAGAACTTCCCCCAGGAAGGGGACAAAGTCACCATGCACTACGTCGGAACTCTCGAAGACGGAAAGAAGTACGCCCACGCCCCGTCTGCTGCTCGGCGACCTTACTGACATTGATGTTGTGCAGATTCGACTCCTCTCGCGATCGCGGAACGCCCTTCGGCACCATCATCGGAAGGGGCAAGGTCATCAGAGGTACGCAACGAAACGACGTCCCTACATCCGCTCGAGCGAGAGTGATCCATCACCTCACCCTCCCCGCTCTGCCGCGAACTTCCCCATTGCCTCTCTCCCGGTGTCCGCCGTGATCGCACAGGAAGCCGATATCATGTCTGCCGTGATGTCGCAGTGCCGACATCCCCGAGACCAATTGACTGACTGATCTCGTTCGTCTACACAGGTTGGGATGAGGGTGTTCCCACTATGTCCTTGGGCGAAATAGCCGTACTCAACATCACTGGGTAAGTCAAGTCGTCAAGTCGTCTCCCTCCCTTCCTACCTCCAACTCCTAAATCCCCCCGATTCCACTCAATCGCAACCGTTCTTCAACCACCCCCCCAAAGACTCGGTGCATTTGCTAACATTTTGCGCAGTGACTACGGATATGCTGAGAAGTAAGAAATTCACAACCCTGGCCCCGCCCTCTTGCGCCTGCCATTCGCTGACAGGGATTTTCTCGCGCGCGCTCAGAGGATTCCCAGGCTTGATCCCGCCGAATTCAACACTCATCTTGTAAGTTGTCTCTTTTTTTGTTCTTTTTTCGTCTGCGCGCTACTGCAAGCGTAATGCTATGACTTGCATAAATGCCACGCAGCGATGGCAGGCCACGCCTATTCCGCGCTAGTACACCGCTGACTTCTATGGTAAACAGTGAGATCGAACTTCTTTCAATCAATGACAAGAAGAAGCCGACGTAGGTTTATGCAGCCTGCGAGGAAGCATTTCCCACACAGCACACACGCCGCTAACTTGTCCGGTGAACAGCGACACCGAGACCCCGAAGAAAGATTAGGCCCTGTGTAGCCTACGAGGAAAGCATCTGTGGCATGGATACTATTTCACACATTTCCAATTCCAATTTCCTGCTGCACTATCAGGGGTCAGGAACGGGGGTTTGGCCGAGTACCTATAGCTGCCTTGTCCGTTCTTCCTTCGCGTTTGTGTTTTGCGGTTACGGTTCTGTCGTTTTTTTTTCTTTTCACTGTCTTTGCTCTCCCTATCTTCACATCAACCTTCTCGATTCGAAAATCTGGCTTCTTTCCCGCGCTACGAATCCATGGTCACGGCTCCACACCGTCAGCACGATAACGGTTCTCATGCAGCTAATGTCCAATCCCCAAAACCACGATCGCTTCAATGACGATGATTGTGATGGAAGTTTTAACTATGCCTCTCTTTCCTTCCTTGCCTGCTTCCCTTGCTTCCATTGCTTCCTTCCTTCCTTCCATAGGGGTTCTCGGGGGCTTCTGTTCGGGGTTTCACTCTCTCTAATGGTTTTTACATGATATATCTTGCACCGTACCTATCTTGCTTGGCCGTCTCGCCCCCCCCCCCCCATTCAGAATGTGTGGATCCATCAACGTTCGCTGTGATTTGACGAAATTGCCGTCCCTGTCATACATACGAGCTATCCGTGCCGTTGAAATTGTGCTTCCAGCGTGGCGGGTTTCCTAGTTATCCCCGCCGTTAAAATTGTGCTTCCAGTGTGACGTTTCCTAGTGACGAAGGTTCTACATACTAACTGGTACATAGCTCTTCCAGACTCCCCCTCCCCCTCCCCCGTTGCTGCAGGGGCACTGCCAACGTCCGAATCAAGTTGGGTTGTGTTGGGGTTTTTGCGTTCGTTCGTTGTTGGGCGCCGGGGGAGCTGGGTATCCACATCGAATCTCTATCTAGAGCAGTTTAAGCTCGGATCGGGGAGTGGATATATAGTAGAGTATATACTGCTACTGCGCATCGACGGTAGTTGCCGGTACTATACTATACTATAGTAATCCCAAACGAGAGTTGCATGTATCTAGTAGGTATTTAGAGTAGAGTAGAGCACGGAGGAATGAAGGAAGGAAGAAAGGAAGGAAGGAAGGATGTCTCTACATGGCAGGTTTATTTAGGAAGGCAAGGAAGGAAGGCAAGGAAGGCAGGCAAGGCAAGGCAAGGCAATTAGTCTGGTCAGCACAGCGCAAATACACACAGTATGTAGGCACATTAGGTACCTACATACATCACGAGTGATTGGGATTGTGGATTGTGGATTGTGGATTGTGGATTGTGGATTGTGGATTGTGGATTGTGGATTGTGGATTGTGGATTGTGGATTGTGGATTGTGGATTGTGGATTGTGGATTGTGGATTGTGGATTGTGGATTGTGGATTGTGGATTGTGGATTGTGGATTGTGGATTGTATTGTGGATTGTGGATTGTGGATTGTGGATTGTGGATTGTGGATTGTGGATTGTGGATTGTGGATTGTGGATTGTGGATTGTGGATTGTGGATTGTGGATTGTGGATTGTGGATTGTGGATTGTGGATTGTGGATTGTGGATTGTGGATTGTGGATTGTGGATTGTGGATTGTGGATTGTGGATTGTGGATTGTGGATTGTGGATTGTGGATTGTGGATACCGCGTCCCATTGCCAGCAGCTAGGTAGGTACCAGTACTCTAAACAAACGGCAACAAAAGAGCCGTCGGCATCTACGTCTACGTCTGCGTCTGACCTACATACATACAGCCGGCAAGCAAGCAAGCAAGCAGACAGACAGGCAGGCATGTATCCGTAATCCATAACCCGTAGTTAACCCGTAAACCATATATATGACCCGTTCACGCGACATGCGACATCCGACATGCGACATGCGACATGCGAGCGGAGCAATTCGAAGCGAGACGGCTGTTGCCTGCCTGCCTGAGCCCTGGGGGCCCTGAGGCCCTGGGCTAAGTAAGTATGTAGATGTGGTGGCTACAAACCCTACCCTAGGTACCCTTACATACCTTACTGTTCGAACGGGGAGGGGGGGGCAAAGGCCAATCAGGCACTCTCCCCTGGCCCGCTGCCCGCTGACCGCTGGCCGGTGAAAGCGTGGATGAAAAGAACAGAGTGCTCGTATATACCGTACATAGTCGTGGACCGGACAGTAATGGACGACGCAAGCGATGCACGGTATCGACATCGGCGGAGGGAAGGGGAGGGAGTGAGGGAGAGAGATCTTCCTGGCCTCCTGAATTCCGGATCCCGAAGTAGTAGACATGTACCTGCACATGTACCGGTATGTACCGGTATGTATGATATGGATGATATGTATGATATGTATCCTATATACCGCACAAAGGCAGATAGTGATGTGGTTGAGATTAGATGTGATGTGATGTGATGTGATGTGATGTGATTTGACATGATTGTGATTGTGAACGACTACGGGGGCGGGGAGAAGGGGAGAACTGCGGACGTTCCGTATCACGATCAATGACCTCTCGGTGGGTATCGATGTCGATACAAACAAACCATCATGTTTCCCTCCCAGCCAGCCAGCCATTCGCTGAGCAGTGACGTACGGTAAGTACCTATCACGTACATAGCCCAATTGACCAGCTGCATCACATCACATCACATCGATCGGTACGTACCCCGTTCCCTCTAAGCGAAGTCGCATTCTGTTTGTCTTTCCTCAATTCCTGTTCTCTCTCTCTCTCTCTCTCTCTCTCCGCGGCCGCCGCGGGCGGCGGTACTTGACGGGGTGTCGGACGGGTTTCGATTCCGGCCGCTGCTCGCCGCCAGTGGGAATCGACGACTGCGCCCATGGTCGCGAAGAAAAGCGCAACGCTTGCTAAGTTATAGTACCGGTGATTGCCGAGACGTTAGGTGTGATCCACGACGACGACGACGACAACGGCGCCGGTGTTTGAGATTGAGTTTCTTGGTGGGCTTCTACCACTAGTACTAGATACTCCACTAGATACTAGTACTGTACCTTCGATTCTGCTCGTTTGTTTTCTTTTCCTTTTCCTTTTCTTTTCTTTTTCCATGCGGAGCGCTTTCAGCGTTGCGTTGCCGCAGGGATGTCACAACTGACATGTCTACATACAGGGCATACATACATGGAAAAATCGTGAGTGCGGAAAAACATCGCAAGATGAGAGCAGAGCAAAATACTAATAGTAACATATACCTACCCCGACAACACAACAGGAAAGACTAAGTAAGTATTGGAAGTTGGATCTTCGAGATTGGGGGAAGCAGGCAGTCTTTTTCAAGCACGAGGTATTCTCTCATCTTGTTTTTTTTTTCTCTCGTGTGCCCGTTCTTCTCTCCCGGCTGTAGATCAACTCCACTCTATATACCACCACCACCACCATCACAATCATCACAACCATCACAACCATCTCAATCGAGGTCGGTCGGTGCGGAAGAATCCGCATTCCATACATAGGGGGATGGGGGGGACTCGGCCCGACTGCATGGTTGTAGGGGTGGAGGGGGGTATATTCCGTGACGTTGAAACTTGGGGGTAGATACGCTGTTCGAACTTCGTGGAGTGGTCCCGTATGTATAACTAACCACAGCCCGGTGTGGTTGACCGTTGAGCCACAAATCGTGCGGGTATGTAAAGGGAATGGTGCCGCCTTGGCGGTAGAGTAGAGACCCCCCGTTTTTTTCCTTGCGGATCGGAGCTTTCGAAGGGAGACGAGACAAGCCAGCTGCTCCGCCTTAACCAGAGGGGTTAACTAGTTAGCTGCCCTTCCCTCCAGCAAGCAGAGAAATGGTCCGACCGAACTGAACTGTCCGAGCCTCAAGGGCAAAACGCCAAATCGCCAAGTTGCGGAGCCTCAACCCCGAGCGAGCTCCCTTTGAAACACGGAGAGCGCGCCGCGCGGGACGTCGAGTAATGCCGAACTTCTTGGTGTAACGGAAGCTGGATGGATGTATGGATACGCGGTGGCCTGAACTTCACTCTAGAGTACGGTACTCTACTCCACTCCCACTCTACTCCACTCCCACTCTAGAATAGAATAGATATATAGTAGTGGATGTGTCGGAGCACTCGCTCGGACCAATCGCCCTGCCCTGTCGCATCAATTCCAACTCTATTCTCACATCCGACGAGTACTGATTGGATTGGGGGCGATCTTTTGCTGGAACTCGAACCGATCCGCCGCTACCTGGGTATTCTGTTATACATATACAAGGGATTTGTAACCAACGTGCTGGAGGAGCTTGACGATGGTCGCATTGACGATCACACCGGCCGCCCGGGTGACTTCTTGTGGAATTGTACGTAAATATGATACGATACCAATACAATCCACATGTCATCAGTCGCATCGCCCATCCGACCGTGTCCGTCCCCGAACGAACCAACTAGTCACTAGGTTAGTTACCCGGTTTCTCGTGTCCAGCAGGTTAGATCCGCCAGCTCACACATTTTGGTGGCGACTGGAGTAGCCCTGTATCATATGTAGAAGATGCCATTGCAATTGCAATATTGCCCCGGAACCTTCGGTTCCTATATTACATACATATTAGCAAGGGGAGCTTGCATTACTCTACTCCACTTACTCCAACTATTCCACTCTAGTCGAGTGCTGGCGAAAAATGTAGTGGGGACAGAGACGTGTTTTTATTTACATACAAGGTGACAGTGATGGTTTCATAATGTGCGGCTTCGACGCTGTCGGAGTACGTACTAGTAGTAACACGCTTCCGTAGGGGGCGAACATTCTTGCTGTCATCAACGGCATCGTATGTATCCACATATGTCGTAAGTATCATACATGCAACCAAACCAAAAGCGAATACGTGTCGTCTGCCACCATGAGAGGAGCATATGCTGTAGCATAGATAAAGGATCAGATAAGATAGGATGTGAAGAGGCTAGGTAGTCGAATCGGTGGATCTGAATGGTGGTGATAGCCGGACTAGCCGGATCGGGTGGTACCGAACGTTGAAGGCAGCGGAGGAGAGCCAGATTGAATGGCTCTCCAAAGTTGAATACAACCTCAACTTCTTCATCATCTCTCATTTTCGCCGTCTCCCTTCCAAGGATTGCGTCAAGCAGGACTTCCGCGTCATCTTGCAACAACAACATGCTCTCGCACTGCACATCATTCTTTACCCTCACCGCACCTCGATTCTGGTCGGTGTCCACATCCACTACAGCAGCTGAGCGGCCATTTACTTTTCGTGCCTCTTGCTAGGCAGGCCCTTTCATGATTTTCTTACTCCCGGTCACTCCCCGTCAACAACGCCCAGCTCACTGTCGATGCAGACGCCGTAGGTATTCCTGCACTGTTTCGCATTCCAATCTTCTCCCCCCGTTGCGTATTGGGGCTGCCTGTCACCGATCTCTACGGCGCGGCAATATCGAATGGAGCATCAGATACAGTGCGTGTGGGCGTGCGTGCGTTCTCTCTCTTCCGAGAAATTCTGTCGCTGCTAACTAACCAACTAGCTAGGTACTCTTGAGTGCGTAAGTACTCTATTATACACTGGATTTGTGCAGTGAACGGTCGGAGAGCCAAGTTCTGCAGCCACCTCGTCGTTTCGCAATAATAATAATACCTGATATTCCCCAAAAGGCCCGCGGAATCTGGAGCAAGCAAAGCCTCTACTCTAACTACTCTACTCTAGTTTTAACGCAGAAACCAACTCCATCTGGCAGGACCACGAATTATTGACCCATCATCATCCGGGGCAGACGGTTATTAGTTGGTTAGCCTTCAAACGCATCAAATCGATGCATCTCCATCTCTGACCGGCGACTGGACTGGACAAGAGTACAAGCACATAGTCGGACACTAACTGAAAACTTGCACTTGCACTTTTACTCTACCTACTCTCATTTCGAGAGAGAAAAACATCGCACGGCATCTCCCGCGCACAACGCGCATGCCCACTTTCAAGTCGATGTGCTGGTACTGTATGTGCGATCCATCTGCTATGGACGGTATGCTTTCGTTTTCGCTGTTGCGCGGCGATGGAGGAAGAGGAGGAGAAAGATGAGATGTAGGAGGAGGAGTGAATACCTAGGTAAGTACATTATACTCACGCACACACACATCGCCAGCTAACTAGTCGGCGATTGCACGGATCGGCCAGTCCCCACGACCATTTACCCTCTCAACTGCGGTTGTTACATACGTACCTCATACGTACCTACATCCCTCACTCCGAATGCTGAGAAGCCCATGGATCTGCGAATTCGGGCTTATTCTACTGGTCCGTTCGATTCCGCCACTCCACTCTACTCCACGCCGCGGCGGCCAGGCCAGGCATTTCAATCGCGATATGCACAGCAAGCGCATAAGTAGGTAGTCGATGTACATGTCATGTACCTACAACCAAATGGGATCGATTAGGGGGGGAGGTTTACCGCCGGTTTAACCGTGAGCCGTGGAGCACGATTATGCCCTCCTGGGTGAAATTATTGGCTAGGCGTTCTCGCCTTCTCCCACCTCCCCCTCTCCTCGGCCCCGCAATGTGAGGACAATGCGGGGGACGGGGGCAGTCGGTCTGTCCTCCACACGGAGAGCCATATTGTGGCTTGACGGGTGGGGGAGGGCGTACGCAGGAATATGGCTGAACCCACATTCCCGACTCCATTCGAACTTGGCGCATGGCTGTGAAATCGATCTAGAGGACTATGGCATACTTACCTATCGATCCCTATTAAACTCCAAGCCTACGGAGCTCGTTAATCTGGCTCAACTATCTGCTCTGCATCTCCTCCACCGCCGCCGCGAGTCGACCCTACCGTCACTCTCTCCGTCCGACGGCCAATGCGAGCTACTATATACCGTACATACCCTAGTAGTATGTAACCATGCCTAGCTGCCAGGTGGTTACCAGTTGCGGATTTCCGGAGAGCACCACACCACATACTACACAGGTACCTAGGTCGCTAGTTAGCCCGCAGCATGGGATTCTCGCTCCGATCCATCCAATCGTTCGAGCCCGAAAAAAATTCCCAGCTTCTCTTTCTCCAGCCCCATTTGTTCCTGAATCCGGACCAGCCGCGAGGAGAGTCACCGAACCTGCCAGCCACCGTATATACATAGATGGGTACCGACCCAGTCGACGCACAACTCACCCACGGCCCTTCGAACTGTTGCTCGTCTTTTTATCGCATGAGGATGAACCGATGCGGTGAGTCGGCAAATAATCCCCGGGTTCACCCCAATTGGAAGAGCAAAAGTAAGCGACCTGCCTTCAATGCGCAAGTGAAAATTTCATTGCTTTGTCTGCCTTGCCTGCCCTGCCCGCTTTGCCTGCTCTTTGGACCTACCCGTCAATACGCACGGTGAGGTGGTTTCGTTGCACATATGATCTCTAATGATATGGGACAGCAGCTGACTCCACTCTACTCTACAGGCAAGTGTTTACGGACGCTGTCTGCTGTTCTGCTGTGCTGTGCTGTGCTGTGCTGTTCTGTGCAGCACTCTCCGCCTCCACGTGCCTCCCTCCATCGCCGCCGCCCCTGCCGCCGCCGCTACAAGTGGAATTGGCGGCAAACGCGGGTTCGTTTCGACGGATGGATGGATAGATTACATACACCTGACAATCCCGGGTGGGGGGGGGAGTGGGGCGGATGGCCGTTCTCCAGACGAGATAGGAAGTAGAGTACGTAGGAACGTCTGCGTCTATAGAGTAGGGCACTATGGACAGCCTTGGTCTGTGCTTTTTCTCGCTACAAGGTATGTCATTAACCCTGAACACTAAACCCACCCCACACCAGATCTCGCTGTGCTGGGGCGGTGGCGCGGTGTGACAGGGCTTACCCTACCTGCTTACTCTACTCTAGAGCACTCTAGAGTCTACTGTATATTATTACCATTATTACATACTATCCATCAGCCATCCGTGGACACTGGTGGCTGGACATTGGACGGAACGGGAGTCGGGAGTCGGGACTTGTTTCGCACGCCACCACCGACTGACCGGCGACCGATGGGGTAACCAATGTCGGCTTTTCCAAAGGGCCGAGAGTCCGTCTAGGTACTCTATTAGACTTTGGCCGACGGGCCTGCGCCGCGCCACGCCGACGGCTGGGGTCACTGAAGAAGGATCCGCATCCGCATCCGCATCCGCCGTTGCGGCAACGGCATCGGGAGATTCCTGTCCGACTCGAGTCCTCGACTTCCTTCCGCTTTTGTCGGGAGGGAGACGCGATGCCGGCTCCGGTACATACATCTTACGTGGATACAAACGGGGGGAGGTCCTTTCTTTCTTTCTTTCTTTCTTTCTTTCTTTCTTTCTTTCTTTCTTTCTTTCTTTCTTTCTTTCTGCTTTATTTCTTACTTGCTTGCTTTTGCTGGGACGTTGGGACTCAGGGCCTGTTCAGGTGCCAGTTGCATTTTTAAAACTGGGGTTCCTGACGAGTTGAAGGTTACCAAAGCTGCAACTTCAAACTCTCGTCGCCCCTGATGACCCTTTCGGCAACCCAGATTTTCAACAGCACGCCACACTTTTTATCTTTATCGTGGCGCAGCTGACAATATGCAGTTTCTCAAATTGTTAACTTGGGGTTGTGTGTTAAACGGTCACCCATCGCCAGGAAAACTGAGGGTTTCAAACTAACTGCATCTCAATTTTGTGCGGTAGATTTAAAATTCGGCTGGCCCTGAACGGGCCCTAAGTACTCAGAAAGCCCTTACATACGCAGCTGTAGTTATCATGTACCTTTGTATGTACTCTAGGTACAGCGGCAGCACGGCATCACGGCAAAAAAAAAAGCATCGAAGGCTGTTTATTGTTTGTTTGCTTCTTTCCTCAACACGGGCCCGGACACGGCAATGGGCGAGGGAGGAATAGAAAGAAAAAAGAAGAAAAAATCTCGCTATGTACTCATCTGCACGTGGAGACCACGGCTCAGCTCGGCTCGACGCTGATAGGATACGTGACGTGGGAATCCTGTCCGGGCATGCTATACTAGGTAGTACTATAGTTAGACAAGAGAGAGCATCGTCGACTTCGGATTGCCTCGTTTTGGGATTGCCGGAAGTTCGAACTGCGGCAGGAATCGCCGATGATGTGTATCTACTGATGGAGCTTTCCGGTATGTATACGGCGGCCGGTGGGATACGCTTCGATACCGGGTGTTCCCCTCCTCCTCCTATGTACCTCCTCCCCCTTCTCATCCTCTCCTCTTCCTCCTCGTCCTGCCTGCCCGCCTGCTTATCCGGTTTCCATCTCACGTTGTATGTATCATGTATGTGGGTTAGGTAAGCCCGCGTCGTTGCATTAGGTAAGCCGCATTGGGTTGGGTTGGGTTTGGTTGTTTTGGGTTGCGTCCGTCCGTCCGTCCCTGCCTGCGAATCACGGCTGTCACTCGGTCACACGGTCTCACATACCCACCGCATTAACTACCGTGAGGATAAAAGGCAGGGACAATGTATGCAGGCGGGCAAGCCTATCCTTCGCGTGTCCGAGAGGTGGGATGGAATGGGACCGCCGATTCCAGGTTTGCTGCGAATCGAATCGAATCGTGCTCCCCTCTCCCGCTGTACTGTACGTAGGGTGGGGTGGGACGGGGTGGGACACGATCTGATGGGTGGGTGCGTGGGTGGGTGTGCTGTACACAGCCTATCCCGTTCGGATCCTTCGCGATTGGCATCATGCCAGGGCGGAGAGAATCGGAATGGAATAGGATGGGATGGGATAGGTACGGTAGATGGGGATGCATATAGGGATGGGCCAAAACTCAGTAGTAGTAGTAGTAGTAGTAGTAGTTATTAGTAGTAGTAGTAGTAGTTATTAGTAGTAGTAGTAGTTATTAGTAGTAGTAGTAGTTAGTAGTAGTAGAGTGGTACAGTGTAACTACCTAACGCGCATGCTTGATAATAATTGGCAGCCAGTTATAAGTTACTGGCTGGATCGTTCGATCGCCGATCGTGAAGGCGATGAGGAAACTCTAGAACGCTTAGAGAACTGCTGGGAAGGCGGGGGAGGGGGAGGAGGGGAAGCTACTCCACCCCGCACGCACACACGCAAGCGAACGAGCTTTCAATTCTGAGCAGCTTTTCCCCACGATCCAAGGACGACGACGATGCGGGGGAGGGGGGATCAATGTTTAGACCGTTAACCCCCCTTCCCCCAGGGACAGGAACTCAACTGAACGGCACGGTCCGGATCGCCGCCATTCGGCGTATGAATGTTCCTACCTACTAACCATCGTTCCCCGCCGCCACGCCTCAACTGCTACTACCTGTACACTACTACACATCAGCAAAAAGTGGATGGCTCGGAAGCTCGGAAGCTCGGAAGCTAATATAAACATTCGTCGATCTTTCTGGCTATAACGAGCTACCATCCGTCAAGTCGTCTCCAACGCAAAACGAACCTCGGACCTACATACCGTACATACTTCACCGCCTGGCGCCCGCCCGCCTGCACAGTCGCGCGGCCTCGAGATGCTCTGTGGCCCGTGGGATGGGCCCGTCTCGTCTCCTCGACAATGCATGTGGCCACTACGTACGGATGACCCGCCGGAAACGGGTAGCGGGAACACCTCCGAGATGGCGGCGTTCGACCGACTATCGGGGCGGTGGTGCATTTACAGTCACTCGGATGTTTTGATCGAACTCGTTGGCGGGAAGTTGGAACCAGCCGGCCGCAGCAGAGTATGGCCAGGTTTGAAAACCGAACAGGGGGCATCACGGACATGGGAATGCACACGATGGCTCAAGCAAGCAAGCAAGCTCCTCTCTCCTCGTTTCTTTACTTTACAACAGAGCGTCCGACCGCCCCTCCAACCTTCCCCCATCGTCCCGCAGCGCTCTACAAGCACTGCGAGTAGTACTCGTTCGTTACGGTGCAGGTGCTTCCGGTAACGCACGTACCGGTGCCAGTCCACCCGTTTCCACCGCACTGCGCGTACTTCGCCAGCGTTCCGCCGGCCGCAGCGGAGGTGGCCGCAGCCGCTGTGGTGCTGGATGCCCTTGTCGTCGTACCGGCGGCAACGGTGGTGCCACTACCACTGCTGGCACCGCCGGTGTACACGGCCGGTCCTGGGACGGTGTACGTGGTGTAGGAGCCGTAAAGGTTGAAGAGGATACCGGGGTCGGTGAGCTGTTGCCATCAGTTTCCGTTCGGTTTGAAGTGGTGGTAGTAGTGGTGGGGACTTACACTGTAGCCACCTGGGAACGCGACGCCAGAGGGGTTGGCGCTTCCTCCACCCGTCACCTTGAGCTGCATGCAAGAGACGTAGTGCTGCGCGCCGCCGGAGCTGCCGGCTACGTGGAGCGCGATCACTTCCGCGCGGAGAAGGTAGTCGCCCGGAGCGATGTCGGCGGGGATAAGGACGTCTGCGCCGGCTGGTCAGTGTGATGGACTTTGGACGAACTCGGGAAACCCAGTGAACGAACCTTGCTTGCCGCAGTTGGCGTTGATTACATCGGTTCCCCAGTAGTCGGCGCTCACGAGGCCGGTCTGGTGGATCTTGAACCAGGAAGTTCCCGGGTCCGTGGTGGCGTCGCCGACCTTGGAAAGGTACGCGATGACGGGTCCGTCTGGTGTGCGATGTCAGTTTCGGGAGTCTTACGGGAGGGGGGAGGGATGTTGTGGCAACTGACCGTGGTTTCCTCCGATGGCGTCGTTCGTGCACGAACGGTCATTCGGCTGGGCGTGCATCTCGATGGTAACGGTTCCTCCAGCTATGCGAATACAACATCGACATCAGCACGCCGTGATGACGGAGACGAAGCGGGGGACTGCGTACCAGGAACCGAGCAGGTAGCCGCCACTGCCGAGCCGGTACCACAGCGGACACTGGCGTCCAAGGTGCCGACGGGGCTGTTGCTCAGAGGCGTTCGCACACATGTTCCGGCCTGGTCCACGCCGTTCACCCACAGCTGCTGCCATGTGGAGTGTGCGGTGGCCGAAGTGGCCATGGCCACCACTGTGAGGAAGTTGAGCTTCATGTTTTTTTTGCGGTTGACGTTGCGGTTACGGTTGGGACGTTCCAAGGAGTGAAATGGCTGGGCAGACTGGACTTGTTTGGACTGGACTGCTGCTGTGCTTTGCTGCTGCTGAAGGAGTGAGCGATGCGGTTGAGGTGGAATTCGGGGGAGAGCATAGCGACCATTATATATCCCCCTCCTCCTCCTCCTCCTCCTCTCCTCTCTGCATGACCGTCTGTCCATATACTTACCGCCCACAACTGCCCACCCATGGGTGTTTGGCGCGGCGGGGGCACGGTTCTCGGAATTTTCATCAATCGTCCGTAGGTATTTCCCTCCAGTAGATTAACCGCCACCACCGAGCAGAGAGCAGAAGAAATTGTAAGGAACCGGTGACGTCTGGGCCACCGAATTTTAGCGACAGTAGGCCCGCGTTCCCGGGGCGTTAGGCATATAGTATAGTGTTCCTGACTAACGCTGCCCGACCACCCTACCCTATAGTCCCCCCCCCCTCCCCCGACTATAGAGTACCACGTAAAGCGACTCGCGAGATCCCCAGTGCGAGCCAGATCGTCACTGGTCCGGGGGATGGGGCGCTTGCTCCTACGTGTGTAAATATGTATGTATGTATGTACAGCCTCGCTCTCGCTCGATCACTTGACCTCGACACGGGAGGAAAGCCTCCTTCCCGCCGCCCCAGCGCATCCCCCGGATCCCCGGCGCAGCCTGTAAACATTCCTACCTACACTCCTACCTACCTCCTACCTACATACATACCTACGTGCTGTCATTCGTGCATCGGAGGATTCTGCCATGTACCCCATGCATTCCCGACGGTTCCGTAACCCGTCCCTCCTACCGTCCGGCCGGCTAAGTTCCCCATCCCCCCCCCATCCCCCCCCGGCCGGGTGTAATAAATATGGGGTGCATAAAGTCTACGCGGGTGAACTCGATCCCACCCCTTCCACTTCCCCCAGCAGGCGCGCGCTGCCGGCTGGTCGAACCCAGCGTTCCGGTCACGGCTGGTGGTTCCGAAACAAACAACGGTCTGACACGGCCACCGGAGGACGGGAGGGGGGTCGCGACTCGCGAGGGAAGGCGAGGTATTGGTGCATACATACTGGTACTTACTGGTACTTAATGCGATATGACGCTGGTCTGCAATCTGCTGTCTGCCATCTAGTAGCTGCCAGATGGAGAGGTGCAGAGATAGAAGCGGCAGTCGCTGGGAGAATTCCGGAGCTCGGATTGGGGGTGGGGGTTGGTATAGCTGGTACGATGTGGTATATGGTGGTGCCCGGACCACTCGGCTGGGCTCGGGGAAGGGGGTACGGTTCCTTCCACCGTCCACCGTCACCCGTGCGAATTTGGAACTTGGAAGTTGGGGGGATGCATCATGCTTGCCGGGTGAGCTGCCATGAGTAACGGTACTGCAGTAGCAAAAATGGGGTGCGATTGATGCCGAAGGTCTCCAGTGGTAGTACCGCGCGATTTGAATCCAAAAGTCTCAGGAGAATACAGATTTAATTCAGTATTTGTTTTTTCCTAGTTCCAATTCTACAGTATCGAAAAGAATCGTACGCAGTGTTGTAAATATACGCTTACTAAGAAGCCTGAAGACCTACCGCGGTTCTTCCGAATGCAAAATGTTACGCACTGCCCAGAATAACAGAGAACTACCAGAGAACTACCTTATCCGTACAACAACGTAGTGCAGAGAAAACGGTGCCATGCTAATCAAGTAGTTCCTAGACTGTAGTAAAATGATGACGACAAGAGTCCTACGGAAGAAATGCCGTGCTGAGCGGAATGCTGCAGTCACTGAATCCGGTATGCATACCGAAGAAACCTTCTAGTTTCAAAAATACGTACTGTGAGTAAAACATGTTGTACGCAAGCAAAAATTTACGACATTCGTACAGTGCAGGAAATTCTATAGGCCTACGGAATAAATACTGGAGAGGAAACCATACCGATTGAGCTGAATACAGTGGAGCTGCGGAGTCCCTGCAGAACTGAGAAGTATCAGACAGTGCCCACACTACGTAAATCGTACACCGCTGTAGTTCTACCTACCTATGCATAGTACTTGGGTTGGCCTGGGACTTCTTGTGCTTCTTGATGCGTCGGAGTACTCAGTACTGTCGGTGAAAGAATCCTGTTGAATGTCCTCGAGCATCAAGGCGGGCGAGTGATCGGCGTGTGATCGACTCAATGACCGACTCGATAATTAATGATCAGCTGTGATATCATGAGGAGAGATATCATGGCATGACCTTGGAAGATGAAAATGGCAGAAATGACGGAATTTAGTTTTCCTTTCTCTGTATCTCTTTATATACTCTCTCTGTTGCCCGTTCATTCTCTTCTGTATCTAAGCAACTACTTCTCTATCTCTCTCTCTATCGCTCAGATCCGCTGTGACAAAAAGTACAGTCACGTGGATTTGAACCGGCTCTTTGTTTCTACGTCTCTCTCCCCAACGGTCGTTAGGAGGAAAGTATGTACTTCGGTCTTGGATTCATAGAGCGGCATAAACGTTCTACATAAACTCGTATATACATACATCCGAATGACATGAGAAGAGAGAAAAAAAACAGCTTGTGATCCGTTCGAAAAAAAGAAAAAGAAACCCATAAGTGCAAAAACAATAGAACGACAGAGATGAGAGATGAGAGATGAGAGACGACACCAATCGACACCAATCGCCGAGTGAGTGCCTTAGTTAGTTAGTGTTCAGCTGCCTCGCCCTTAATCTACACTCCGCCGCATGGTCAGCACCCGGCCCGCGGTATTATAATCTATCAGAGCTTCGACGCCCTCAGCTGGCGCACCGTCGGGGCATGTATTGTACGTACCCACTCGGCGGTTCCATTCTTCGCTTCGGCCGTCCACGTGGTCGCCGGGCCGCCTCCAGGCGGCAAGTGCAGTATCTCGTCCGGCACGATTACCAGCAGGCGGAAGTCGTCTGGCACGGGGGTCTCATCGGTCTATTGACGCCACACACACGCACACACATAATCAGCCACAGTCTATTTTTTCCCTCGTTCACGAATGCAACCGGACTCACCGTCGCGGGGAACTTTGACTTCATCATCTTCTCATCCTGGCGTTCCCACACCTTTCGGATCTCTTTGTCCCAGTCCCATCCGTCGGGACGGGCCATATGCGCCTCGACATGCTCGCGGCCCCGGCGCTCGAGCTCTCCGCATCGTGCGCCGAAGCTGATCGGGTATGCGGACCCGCGCACTCGGAACTGTGTCCACTGTGCCGCGATGAAGAACACCGCCTCGACGGACGACGATACTTGCAGCTGTGCGAACTTCGAGGACCGGGCGTCGGAGGCGACCAGGAGTACGTCGGATTCGGCGCCGGACGGGTTTTGCTCGCTGGCCGGGATGCCGCTGGCGCCCGCGTAGGGCGTCTCGCCGAAGAAGCCGGCGTAGGTTAGTGTGCGGCACCGCGGCACGAGCGATTCCGAAACGGTCGCGAGTTGGAAGAAGGTTACGGGCTGGGAGGAGATGGCGGCGGCGAAGGGGGCCTTCCAGGCGGGGTTGGGGGGGTGTTGGATGGTCATTCTTGTTGATGTGGTTATATTGCTGGAGAAAAAGGTTTGTATTGCCAGAGGGAGGAGTCCGATGTAGGCCTTCATGATTATGGATGAGGGCGTATTTGGAAATGTTTTCTTTTATGGGCGCGAATATTTGGAATCTACTGATGTTGATGTGGGCTGTTTTTCCTGCAGCGTCGTCTCGCGTATGATAACTGGGCTGATCGACAGGAACACGCCATTTACCACGGCCGCGCCGCATCACACGATTTTCAATCCGATTTTAGGGACTAGCCCTCTGACTAGCAAGATAGTGGTGTTGTTGATCACGGCTGCGCTTTCTAAACACATCCGCTACCGGCGCCCGAAATGGCGGGGTCGGACGGTATGTGGCGGGGTCGGACGGTGTGGGGCGGCAGGCAGATCAGAGGCCGCCGTGGTGACACCAAGCTGCAGGGGTGGAATGGAGCTGTTTTTCGGCTTGATCATCATTGAATTCGGTCTCAACTACCTATTAGATCATGGCAATTACATGACCGTTTTCACCACACTGTCCCGATCGCTGACCGCTCACCGCTGACCGCTGACCGCTGACTCGACGTGGGTTCCCCATTGCTCTCCGCCCCCCAGGCGTGGGTGGAACGATGGGGACTGGGGGTGCCACCGTAAGAGGTTAGGGTCACGAATGAGGTATTGTGTTTTTGCAAGCTGTTTGTTTGCGTGTTCCCATCATGAATTGGTGAACGCCTTGTGTGCAATCATCAATGTGTGGAGCCGCGAACTAACAATAGATTCATGCCTCACTCCCCACCTCAATCCGAGATCGAATCATATCTCGATACTGTAAATCTTTTCCGCGTTCTTCCGCGTCATCTCCAATACCTCCTCGACATCTGTCCTCGCCTCCTCTCCGCGGGTCTGCCTTCCCTCGTTGATCCACTCGGCCACCAACTCGGCGGTGAAGGGAATCATGCCGCTGTGAGAAAACGCGAACCTCTTCTTTCCTTCCTCCTTCGACCGGGTCTTCTTTAACCAACTGTGGATATTCCTTGGCGTCATGAACGGCGAGTCCGTCTCCATCAGCATCCGACCTAGTGGGAGGTCGCCGCTCCTGATAAAATCCTGCACGTGCGGCAGTTGATACGTCGCCACTCCCGTGATTCCGATGTACGAGTTCGGGAACGTCTCGAGCACCCACCGGCCAAACTCAGTGGAGGACGTGAAGCAGTGCACGTGGAAGGGGTGATCCCGCGCCATGTGCTTATCCAGCACTTCCTTCGTCGCTTCATCCGCGTCGCGGGTGTGGACCACCAGCGGCTTGTTGAGGCTTATCGCTGTCTCGATCTGGCGCGCAAAGACCTCCTTCTGCGTTTGATGCGTGTCCGGCGCGTTCTTGAAGAAGTCGAGGCCGCATTCGCCCCAAGCGACACACCGCGGGTTGGACATCGTAGTGACGAGGCTCTCGTGGATCTCGTCGGTGTAGGCCATCGCGACGTGGGGATGCGCACCGGCTGCAAAGCTGCGGAGGACGACGACGTTAGCACGGCCCGCGACTAGTCGTTGTCGTGCAGAGGGAGTGATGTAGCGCACTAGTATTTGAAGTTCTCGGGCCATTCGGTGAAGGCCATCGCTTGCTCGACGTAGTTGTCCAGTGGTACATCACAGTGTATGTCCACTACGGCCTTCACATTCTCTGGGAATAGCTGCTTAGCGAACAGATCGATACGGTCCTTGGGGATGGACTCATCGCGGAGTTTCTATCGGGAAACCCAGCTGTCAGTAAGAGCGGAGTTTACACCGGGACCCGACGAGTGCCAACATACCTCCCGCATCATCTCCAGAGTAGTGAACAGATGGCAGTGGGTATCGATATAAGCCGCTTTCACGTCCGGCCTGTCGACGCGGTGCCCATCCAGACTTAGGCTGCTGCTTTTTCCTCCGGACCTCGCACTCCGGGAATCGTTGTTTCTTCCATGATGTCCCGGCGCTGCCATATTGCGTCTTGTTGGTGCCGAGAAATGGTGGGAGATCAGATCAGGGTTTGAGGCAGAACTGGAGGTTGAGATTGAGGCAGATTGGATGCGGGAAAAGCGGGGGTCTGCTCGAGATGGTTGCGGCTGATGAAATGAAGAAACAAGCTCTTTGCGGAGAAGTGGCAATAGAGCTGTGGCTCTCGTGGTTCGCAACATAGCTGTCTAATTGGGGGCCAGCGGTGGGATTGGTCGCAGATTTCTCGCTTTGGCCGGCGTCGCTTTTATTCGGTCATCCGCTTCATCCTACACCCTTTCAAGTCAGATTGCATGTCGATCGATCGCATCTTGTGTAAAGTATGGTTCCTCTCGGTTTTATCGTAACAAGCAATCACATCTCTTTCGGATTTCAACAAGCTCGCTAGTGAGCCATCACGCATCACGATTATCCAGATAGCTCAGTGCTCATACATACCTGTGTAGCTACTCGGGCTCCGTAGCTAACCAGAGTCATGTTGGCGGAATTTTCGAACCTCAACAGAGCCTCATCCTACCTGTTCACGTGACCTGTGGCCCTGGTGCAACCAGCCAGGCACCGTGTCAGGCACCGTGCCTCCAGATTGACGGCGAGGATAGTTTCTACGGAAAGCCTCACCTAAGCTCATGTATGTTTGAAATTGAGGGGCACGGCTCGATGCTTCAAGCTTCATATGCGCTGCGCACTGTCGGGAAGAATAGCCAGGCAGAATACCTATTACTAACTCTATTCTGTACCACCACCCCCACGGTCCTCGCAGACGGTCTCATCACAAATACGCACCTTATTTCGGGTTCCAATATGACCTTGTAGCCCGGCCCGTCAAGAGCTCGTACAATAGCGCAAGGCAGATGCTCCAAATATGAAGAATTTTAGCTGTTTTTACCGTTTACCAAAACTTGGAGTCTGCAAAGCCTCACCACAGGAAAGTCTTACAAAGTATTATGGGTGCATCGAGGTTTTGTGAACAAAGCTGTAGGTTCATGCTACATGGTACATCCGTGAATGGGTATAGCAAAATCCGGAAAGCAAAGAATTCGGCGTAACCAGGTCGCAGAGTTAAGCACCTAGTTACAAGCCCAGATTGCGTCCCATTGTTCCGTGGAACTCGTCGATATATAGTAGATATTCCTTGCATCATATGTGGTAGTCAGGAACCTTGCCCAGGGTTCTTCGGGGCTACCAACTGGTAAGAATTTTCAATGAGTTAGCCATCAGAGCGCACAAGCCGTAATATCCGTTTGACAGTCACTCAGCCTAGGCTTTTTCCCGTCCAATACACCTGTGGAACGACATGAGAAGGCAGACTGCCATAGCAAGTATTCGGCATCGGATAAGGACTGCCGTGCTGCAATGATGCTACAAGCCTGAGAGACCAAGAGGCTGCATATAATGATTAATCGGCCTCCAGAGTGGAAGCATTCTGTAACCTTGTCTCTACAAGGACCACCATCCGAGTAAAAGGCTTATCACTATAGCACTCTTGATTACTGACTAGCAAGACTTAGGGATCGTATCTAAATAACCAACGTTCTACTATCTAGAGCTAAGTGCAGTGGGTTGCTGGCACCCCAAAGATAATACAGAACTTTATGAGTTCAAAATGCTTACACACTGGTATCTTAATGCCTACACGCTTACAAATTGGTACCGTGATGCTTACACAGTGACATCCCATGCAGTTCAAGAGTGGACATCATTTTCTCCTACTTTTACTTTCAATAACCATAGCGGAGACCCCAACACGTTATCCAAAGACTGAGCACAGGGACGGGATATATGTTCCCGAGGCTACGACCATGGATGGTTACCTGTGTTGCATCACCGCACTGCGGGGAAGTGGGAGAGGTCCTATGCCTTATTCGCTATCCCAACTGAGAAAATCCCTCTCGGACCATCGAACCATGAGGGATCAAGTGAGCCGAGCTATTATAATCCTGTAGCTATGTACTCTCCATGCAGCTGGGCGTATTAGGCGCACTTCCTTTGATAAGTCAACAGCCACTCATAGTAGGTCACTCACAATTCTGCCCGTTTCCCCGCACTGCAAGTCGCAGTTCTTCCCGAGACCTTTCACATCTGCGTGAGCCACGTGGTTATTCTGTACCTCAAAGTCCACCCCCCTGTACAACAGTCTGCATAAATAGTGTCGGAACATAAATGAATTCTCGGCGATGCCGGTTCATCAACAGCCATGCACGAACGATCACTCGCGGGCATCGGGGTTCCGAGAATCCTTGGTGGATCCTATGTACTCTACTAGTAGTTACCAGCATACATACGACCTGAGACGACAAATACCCCACTACACTACGGCCTGCCATCGAGCCGGGAAGAACCCCGCCAACGGACTGCGGTGGATTGCGATGCGCTGTGGCTCGCTCAATGACGAGGATGGGGTGACCAGGCACAGAACTATAGTAAACCTGGTTCCTGTGACTGAGACATAAACAACGACGGATGGATGGCAGTGCAATATCCCCAGGATCAGATGAGGGCTATGCGACCAAGTCAATTTATCCGATACCTTCTCCACTGCCCGACCATGATCCCATCCAGGACCACAGAACCACGGATCCTTTCTACATAGTTCCTGGCCCTCTTTCACGAGGAGATTGTACGACCTACCTACCGTGACAGCGGTCGCAGCGCATCGCATACAACGTGTCCGATGGAGAAGCGAGCCATGTGGTGTCGCGAAACGGGTATGTAGGGGGATTAGTTAAAGCACGCTGTACGACCGTCGGTACCTGCACAGCCCTGAATTCGACCAGCAAACAAACAAACTGCTCACGATGTCGGAGATGTTGCGATGCACGTGCCGTTTCTCCGTTTGCTTCTGATCCACATCCTCTCGGTGGTTGTCGAGGAACAATATCCGAAAACGCTTTGGAACCCCGCATCGCGTTCGCTCGCTCGCTTTCGCTTCCCCTTCCCCGCTTTCCCGCCAAAACGGCTACTCCTGGAGTGGATAAACGTCTGGCGCGCTGATCTGCACGAATAATACCCGATTGTGGATATATAATCGAGAGTAGGCGTCCCGCTCGTACTACCGTAGAACTACTCCTACGATGTTAGCAGTTGTCAGTTACCTGTTTGGGGCTCACTGATCCGTACGACCTGCCCCTGCCCTCTAACTACATCGTTACAGGGGAATTGTTAGGCGCTTTCTTCCTACAATTTCGATCAGAAACTCCATAAGCTTATGGGAAAACTCCTGAGGAAATCTTAGATCCAATATCACAGAGTGGGGCCGCCGGGGCCCGGGGCTACCTTGCGATGTGCCTACCTCCTATCGTCACTCGTGAACACTTGCCACTGAACAGTGCCGAAAGCCGGATTGTAATCACAGCGTCATGATGGGAGGTAAACACCATCTCAGGAGACTGAACTGGAGTGAACCAATGTGAGTATAAGACCAGCCGGATACTCTCCCCCATCGTGGACTTGGATCGATACCGGTCTCTCTCCACCGAGCACAGTCTTTCGATCATCCAGTAGAAGTGCCTCGCAACCAACGGGCATCTGAGCTGTCTTTACGTGAGTTTCCCCCCCGACCGAGGCCAATTCTATGGTCGAAACAGGCTTCAAAAGCTCTCGTCGTGGCTTTACTGACATATAGATCCTACAGGTGTTCCTTCCTTCCTTCCTCCCGGACCCAGTGCGTCTCGGACCGAACATATCCACCATGTTTTTGCAAAACCTCCTCGTCCTCGGGCTGGCCACCCTTTCCACCGCGTGGATGCCGATCGACAAAATGATGTCGCAGGAGAACTCAACCATCAGTGCGCGCTGGCTGCCCAGCTCCAGCAAGATCCGGGGCGTCAACCTTGGCTCACTCTTCATCATCGAGCCCTGGATGGCGAACGACGCCTGGACCTCGATGGGATGCAGCGGGCAGCAGTCCGAATTCGACTGTATGAAGGCGCTCGGGCAGACGGCGGGCAACGCCGCGTTCCAGAGCCACTGGAACTCGTGGATCACCCAGGACGATATCCGCCAGATCGCGGCGCTGGGCCTCAATACCATTCGCATCCCCGTAGGGTACTGGATGCGCGAGGATATTGTCTACAGGGACAGCGAGTGGTTCCCCGAGGGCGGTCTCACCTACCTGCAGCGCGTCTGTAATTGGGCGGCCGACCTGGGCCTGTACATCATCATCGACTTCCATGGTGCTCCGGGTGCTCAGGTCGCAAAGAATTCGTTCACCGGCCAGGTACGGACCATCCCCCTCTCCACGCCGAGACCGCGCTGACCCCGGTACATAGTACGCGGACACGCCCGGCTTCTACGTGGACTACCAATACGAGCGAGGCTACAAGTTCCTGGAGTGGATGGCCGAGAAGATTCACACGGACAACAACTTCCGCAACGTGGGGATGCTGGAGGTGATGAACGAGCCGGTGCACACGTGGGACTCGGCGACTATGGCGGCATCGCTAATCGCTAACTTCTACCCGACGGCGTGGAACCGCATCCGCGCGGTCGAGAACCGCCTCAATATCGGCGCCTATGACCGCCTCCACGTCCAGATGATGAACGAGAAGTGGGGCAGCGGGAACCCGAAGCAGAATTTGCCCGATGAGTGGTTCGCAGCTTATGATGATCATCGGTACGTCTTTCTTCTGCTTCTCCTCGCGCTTTCTTTTCTTTCCTTTTCTTTTCAGCTTTTCTCGGGCTTGTTGGCGGCAAAGTAGGTCCCGTAGCTAACAATTCCACAGCTACATCAAATGGTCCGGCGTCAACCCGACGCGAGCCGACTACCTCAAAGCCTCATGCTCTGACGACCGAAGTGGCAACTACCCCGTGATCGTAGGGGAGTGGAGCTTGAGCGTAGCCGATTCCGTCGAGTGGGCCGACGAGTTCACGCTGACTCGGTCAGATGCCGCGGCGTGGTACAAGAAGTGGTGGGCGGCGCAGGTGATCGCGTACGAGAAGCAGGCGGGCTGGATCTTCTGGACCTGGAAGGCGAACTGGATCGCGGGTAGGAACGAGTGGAGGTGGTCCTACCAGGCTGCCGCGGCCGCCGGCGCTATTCCGACCAATCCGGATGATGCGTATTCGCTGGGCGCTTGCGATGGCGTGTAGTTGGTAGTTAGATCCTTGGTATTGTGGGAGTGGTGGGATGGCGAAGCTTGGGGGATATATATGCTATGATCGACGAATATTTGTACATAAGAAGTTGTAACCCAGACGATGTGCGAGCAGTGAGTGAAGCGAAACGTATCACACGATCTCACGCGCGTACTGGTTGACGAGGAAGTCGAGCGATATTCTGTGAAATACCCGCTCACTTTTCCACACTGTGCACAACACAGTACCGTAGGTACCATCCCACCGGGCCACTTCTATCTATAGCGCATACGGAGCAGCCCCTCGCAAGATCTCCAGCCCCCAAGCTCCCCAGCCCCCAAGACACGGTACATACATCTATCCAGCACTTCGATCCGAAACCGTTGATCCCGCGAACACCTACCTACCTACCTACCTACCTACCTACCGGTATACTTACCGGTATGTATGTATTTACCCACCCGCCGGCCAGCGGCCACAGACCCACGGGCCACCTACCACCTACCACCGGGCACCAGCCACCAGCCACCGGCCACTCACCGATTGCTGACTCACGCACACGCCGTCTCGCGGGATCCGCATCCGCATCCGCATCGTCAGTTCTAATTCCTCCACCACATTCACCCCTACCGTGCGTACGCAGCCGCAGGCTCACAGATATGTATCCTATCGCTGCTCCTTGTATGCTGTATGCTGTATGCATACAACCGGAGATTCGATGGTCTCTTTGGGTAGGTGAGTGATTAGCACACTGCGGGATATTATGATGGTGGTGTGCAACGGGCACATCTGTATCTGTATCTGTATATGTAGGGCGAAGAATTTTCATCGTATCGCATGGACCGACGACGGAAGACGGACGGCGGACGGAACAGGAAGCAAAGCAAAGTAGGATATATTCTAGTTAGGGGGGATGCGTCGAGCCACACGTACATAGAGTACGGTAGAGTACCCATAAGACCCCCACTTATAGGGCGGGTCTGCCGAGGACATTCCAGATATAAGCACTGCACCATCTCATATGTACCGGTACGAACCGGTACATAGAGTACCGGGGAAATCTGATCCGAACGGGAAGGCAAAGGGATATCTAGGTATGTACCTATGTAGCGAGAATTGTAACGTTCGTTCACCTCCTGAGTATGTATGTAGGTAGGTATGTGTAGGTGGATTTCCGGACGAGTCGATTCTATTGGGGAGTACATAGCATCGGGTTGGTGACAGGTGTCGCTAGCTGTAGATGAGATCTAATCTGGGAACTGATGGCAGCGCCGCAGCGCGGCCGGAAGGCATCATGACATGAGATGTAGAGATCACGAGAAGTGCGGCTTTGGGTAATTGATACCTATCGTGCGCACGTAAGTCGTGTTTCCGGAATTTATCTGGACTTCTCTCGTCCGAATGATTGGAGTCGGGAGTTATAGTAGTTAGCGGGGAAGCATAAGCTGAGCCTAAAAGTCGACAACCGCTTTTCGAGTATTGCTCCGACTGTAGTCTGCAGCAACTCTGGATTGCGATATAGTGGGTCATGTGTATGTAAATATGTAGGATCGAGCAACCGACGTCGAACGTGCGCAGCGAAAGAAAGACCGGAACATGCTCAACATTCCCATTGGGACGTCAGACTCATCAGCGCCGGGGTATGGAAGTGCGCGAAAGTATCCATCCCTTCCAACTTTGGGAGTCAGCTCGTTCCGCAGCCGGGGACAGACGAAGAGATTTACCTCCCGCGGTCCGTACAAAGGTATATACCGGTAGATAGCGGCGTATTGACCGAACCGACCGACCGTGGCGATTATTTTCTCGGATACCTTCTACTACTCTAGTAGATTTCGACATCGTTGCTGTAGCCGCACGGCGCACACATTTCCTTCTGGCGTCCGCGACGGGGGAATAGTCCCAATTCAAGACGGAAGCGGCAGCGGAATGAATCTGCAGATCGCCGAGAGTCAAGACGCATGTACTCCACATACATACGAAATTGAATGCGGCCATCCAGCCATCCAGCAGCGGAACTTGCCGTTCGGTTTTTTTCTTCTCTCTCTCTTCCATTCACCCTGCGCAGTGCAGGATGGTGGATGGTGGATGGTTCGAGGATCAGATACGGTAGGTAGGAAGGTACATATGAGTTCTGATGGGTGACGTGCCCGTCAGAAGTTCACTCCGATCGGAAGTTGACGGTGAGTTCGCGTCAATGTTTGGGTTTTCCGTCGCACTTCGAACTCCTCAACCACGCCGCCGCCGCCGCCGCAGCGGCGAATCGGAGCTCCAGGCGATTACACACCTTCCTGGGTGTGGAGACGCGGACAGGAGGAAAAAATGGGTTTGTAGAATTAGAGATGACCTCAGGCATCTGACTCCAAGCCATACTCTTGCCCACCCACGTGTGTGCAATCTGAGCTGCACCGAGCAGATCTCAATTTCTCCGAATGACTCGGCCGTAACTAATGTTCCTCACTGGATATCACTCGCATGCATAGCTTCCCCCCATCCTTCTGTCTATTGCTCGCTACGTACTAGTACCCAGTAGATACCCATCCGCTTCCGGCGGTCATGGATACTACCTGTCTAGGTAGCCAACACGGTACATACACCGCGGTCAACCCTTGACCGCTGCTGCCAGAAATGGGGTCTGGGTATGTATGTAGGTGGTAGGTGTCGACTTCTGGGCAATGAGCAATGAGCAATGGGAAATCGGCATTGCGAGCAGTGTGACAGCAACACACATAAATAATAATTATTCAGTACCTACCCAGTACCTACCTCTCATCGTTTAACGAGCTCGTGGGTATACATACTACGGTATAGTAACGGTATGTAGAGTACGGATGCAATCACTGTGCGTCTGCCTAGCAGAAGCATCTGGTTGCTGCAGCGCCGCCGCCGTCGGAGGTGGTGGTGGTGGTTGTGGTTGGTGGTTGGTGGTTGGTGGTTGGTGGTTGGCGGTTGGTGGTTGGTGGTTGGTGGCCGGTGGTCTCATCTGTACTCGTACCTGGTCGGCGTGTGTATGCAAGTGTTCCATCTGGCAGCTGCGGACCTGTGGTGCATACATCACTACACCTGTGTACTCTTGGAGTCTAGGTAGAGTACATGCCGTAGAGTACTAGGTATTACTACTAGTTGTAGTAGTAGTAGCACTACCTACCGGTACATACCGGCGTACTCTACGTCTTCTCGCAGCACAGAAGCTGGTAACTACAAGTACCATAGTTACTACCGTATACGGAGATGAACCTATCATTCGGCCTCCAGGCTACCGTTGAAAGGAGAACGGAGATCTGAGAGGGAGAGACACTGCAAGCACCTTTGTACAAGACGTGAGAACGAAATCATGTACCATACAGACATAAATATGCAAAAATATTAGCTATCCGGTCAAGAAGCTTCAATCCTTTCCTATGTCTCGGTGAACGGCCCGACTCGGGTAACATCCATGGCTCGTTTGTATGTGCGACTCCGCTACATGTCTCCGAAAGATTCTCCCGGGGAAGGGAAGGGGGGGGGGGGAGGGGGGGGGGGGCTTCTTCTTCCCCGCACGGCACTTGGCAGCAGTTCAGTTTGCGCGTGGAGTATATTTACCATACATACTACTATATAGTAGTTACAGGCCCGTCTATGTATGTACCATCGTAGGTGCTCCAACTTTTCCCATGATCCAGGTGCTCCAGACTCCAGACTCCCGAGTCCAGAGCTGAGGGTTCATATGTAAGAGTGGCAGAGTTTTAGGGACTTTTTTGCCTGCTTACTTGCTTGCTTTGCTAGCAGGTCCCAGTCTCACCATCCGTAGCTGAAACAGCTTCGAGATGTTTCTTTTTTGGCTTATGGTTGGTTGCACTACCTAGTAACTAGAGCAGAGTAAAGTATGTACGCGCATGGCGGAATTTCCCACGATCATGGCGTGGCGCTTGACGTGCCCAACACAACCCAACCCATTGGCGGGGGATCAGTACTAGTACCCAAGTACTAGGAAAGTATATAGCTATGCTTTCTGGTGGGGATCTGTCAGTCAGTCGGTTGGACGACCAGACCACGGAACGTTTCGATAGAGTACCCAGAGTATCGGTGGTTCGCAATCAGCGCTGGCATCCAGAGTCCGTACACACTTTCTCGGGAACAAGCTCCAGTGCAGTGCCTACACAGACCGGCGATGAGCCCGCCGCAAGGACTCTGAAAAATGGAGATGTATTGGATAGAGTGACCTGTAGTGTACGGTACTCTAGCTACGTGAGGGGAGGATTCTGGCGTGCAACATCGAGTCTCGCAGGGTGGGCACTGAGCATCCGAAACCAACTTTCGCATGGGAGGAAGAGCCGGCTAGAGTAGCGTCACGCATGCCACCGCCGCCGACCAATCAACATTGTCACGTCCCTGTCACCTCCGCCAATAGCAGCTTGGGATTCCGTCGCCACAGGGGTGGGGTCCTTAATTTGGGGAGGGGGTAATTGCGTCGCGAGCTTCCAGCGTGCGGGAAGGTGGGAAGGTGGGGACGGCGATGCGAGGGACACTACTCCATGCTACAGGATGGGATCACAAGTGGTCCCTCGGACGGTCAGAGGAGTCGCCGTGTGTGTTTTTGTGTGTTTTTGTGGTATGCCGGTACGGTAGCAACGTTACTTTGCGGCTGGCTGGCTGGCTGGCTGTCGTGACTCGTCACGATACGACACTCGACTGTCGAGGAGGCCGTCGCAGGCTTGCGGCCACGACTGGGGGAACTTTGTGGCTTTTGTTTGGGGTTTCTTCAGTCTGTCTTTCCTTCTCCCCTTCCTTCCTTCCTTCTCCACTTGATCATCCTCTCCTCACTCTCTTCGGTCGATTATCTCGTGCCGGCCACGAACTCCTCGTCCATCTCGTCCAACTCCTCCCATTGCGCGGCTGTTCCTGTTCCACATCGCTCCTTTTGTAATCGGTCTCCCCGCCGTCCCCGCCGTCCCCTGCCCGTCCGAGTCCCCCTGCCAAATCATCTTGTGTCGCGCTTGCGCCTTGCAGCCCAGCCTGTCCGGCTCCGGAAGCCAGAGGAGACGAGTACCAGAAGAAGAAGAAGCAGAGGGGAGACGAGTCCCACAGGTTCCATTCCGCCCCATCGATCGCCTTGGGCGGCGGTATCACTCCAACTGGCAAGA